TTGTATAGGATTTCGTAATTTTCTTAATACTTCGTCAAATTCATCAACAATCATGGTACGCGTTAGATCACTATCGCTGCCAGTGGTGGATAATCTTTTCTTAAGAGTTTTCTCTGTCATTTGTGTGCCCATAGAAAATTCTCCATCTGATTCAGGATCAATATGTACAAGTACCATAAGATCAGTTACAGATTTAGATTTTTGTTTTACTTTTTCTGTATAAACACCTCGTTCGATTCTTCCCTTCCAACTTTCTTCTTCAGTTTCAGATCCTGATTCTTGTGCTGTATTAAATAAACTTTCCATATTTATGACACTTTTAACTGGTTCATCTGGTCCAAGTCGAAAAGAAGATTGTAATGTTTCTAATGGTTTCTCGTCCATCATGCTTGTCCAATGATCAGAATCAATACTGCCACGAAGATTTTGTAAACTAGCACTACGTGTATGATTAATTGATGTATTCGTTTGTAAATTTTCCCATTGCTCAAAATCTTCTTGTTCTATATGTTCAGTAATTAAGCTTTGTCTTATGTCACGTAAAGAAGGCCTCTTTTTAGCATCTGTATTCAGACATGTGCGTATTACGTGTAATATATTGGAGGGACTATTTTCAGGACAGTTATGCAATGGCTGTACATTATTTAGTGAAAAATCAGTTTTAAGAGATAAAAGCATCTGTATAACTTCCTCGTCACACATATTATCATAAGGCCTATTACCCCAATTAATAATTTCCCATAACAGCACAGCGTAACTCCATATATTTGCTTGCAATGTAATTTGTCGAGTTTCAATAGTAGTATCTGTACAGTCTAAACTTTCAGGTGCAGACCATCTAATGGGCAATGCACGATCTCCAACTATGTAATAATCTTCTGGATATTTTTCAACGCCAGTCCCATAATCTCCTAATTTTGCAGATAAATCAGAAGCAACCAAACAATTTCTTGCAGACAAGTCAGTATGTGCAAAACCATGATTATGCATATGTTGTAAACCAGCAGCTATTTCCAATGCCATTCTAGTAGGAATATTTTCTTTTATTAATGCTTCTTGAGATTTTTTATCATGATTCGATAATAAAAAGCCTTTAAGATCACCAGCAGGACAAGATTCAAAGAGTAACAAATACGGATCAGTTTCTAAACAAAAGCCAAGTAATGCTAAAACATTTTGATGGTGTAATTTAAGATACGGTGTAGCCTCTCCTAGGAACCAAGCTTTCTCTTTCATTGTAGCTTCTTCTGCCAAAATTCTTACAACAACTCCTCCACTTTTCAGAGCTCCTTTTGATTTATCTAAATCTGCTCGGCCTTCCACAACTTTGCCAAACCAGCCACGTCCTAGTTCTCTCAAATATTTTAATTTTTCTCTAGGTACATAAAGGTCCTCCGCTTCAAACCAATCTCTACAAGGCTCTTGTAATGTAGCATTATCTTCATTGTATTCTCCCGTAAAAGATAAATGTGAAATGGAAGATGGCTTTGTTGGAGAAGGAACCTTTGGTCCTGATATAATTCGATCTACGGGTAGAGGTTCAAATTGTACTCTGTCGGTTAATGCTATCATTCGTGGAACATCAATGGCTAAACCTTCTATTGATTGTTCAAACGGTAACTCTGGACCAGTGCTACTTCCATTCTTGAATTCCTGAAATAAGAATATTACTTTCACTATTGCATTTTATATAAAAAAAAAAAAAAACTTTGTCAAATATCAATGTAAGAAGATATTGTGCTACACGTTATATGCAATGTAAATTATTACGCGTATAATTGATTTAATGTTTTTTAATGAACTGTAATTTATATTACGTTTAATGTAATATTTAACATACACAATGCTTTAATACGAAGAAAAGAATTTAAATGCAATTATAAGCATATCATCCTCTTACTTATGCATCCTATAAAAATAATTCAGCAAGAGTATCATGTTAAAATATATTAGGTATCAATGCAGCTTGATAATTTATCGCTCCTAAGTACTACCAAAAATATAATTAGCCATCCTAGACATTTATTAAATACGCGTAAATCATAGACGATATTTAGACGAATTTTTATTTACATTGTGTTTAATCATAAACACAAGCGTATTGCAAACATATGGAGTTTTTATAATATATTACTCTCTTTTCAATTCTAATTTGATTTCTTAGGAATACAATCCAAACAAAGCAGTTTACGGGAGGACCTATAATAATAGCTTCTAAAAGAGACATACACAAACTATGATATGTGAAACCTGCATTTTTAAAGTTACCTGTTTACATTTTCCTGCTTTGTCCTATAAGAAAAACAAATTCAAAACATTTTGTTAAGACTATAATAGATCGAAGAGATTTTCTTTACTTTGTCATTGATATTGCAGTAGTAAAAGGAAAAAAGCTGCATTACCTGAAATCCTATAGTACGACGAGGTCTTCTGCAGCACAGACATCCAGCCAGAGTAAATGCAGCGACGGTTAAACTTAAGAGAGTAATTGTATATCTTATCCAATAACGTTCCCATTGTAATGATCCTTGATCGTTGTGAAAATCTATAAAAGGTATACGAATGGTATAAAGTCGTTAGATTTCTATACGGATCTGTCTCTAGGTTCGAAATCTAGAATATTTCACCTGTTAAATACGGCGTTGACACGGGATATGCTGTGAGAGTCGGTAGACCCACCCAAAATAGCCAATATATTTTACGTAAATGTCGCATTGCGCACCGAGGCTTTTTAAGTCGTTCTAAGTCACCTAGGTCATATTGAACGTTCTACTTCTACGTCCATTCAATCGAAAAGCTTTTGGAAGCTATTACGTTCCAATTACATGACACACATATCGCGTCTTCTTCCTCTACTTCTCGCGACCGATTCTAAAATCGTCGTATCCGCTGGTAGTACCTGCGCTGTAAACGAGTCTCCCTTAATGTATAGTACGATCTATCGTTGTATGCGCTTGCGATTTTAGCCGCGGAAATGCAGCGTGTCGACACATGGAATGTAGACATGCACCTTTCAAGAAGGCAACTTGGCTCATGGATATGACATGTATCCGCGTAGCGGATACCACTAAACGAGAGAGTCACGGAAAACTGAGATGGAAGAGCGAGACAGCGATAAAATGGGTTACTTGGAAAGGTAGGCGTATGAAATCACCGCACTTATAAAACCCACTCCAATTTCCGCCCCACCATCCTCCCTTCTCCGTCACTATCTCTCCTCTCTCTCTCTCTCTCTCTCTCTCTCTCTCTTCTCCTTCACCCTCTATCTCTCTAACTTACTACCTCTCACTCGTCTCCGTCGTCCCTTGATACTGTGTTTCTTACTCGTATCTCTTTCCCTGACCCTTGACACTACACTACCATACTTGCGTATGTATGATACACGTTGATACATACATATAACATTACACTTAACTTTAATATATGCGATACACACGAATGAACACTCTCTCCATCTGTCTTCCTTCTTTCTTTTCCAAACCAAATTTCTTTCTACGATCTCTCCTTTTTTTCCTTTCTATACGTCTTTCTTTATCTACAAGATAATTTATATAAGCAATTTTTTTGTCCTTTTCTTTTCTTCGCTAATATAAAGACTTTTTTTTTTACTCATTTCTGTCTTCTCTTTTTCTTATGAATGAAAAACGCGCGCTATTTCTCATCCATCTAAATTCTCGTTAGTAATTTTTTTTTTTTTTTTTTTTCTTTTTTTCTCTCTATATATATATCTGTGTATCATTTTCTTGTATATTTATTCAATCAAAGTTTCCTTGTAAAATTCTTTATCGGTTTTTCTTCTATTTTATCAATTTCTCCATTTCATTCAATTATCAAATGTATATGCCTATGTAAATTAATTTCTTTCATATATAATTTAAAATCATTGTCCAATATGTATGTATTGTGATCCAAATTTAAGAGTACGGACCTGTGTGTCACGTGATATTTAATTCTTGTTTGCTCATGTATAACGTTGTAATTAGAAAGCTTCATATTTTGAAAAAAATAAAGCTTTTATAAATTCATCGTATTATCTTCAAATTAATGAAAATAATGATTTTAAATATCGGTATTGTTGTTTTGCATTGTTATATTCGTTTTGTGATTAGATGAACCTTTTAACGGATTATTATTTGTTTTGATTAAAGAATTGAGCAGTGGTGAGGGAGAAAAATAATGGCGCGAAAATCAAACTGAGTATTTTATGTACCCTCTCGCGAAATGTATAAAAGTATTTTTTCTTATCGATAACTTATCGACATGTACAACGGTCGGTAATTTTATTGATATTGATCATTTTAAGAATACTTCAAGAGAATGACTCTTCGTATATATGATTTCTATTTTATCGACAATTATCATCATCGTCGTTTCAACGTAGTTCCACTTTTTATCGAAGAGGTCACATTGGTAATACTTATGCATATCCGTTATACGAATTAAGCTCGACATACATACAACTGTATGTTAATATTTCGGATTATTAATAAGATTTGTAAGTAATTTTACAAGATTTTTATATTTGTTTTCAGAATTACATTAAATATTCTCATGTGATTACTTACTTTAACTTCTTTACGTTACTTTAACGTTTAACAATAATATTTTTTTAATCCAATAGAAAACTATCCCACCTTATATGAAATATGCGTATGTAGTACAATTTATGAATTTTTAATTATTGTAATTTTATACGATCTTTTATTTTTAAGACTCTTTAAAAAAGTTAACTCAGTTACAGTGAATGTTACGAGTAAATACCACTAATCGTTTCAAAGATAATTGCTGGAATTAAAGACGTTCGATGGTATTGGAGGCCTCTGCCCGGTAATATGGTCATGGTCATCCAGGCGAATCACCCCAGGGCCTTATTCTGTACCTGACTTAGCTTGACTCACACAGCTTCAGTGGTTCTCTATTAATGAGCATACGTCTGACGTGTATTTTTATAAATAAAATACAATATATTATACATTCGGTAAAATTAATTTGAAAATTTTAGGTTAAAAATTATCAAGATTACTATATGCTAAATGCGTTTTAAATGATATACAAGTAAATTTACAAATTAACAGTTTTATCATATATAAGTACAACGATTAACAATTATGTATTAGCCATGTAAGAAGAAAAAGAAGAAGAAACAAAGAAAAGGAAATGAAAACAAGAAGCAAAAGAAGAGAAAAAGAATAAGAAGATTTTAAAACATTACTGTCAATGAAGTATAATCTGAATAAGTATTAATAAATGTGAACGTTAAAACACATTTTAACAATCAAAATAAATTTGTGTATGATATGAGCCATATTTGATAAGTTTTATAATAAAATTGATTCGGTCATTTAGCAGGCTGCCCTGACCTAGTTCCGATCGTAACTCCTATCTCCGGCAAAGAGAATAAGAGATGGTGTCCTGAAGTAGTGAAAATTGCCGCAGGGAATTGCCGCCCTCCGAGAGCCACATGCGTATTAACAATAAAAGAGAAAGAGAGAGAAAGAGAAAGAGAAAGAGAAAGAGAAAGAGAGAGAGAAAGAATGCGTAACGAATCACGTTGTCTTGACTAGCGTTTATCAACTTTTGCGCTATATCTATAAAGTTTGCCCATCTTTGATGGATGATTAGAAAATAAAATAGAGAAGCAAATTTGAAAATTAATCAAACATAATCGCATATTTTTATAAATAAATAATCGCACAAAAGAAAAGTTTAAATATTAATCATGGTATATCACGCGTTGCATCCAACGTATGAATTATTAATAATTAATATTTAATAAAGAATATAAGAAAGTATTATTTTGTAATCAGTATGTAAAATTAATAAGGATTGAGATTGAACGTTCATGATTTAAATAATTTCAGTAGAGATGGTCAATGACTCTGATCACTGAACAACAAGACTGCATCTATTTCTACCTGATCTATCGCGATGGCGGATATTGTATTATGTTACGACGAGACAGAGGAGGTTGCGTAGCCAATGATGCGAGATGGTGAAGTGCGAGGTCATCTCCACGGACTCTCCTTCAACGATTCAACTCGTGCACTTGTCTGCTATAAATGCAGACCTTGTTGAATAAAAAGGACTGAGAAAAGATACGCAAGGACATACGTACGAGAGAGAAAATTAATTCTACACATAAATGGTACTTCCGAGAATTTCTATTAAATTTGCAAGACGATTTTCGTATATTTTAATTTTCAGTAACATCAATTCCCTCACGATTATTAATTCCATAACGATTACTTTTCTTTTTTCTTCTTTTTAAACAGGTCCTTGTAAAGGATAATTTCGACAAAAATACGTACGAGGACAAAACGATATAGATTTGAAATAATATTATCGAAATAACGAATAAGTTTCAAACGAAATAAAGAATTCACATTTTAGTGCTTCGATCCTTCGGAATAACTCTTACATAATATACGAAGCCATACATAAGAGGGAGAACACATATCGATGAGTCAAATGCTTTTACGTAAATGTTAAAGCCAATTTTTGTAGGATACTGCTCTTATTTCACGAGTATTCTTTTTACTTATTAAAATAATTTCAACGTAACAGGTCATAACCCGTGACTCAATTTAACCTTATTGCTTGCTTTCCAAAGATATGACTCATTAAGTAACAAAGTGACTTATAGACATAAAACATAAAGATTATAAGTACGAAAAAGTAACAAGATTTTGTGGGCTTCGTTATAGAGATTACGATATTAAATACGGTATTATTCAAATAATACGAACGTCACAACACAACAACAACAACGAGTGATTACTCATGCATTAATATAAACAAGTATCCAATAAAGAAAAGCCGTTTGATTTAATTATATAATATATAACAGAATAAATTTTATTAAGGAATTCATGTTATTATGTTTTATTGAATATAATATGTTATATTATAATGTACAGAAAGTTATACGTATCTGGATGGTAGAATGGAAAAGAAAAAAAGAAGAGAAGGAAAGAAAACCATAGAAAGAACCCTTTCGATAGTGATACGATGAATCTTGTGTATCTCTGTCCTTTCTTACCGCACGTATGGGCATACATCGTACCGGCCGCACTTGACCTATATCTTATTATGCTGGTAGTGTCCGAATGCAATGCACGAAGTGTTTGTGAATAAGCCCGGGGGGCCCCTCTTTGAGATTATCAAGGTTCACCACCACCATAAAAACATCTTTCCTTCCTGCTGTCGTGTTCTCTTTCCTCTTGCTTCCGCAAGATACGACAAGAATCGCGACTCGATTATACTAAAGTCAATATACGATTTTACAATTTTCATACATATATATATATCGGACAGAAAACTATTTCTATTTATATCGTTTTTCATGATTTCTATGCAAAACGTATCTCTCTCTCTCTCTCTCTCTCTCTCTCTCTCTCTCTCTCTCTCTCTCTCTCTCTGTCTGCAATGTGCATAAAAAATCTTTGCTTATAGAATCATACATTGTGTGATTATAAGGACAAACGTGAAATTTTGAAATCACTTTTTTATCTTTTTTTTCAGGACATAAGAAAATTATTAAACTAGATATAGATAAATCTTGATCGATATGACGTATCCAGGTGTCTATCGAGGTCCGGTTGGACGCTTTCGACTGCTACCGAGTCTTCCGTTCTTCGGCGTCATTTAGGAAGGTCATGACCTCAGGGTAGCTTTACCATCGCGTAGACTACGATTGCCACATTGTGCGCGTGCGAGCATGCGCGGGAACAAGCGAAAGTATTTAAACAAGTGGAGATGTCTTATGGAAGGCCACTGTCGCTCGAACTGTCACGGATCGCGCAACGTTCCCCTTACTTTCCTCCCTACCTACAGTCTAAAAAGGAGCACACGCATTCGCCTGCGAACAAGGAGGGGAAGATTCGTTCCTCGTTCTTTTTCCCTTAATTTCCACCCATCCCCCTTCTCAGCTTGTCCTTGTCGCCTCTCAGTGGTCCTCCCTTTAAAGTCGCGCTACTGCTCATAAGAGAGCACAGATTCCTTTAAGAAATCTTGTCGCATCGACGTTCATTCCTTTACATCATCTCTATCTTATCAAGTGGATCATCTGTCGATGATCGATATTAGACGAATTTCATTGATAACGATCTCTACGATAGTATAAGGAATAATGTTAAACGTTAAAGTTACGTAGAAGATAAAGGTTGAACGTCATTTAAAGAGGAAAAAAAAGAACAAAAATCTCGTGAAGTTTTACTCGTCTTGAAGGGCTTCGCTCGATAACTCGATGAGAAACCATTGCTTGGCTAAGTCTTACAATATACAACAAAAAAATATATAAGCATTTCGCTAATTGGAAAGATGGACGAGCTAGAAGTTCAACAGGAATCCAGAGATATAGTCGGTAACTTGACGTTCTCGCCACCGCCGATGAAAAAGTCCGATACGAGGGACAGTATCTCTTCCGTTGACAGCGATGTTAGTCTTTCTTTCGATAGAAGAGGTTCGAAGGATGAGGAAGCTGATCAATCTGACAGCATGACATCTGATAGCGAAGGAAAATCGACCGAGGCTATCGTGAAGCAACAAAACGGTGAACAAGATTCGGGCATAGATTCTTTGGACGATGTCGCTCAGAAAGAATTAGGCAAACAGAAAACCGTAACAACTAGCAATAAGGAATCTACTGTTCAAGATCAGCTTGATAATTTTGTCTTGCCTAGCGATGAGTTAAGCGAAAAGATCTGCACTCAGGTAGAATCTTATTTCGCTGATGAAAACATTGTTAAGGATGCTTTTCTTCTGAAGCACGTAAAGAGAAATAAGGAGGGTTACGTCTCGTTGAAACTCGTCTCGAGCTTTAAAAGAGTAAAACATCTTACTAAAGATTGGAGGGTTGTTGGTGCTGCTTTGGCAAAGTCTACCAAATTGCAAGTTAATCCTCAGGGTACAAAATTACGTAGGCTAAATCCTTTACCAGCTTTCGATCAAACGACACCCTCTAGAACGATTTTAGCTGCTAGACTTCCTCTTGAAAGACTTTCTGTCGAATCGGTAGCCGAAATCTTTAAACCATGTGGTGAGATCGCACTGATCAGAGTACTCAAGCCTGGACATCCTGCACCTGCCGAGGTATTGTATTTATGTTTAATTGAAATGAAAATAATTTCTTTCTCGAATCAAATATATCATAAAGAAATTCGATATACGTTTAGGTCCGACAGGCAATCTCAAAGAGGCAAGAACTGAAGCCAACCGAGGAATGTGCCATGATTGAATTTACAGATTCGGCATCGGCTAGATTGGCACTAGAAATGAATTTAGGAGATGCGAAAATATTCGAATTACAACAGTCCGACAAGAAAAGAAAACAACAGCTGACGAAGAAGACAATCGTCACGAAATTGACTAAAGAAGATACTTATAATTCATCGAGTTGCGCTAGTGGATCCGAGGCTGAAGATGGAAAAGCAAAATACAAAAGGGCTGTTCATGGATATCCTATATATCACGTTTATCCTGGCCATCCTTTCCAAGGTAAGTTACTATTGATTCGAACATCGATATCGATGATCATCGATCTAATAATTTATCCCAAAATATAAAATAAATCTTTATATTTCAGGTCCACCATCACCAGATGCATGGTTATCGCGCAGATTGTCTTCCTGTTCAATTTCAGGATCAGAAAACGGCTTTGTTTTTCGCCGTTTATCTTCTAGTTCTGGTTCAAATTGTTCAGATGCTAGCAACTACGGTAGACGATATTCTTCCTGCTCATCCGCCTCCGAGACTGGTTGTTGTCCCATAATTTATCCTCCAGGTTATTATTATCAACAAAACCGACGTTTCTCCTGTTGCTCCGGCGGTTCAGCTTCTAGCAACGAGTGCAACGGTACTTGTTACAATCCTAGTCGCCGAGGTTCAGTGGACTGTGGCCCATTTTTCCGTAGACTATCCACTTGTAGTCGAGATTCGGGTTTCGATCCGGGGGTGAGAAGACTATCTTTATGTTCTTCGATTTCAGAGCAAAATAACTTTTGCCGATCAAGGAATAACAATGGCTTGGCCATGACACACTTGCCTGAAAATGTAACGAGGATGCCTTCTGGTCCTGATGGAACGCGTGGCTTTGGCCGACCTCCTAGAATGAATCCTATCACACCGACTATGGAACCAGCATGTTAAATATTTCCTTTTCACGACGTGATTTTTTCCGCGTTATAGTGATCTCCAATCATCCTTAAACAGGATATTCTACTAGAAATGAAAATTATTATGCGTTTAGAAAATCTGATATTGTTATATTTTCCCACTTTTTCTCTTGTACGATATAAGAAAATTGGAAAACATTTCAATTGTAAAATTTGTTATATCCGCTATATATTTGAATTGAACTTGAGATATTTCAAATGATAAAAGTTTGTCTATATTTTATGTATATGTATATTGAATGTATGATATGAAAAATCCCCAATGAAATAAGTACAAAAATTTGACAATTAAAAAAAAAAACAAAGTTTCAAATACGATATATTACAGAATTAATTTATTAAATATGACGTAAAATGATGCACTTGTTAAATATATTCACTGAACCATTCATATTGTTAGATTAGATGATCTTTACATTATATTGTCATTACAATCTTTGTTCAACTATATTATGATTGACCAATCTCAATATTTACGATGTATATAAAATTTATTTTGAAATTTATTTTATTTGACATATTAAAACTAAACATGTAATTATTAAATCAAATTATTCTCTATACCATTATAGTAAATATTATTATATTTTATTTTTATTAATCCATTTTGTACATATAGACATATACATATATATATATATATATATATATATATATATCTTTATAATATTTCCAGATCGATTCAATTTATATTTATATTTATAGTTAAATAAAAAATAAAGCTCCTTTACGTATCTTTTTTTTTTATTTATACTATATAAAAGATAATGAAATAAAATATTATCAATAATATTTATAAAAAGAAACAATAAATACATAATTTATGTATATTGAAATTTTACGTTATATATAATACACATAATAATATTTATTTTATATACCATATAAATATGATAAATATATAAGTAATAAGAATATATGGTTGTAAGGGAAATAGGATTATGTACTTTCGAATCTATGTATGTAAATACGTGTTAATACGAGGTAGAAGTCTTCTGCGAATAAAATTGTGTAGTGAAATTCTTGCGCATTCGTGCATGTATACGAACCTAGCATGACCCGTTTCTGTCGCATCTATGCTCGTGATATTAAGGTTAGGATATGTTTACTTGTTAAATTAGTAAGGATTAACGAACGAAGTCATAAAAAGGAAGAATAAGAAAAAGAAATGTGAAGGTAACAGAATAAATTCTCTTTTAGAAAACATGTTTTTTCCTATTGGATGGCCACGAGTCCTAAATTGTACGGAACCAGATAAAATAAAGGCCATTGTTTGTAATAGAGACAAAATACTTTTTGCCATATTAACGACAGACTTTCTTACCATCTGGTACTGCAAGGTACGATTTGACATTTAAAACAAATCATATATATGTAATTATATTATGAAAATTATCCTGACAATAGAAACTCATTATGTCATTTGATATTTTACTTTATTTTACTTTTTCTTTAACAAAGTAATTAAACGCTCTTTTGTAGCCTTGTATACCTATTGTATTTATAAGGCGAACTGCAGATTCATTAAAAAAACACGGAGAAAATATCTTGGTACAATGGAGACCAGATTCCAGTATGTTAGTCATTGCAGTAAGTAAAATCAGGTTAAAAGTATTGATGTAAACTGGTAAAAGTGTTAATCATTTGTGATTATTTCTATAGACCTCAGACAGTTACCTGCTGTTTTATCGATTGTCAGACAAAGGTCCAGAAGGAAAAAGTCTTTACGAGCAAAGAGATTCTCCCGTTACAAGCCTAAAACGTGATAGCGCTGAACTTTTCATTAAAGAAGTGATCCCATCTTTAGTTTTATCATTTGTAAGTATATTGAGTATAATTAAATATAATATCCGCAATGATTAAAAAACGGATAATTTTTATTCTCAGGAAAAGTCTGCCTGGATAGATGGTGGAATTAGTTCTTTAGTATGTATACGTGATGAACTCATGGTTGCCACAAAAACAAGTCATGTAATAAGGCATAAATGGGATGGGACAGTAAATCGGGATTATACACTTGATTTACGTAGAATACCATTTAGCGTAGATCAACAAATATCCACTACAGCTGTACCCCTTACTGAAAACAATGCTTATGTTATGGATATTGAATATTCTCCTTTAGTTGGTGGATTTGCTATTGTTCTTAGCACTGGAAAAGCAGCATTCTTAACAGCTCATTCGTTAAAATTTGACCCAAATGTCAGTTAATATGTTTAATAATTAATGTATTATTAAACTTACATTCAACAGTAATATCTTATAATATTTCATGCAAATATATTTTAGCAAGTTCAAGGAATTTGGGCCAAGGATGTAGATGATGCCACTTGTGCAGCTGTGAATCATAAGTATCGTTTAATTGCATTTGGAAGAGGAAAGTAAGCATCTTATACTTTAATATGAGATATACTGTATATGTCTACAAAAAAAAAAAAAAAATAACTTTTGTATTATATTTTTAACAGTTCGGAGGGTATCGTTTATTATATTGATGAAACAACAGGAGCATTGGAAGTATCGCATACGCTAAGTCTCTCTTCAAAAGATTATCCTGGGAGACCAGGTTGCGTCAGATGTCTAAGATGGACTCCTGATAGTTGTGCTATAGCTCTAGCCTGGGAAGGTGGTGGTTTAGCAATCTGGAGTACTTTTGGTGCTCTTTTATTATGCAGTTTGAAATGGGATTATGGTTTGCGGGTAGATTTAACGCGTGATAATCCTTTACATATTCATACAATGGTAAGTGAAATTAGATATCAATATGCTAATAGTGATGTAATACCAAAGTTTGGTTGCGTATCATTCTTTAATTTTTTTCTTCTTTTTTTTTTTTTTTTTTTTTTTCTTAGGAATGGTCAGCAGAAGGGTACCAATTGTGGATGTTAAGAGAATCACCAGGACCATTATTAATGGAAGAAAATGGCAATGAACCGACGCACTCATGGCGTTCGCTTATACAATTAGATTTTGTAAAAAGTCCTCTCACGGTTAATCCATGTATGGTAATGTCAAATTTATAAATATAATTATAAAAAAGTTATTTTCTTTATGATAATTCTTTCTTTTTGGAAGGGCCACCATGGACATTTATACTTACAAGGTGAAGACAGACTTTATTTAAATCTTGGTGGTGGTATATCTGCCACCACATCCAATTTTCATATTTCAAATGAATGTCCTGGTGACATTGTAACTCAGACTCTTGCTGGATGCAAACAGTGGTTAGTCGTTCCAATTCCAAGTGCTTATACTGGTTCTAATTGGCCAATAAGAGTAAGTCCATAATTAATATATAAATATTATAATAAACTGCTAATATATTATATTTTATAGTATACTGCAATTGACAACGAAGGTTTAAGTATTGCTGTAGCTGGTAGAACAGGCTTAGCTCATTATTCTTTACCATCTCGTAAATGGAAACTTTTTGGAAATGAAAGCCAAGAAAGGGATTTCATAGTAACTGGTGGATTATTATGGCATCGTGGTTTTTTGATAGCAAGTAGTTATTCCCTTTTGGATGATAGAGATGAGATTAGGATGTATCCACGAGATACTCGTCTCGATAACAATTATGTAAAGAGTATTAGAATGCCATCTCAAGTATTATTACTCAATACACTTAAAGAAAGGCTTTTGACATTTTGTGCTAATGCACAGATTAGTATTTATGATATAATATTAGATGGAAATGGAGGTAAGTCGTAAAAAAATCTATATCATAAAGTTTATGTAAGGAATGAATATCAACAAAATGTAATTATTGTTAAAGAAATGGAAGATATAGAATTAACTAGAATACAAACCGTGGATATTAGTGGACTTTGTGTGCATCCTGCTTGTGTTGTAAGTGCAACATTAACAACAATTCGTGCAGAAACAGCTGGGAGTCATCCACATCCTGAAAGTCTCTTACTCAATGTTTCTGGACGACTTTTGATGGTTCAGCGGGAACATTGCACTGATAATCCAGATATTGTAAGTATTTATTATTGACGATTATTGGAAAATTGATAATTAGCTTAATTTCTTTTACAGCTTTTCACCTGTAGTCCTCCAACAGTGTTAGCTTCGTGCGTCGAAAATGTATGGGTTCCATGGCGGTCAAGAAGAGACAAGCCTCATTTAACTGAAGCATTATGGTTGTTTTGTGGTGCTCATGGCATGCGTGTCTGGCTTCCGTTATTTCCAAGAAATCACCAAGAAAAAACACATACATTTATGAGTAAAAGAATAATGCTGCCTTTTCACTTGTGTATTTATCCACTGGCTATATTATTCGAGGATGCAATCTTATTAGGAGCTGAAAATGACACTGTGCTGTTTACATCTGATACTAATTCTCCCTTCTCACTGCCTTTTAGTTTATTGGAATTAACGGTATATATATATACATATACACACACACACACACACGTATATATTTTTACGATTTTGAACTATTTTATCTAACATCATTTTCATATTTTAGAGTCAAGTTTATCTTCACCAAATATTGCGACAACTCATTCATAGAAATTTAGGATATCATGCATGGGAAATAGCACGTTCTTGTTCTGCACTGCCATATTTCCCACATTCCTTAGAATTATTACTTCATGAAGTACTTGAAGAGGAAGCAACGAGCAAAGAACCAATTCCAGATGCTCAACTACCATCTGTAGTAGAATTCATCCGAGAATTTCCGGGAGTATGGGCAAGAGCAGTTGTGCAATGTGCAAGAAAAACTGAAATCGCACTTTGGCCATATTTATTTTCTGTTGCTGGACCACCTAAGAAACTTTTACAAGATTGTTTACAAAGACAACAACTTGACACTGCTGCGAGCTATTTAATCATATTACAAAATCTCGAGCCATCAGCCGTTAGTAGGCAACATGCTACTTTATTATTGGATGCTGCTTTAGAACAAGGAAGATGGGAACTCTCAAAAGATCTTGTTCGTTTTTTAAGAGCCATTGGTAATAAATAAATGAGAAATTTTATTAAAAAATTATATATTAAATATTACATATTTATCTAATATCTATCATAATTATTTTAAAGACCCAAATGATGTGGAGTCGCCTCGTACATCTTGGGGTGGTACAACTAAGTTAGGAGGACATACACAAACTCCTCCTTTATCACCTCATGAAGACGACTTGTCTCTCGTATTAGGAACCATGCAAGTATCTAGGAGTCGTAGCTACAGTACTACAGCAACACCAAAAGTACAATCTGAATCAATGGCTAAAGATATTGCACCATCTTCTATGTTAGAAAAGACTAGGAATGTTGTGATGAGACGAAAAAAATCTGTACCAACTGTTAAAATCGAAAAGTCTGATACCAAGTAAGTCTGAAATAAGTTAATTAAGATCTATTTCTTTTTTTTTTACCGTAATAGCGGTATTGATTGAAACGTACTATTTTTTATTTTAATTTACAGAGAAAGTTCAGCCGAAGAATTCTTCATTGATGTTATCTTACAGCGTCATGCTCGTCGATTGCTTTCAGCTCGCAGATTACTAGATTTGGGAAGATTTGCTGCCCATTTAGATTTTCATCTGGTAACATGGCTTGGTAGAGAACGCGATAGAGCAGCTAAGATTGATGACTTTATTGCTGCTTTGAAAGCAGTACATGAAGATTTTGCATATCCATATCCAATTTTGTCGCTTCCTAATTTACAAAGATTTAGAAGATCCAGCTTGACATCGTTACGATCAATAAGATCTATAAATCTTGAAAGTCCTGAAGATGAAACAGTGACCCCAAATTTTGCTATTGATTTACCAGATAGTGGATATACAAGTTTACCTAGTGGCAGACCTCCTTATACTAGCTTGGTGTCTCCTGTTGCTAGCTTAGAAACACAATTTCCTGCCACTGAAGCAAAACTAACTCCAAATATGTTGCATGGTAATATTAAGTTTTTCATACAAATAAAAAGATGTGTGTGTGTGTGTGTGTGTAAAAAGATTATATAACTAATAAGTAGTAATATTTATTTGAATAATTTATTATTTTAGATACGAGTAGCGTAATTAGTGACGCTAGTACAATCTGGCGTGATGATGCCGAATCCATTGTGGGAACTGGTGTGGGTACAGTGTGTTGGGTATCTTCGGAACCAATAGAACCAACAGAAATTCATTTAGCTTCGCATTGTGCCCCAGTTAGCAGAGCAGAAGTACAACTTAGGTATCTCTTACAATTGTTCCTTGAAGGTGGTTGTTTAGGATGGGCAGCGATATTGGCTGTGGTTTTAAGAGATGCACCAGCTATGTCAAGAACTGTACGAGCAGCACACGCACCAATGCAAACCCTTGAATCTATAACGAATTTGAGAGATGGACTTTTGACTCTTACTAGATGGTCTCAATCAGAATGGTACGTCGGTGTGTAATTCATTATTATATTATATGAAAAAAAGAAGATCGAAGAAATTTCTTTATTATTTTTACAGTTTGGGGTATAGACCATTTATATCAAGTATACAAGGACAAATATCACTTTTGTGTAGATTAGTATTGAATAAACAACAGCAGGAACAAGAGCAAATACCAGAAAATCCTTCACCCGGGCCAGTTCCGACTGTCAACAATAATCAACGCGGTAATCCATCTCGTTCTCGACACTCTTCTATTAGTCATGCATCTGCTAGTACTCCATTGGAGGAAGAACGATCGCGTGAATCATCTGTATGCGTAGAGGAAACTGGATTTCGAGAAAATTATAATAATCTCAATACTATAGAGCGTTCCTCTGAACAATCTACTTGTATAATCTGTTAAACTAATACCATTAGAATGTTCATAGATCTCCATAGTTTATTATAAGTGAAACTCAGAAATTCTATTCTGAAATTATGGGGATATGTCTTTAATAATGTTTGAATTAAACAAGTTCTATTGAAGAAGAAAAAAGAAAAATCTAGGTGTTAATTAATTACTGAAGTAATTAAAAATCTTTTTGATATAGGATCTCTGAATATATAATTTGAATTTTTTTGCATCTAAAGCAATTTCTTACATATATAATTGTCATGAATCTGTTGAAAAAAAAAATTGGCGAAACTATTATTTCAAATATAGATTTTAATACAAATGAATGTAAATCTTAAATACCTCAAAAATAATCACTTTTACAATACATATTTTCATTGTACGCAACATGAAATTTATCATAGAAGACATTAGCAAGATAGATAAATACAATAAGTTGTAGGTTTGTTTTATAGAAGGAAATTAGATATAGCTTTCGTTCAGTATTTAATATAAGGAAGCAATTTTATTTCTCAGAATTGGTATATTAAATATTGTTACATTAAAGACTGGGAAATAGAAGTGCAAACATATTTAGTATAACAATCGTATAATCATTTACAGATTGCAAACATTTATATTTAAAAAGAAATCAATTTCAATTGAAATTTTTCTTTTAATATTTCATATTTAGTTAAGAATGAAGCAATACTACGTTGACCTTGATATAATTATGAAGCAAAAGATACATATGATGATCTCTATAGATTTGTCACATTGTACCTGTATTATACAATTTCTTGTTTTGGACATTTCTTATATACAAAGTTTTAAAACTCATTTTTATAAATTGTACTATTCAAATTCATAGATTTTCTTTATAAAATTAAAACTATTGACTATATAAATTTACCATTGATATTTTGAGAATATATAATAACAGGAGTACCTCATTAATATATATCCTCACATAGGAAATACTTATGTTATTCAAACTTTTTATTTTGACAAAAGATATACATAATATATACGTATGAAAAAAGGTTTGCTTAACATGAAAAAGAAAAAAAAAATACAATACTTACAATTTTAGAAAGAAATTAATGTATTTGTTTACAGGAATTGTAATGTATGCAGTTTATATGGATTATTACTGTAATTACTATGCTATACTATGCTATAATGATTAAATTAGTACAATTGAAAATAACATCAATAAATAATCTTCTTTCAAGAATAATTACAGGAGAAGATCTATCAAAACTGTGTCAATGATCATTATTTTGTAATATGTTGTAAAATGTGATATTAATTTTTTTTTTCGTAACAAAAGAAAAAAAGACTATTACATTGGTATGTCTGTTGTACGGTAAATGAGAAAAATGCAAAGTGTAAAACACTTGTCTAATTATTATTATAACTAAATATAAATGGAATTTTTATCAGCATTTTACATGAGCTAATATTGCAATAATATCAATGAATATAAAATAATGTAAAATATTAATAAGTTATTTATACATGCTGTAATATAGATATCCATAAATATACGTTATATTTTCACAACATTTACTGCAATCTATACTTTGTTTATAAACAATTGGTACTTCCATTTAAGGCTGGTTTATTAATCCCTGGTTGTTTAATGATTTAATAAAAAGATAAAGATTCTACAAGCAATGTTGTAGTACATTGGGAAGCATCTAAATTCGTAATTTAGGAAATCTACCTTAAATTCTCGGGGCTAAAAATGATTTTTTTTTTTTTTATTGTATCGATGTAAACGAAAATAATGGACTAATTTATTCTTTTTCTTATTTGATAATTTTGGTAAGGTATAACTATCCAATCTCTTATATTTATTTCCTTAACTGATGGCTGATGTGAATTTCGCGGTAATCTTTGTTGGAATAGGACACAGCAGCAGTATAATTTTGTTCGATGACATATATATAAAGTATATACATTTGTCGATTATTTTGTACAAAAGTAATAATTATTATATATTATTTTTAATAAAGATCAAAACACGAGTTCATTATCTCCCAGAGATTTTTTTCCCAGCGTTATTTTGTCATGGTTTTCTCTGTAGGAGTTCACTTCGTATTATTATTATTATTAATAATATTTACTATAATATATTACTATAATCATAATAATAATATTATAATATAGCCATACGAACTATAAGTAAGAAGAAACAGAGGAATGTACTTATATTAGATATATCATGACGATAATTTATGACAACAAAAATGATGGGATAAAATTTTCAACACTTGTATCCTTGATAATTTGTGGACACATGACTGCCCCTCGATAAATAATTTTAATACAAATGACATATGAAGAAAAGTACGAAATGTTTCCTTTTACTTTCGTCCTCTTTATTTTACTATCTGATTGTTATGCATTTGTTTTCACACCGTTTCTTATTCACGGATCAGTCGAAGCCATTTGTCTTTACTATTATAATATAAAATGTATTAAATAATATCTAGATGTATATAAATAATACTTGAGTACATTATTATATTATATTATTACTATTATCAATAGTAGTAGTAATAGTAATAATTGAAGTAATATAGGAGACATTTTGAAGAAAATATTCGACAAATTCTTATTTTTCGTCGGAAATTTATTTTACTAATTCTTATGTGTCAATTATATTTATTATTTTGTATGGATTTATCGTGGAACAAATGTGTACCGACGTCCTCCTATCGATCACTACGAGATGCACGCTACCATCAAAGAAAAATATACATATAAGAGACTAAAAAGAGTGAGTTCACAATCTACTCTAAACATATGAACTAATTGTTATGTATGGGAGAGGGAGAGAGAGAGAGAGAGAGAGAGAGAGAGAGAGAGAGAGAGAGAGAGAGAGAGAGGGAGAGGAATAACCGAACAAGCTTATACATCGATACAATAGATGCATGATGGGAACACCATTTTTCGCTTCTCTTATTCTTTGTAGTTCATATTTTGTCCATACCTGTCGCTGAAGTCACACACGTTTTGAATAACAGGTAGTGAATAACCTTGGCGTATGTATATAAATATGCGTATGTACGCATAAGTAGCAGCATATCGGTTAAAAAAGACATATGAGGTGTATACATACATATATTCATATCTACATATTAAATAAACTTCGTTATTAAATAACGTTATAAATAATAATTAAAATTTGTTATAAAAATGATATCACAGTTTTATAACATAGACCCATTTCGTCTTAATCTATCGTATACAAAACAGACAGAATTAATTTTACGTAATGTAGGGGCTGGTAATTTATTAAAGGAATTTCAAAAACGAAATATAACGAGTAATGAACTGCATATGCTAACTAAACAAGATTTTATACATTTAGGTATTTGATGTTTTATTTATTACTAATATCACACATGTATAGATAAATGTATGAATCTATAAATATTTGTATGTTTAAATAATAGGTGCTGATGAAAATCTGGCAGAAGAATTGTTAAAACGACTAAAAATTGCATCAAAAAATAATCTCCACATAAAATTCGTGATGCAAAACAAGTATTTTCATTTTTTAAATCATCGCTTCTTTTCTTTAATAATAACTAATATTAATTATATTTTACAGATTTGAAGATGTCATTAAAATGATTGAAAATAATAACAAACAATTGAATTTTATTAATATGTATATTAATTACGTTCGATTAAAACTTATGAAGTCAGAAAAGAATTTTTACATGGAAGTAGATGAACTACTAACTGTTACTTCAATTTTATACATAGGTATAACGGAAACTCTTATTGAAGTAGATGATATGGAGAAAGCTATAAAAGAATTATACGCTTTAGTTCCAAAAGTATGTATTAAAATAAAAGAGATATGTTTTGTGTGACAATATTTAAGTTTCAAAAATAATAATAAAAGTTATTGTATTATTGTAGGATGATAAACCGAAGAAGATAAAACGTTTCATATATTTCTCTACATTGTTTGCTGGATTAAGTTTAGTAACATGTTTGGCATTACGTATACGAAAAGTCTGAACTTTCACCTATATATATAATTCTTTTTTATATAGAAACATTTTTTTTTATCAACATTTTATTATTATATGATAGGAATGATATATGATAAGAAAATAAAAATTAATCCAATTTTCTTTTATTTACTTAAAGCTTCAAGTTTTAGTTTGAAAAGTGTCATCATATAAGTTGAAGAAATAAATAAATGAAAGAAAATTTTTAATAAAGTACTTTTATAATTCTGTTTGTAAATTTATTCTCCTTTTTGATAACTTTTGAAATCTAATAATATATATATATATATATATATATATATATATATATATATATATATATATAGTTTAATACACATAAGAAAAAAGAAAAAGAATGAAGAGATAAATAAAATATGCAGCACTATAGAAAAATATTGTGTAAGTATAAGTTCTTTTATATGTCATGTAGTTGTTGATATAAAACAGTATTTAAATACAGTGAAAAAGCATTATTCATTTTAGCGATAATGTATTACACAAACTGTATATTGATAATATATAATTGTTAATATAATTATATATTAATAATTTATTATGTACTAATATAATTATACATTTACATTTTAACTGTACAATTATTTCCCTCGTTCAATTCTTTAATATCTAAAAATAGTATTTTATACTGTTTTATTCTAAATTGTATTTTTCTGGCGAGGTGGATCTGTCGAAAAATTATTCATTACAATATTATTGAAGTATATTATTATATGTTTTATATATGCATGAAATAATTAGAGATACTTACGCTTCTTCTAAAAGTTGTAGTACATGTTTATGTTCTATTCCTTCTAGCCATAAATTAAGTAATTCCTCACGTTTACAGCTTAATAACTGTTTACAAGCATTTAAATTTTCTTTTACAGCATGAATTTTCTCTCTTGCTGCAGTAACTCTTTCAGATAGAGTACTAAATATCTAAATAAATAAGTAATAAATAATTATTGAATATATGATGATATATACAAAAATAATGAATTATGCCAATTTATAATTAACTAATAAGACTTACTTGCATAACCTCCATAAGATCTTGCTCATGCAATGAAACTAATTCGTCTAATCTTTGATCACTTCGCTTATATTCTTTTTCTAATTTAGCTTTCTCAATCTCTCTTTGTTCATTTGTTTCAGAAGCAGAAAGTGCTCGTATTACTGAGATTAGTAAACCGCTCTATAAAATATGTAGACATATTTGCTTCATTTTTATGAATATTTCTTTTTTGTTATAATTATTAAATTTACCGTTTCTTTAGTGGGTTTAATTCCACGTGGAGGTTTAATGGGTGCACTTGCGTTCATTCTGTGATATCAAACAAAATCTGATTGTAACAAGAAATAAATTGTATAAACCCGTGTTTATCATGAAACTAAAAGGTTATACTCATTTTGGTTATATTTCATTAGAAATAACATAATATTTTTTAATAGTATAAAAATTATCTACTCATATATTAGTATTTTACACTTATATGTAGTTAGTTTTAACATTTAAATGAACACCTATCATTTTTGAGAAGACGTCTATCAAATTTCACACTTGTTTTCACTTGCTTTTTCGTAAACTTTAAAAGAATCGGGAATAACCAAAAGTAACCAAGACGGACAAATGGCTATAATATTACAGAGCTACATCTAGCGGTAGATTGAGGAAATCTCTACAGTCTCGCTTCGTGATTATGATTAAGACTTTTGCTTAAGCTAAAATTGATAAATCGTTTGTAAAATGGTAAATAATTTTTATTTCTAACTGAACGTTTATTTCATAAAATAAGAGCATGATAATACCCGTATATTCAATGTATTTTTCTACGAATTAATTATATTCATGAGTTTATAGATGGAAAAGATCGGCTTTTTATAATGAGAGTGAGGTTAAATTTGTCGAATGCCTCTCGTGGCACTCAATTATTTTATTGCGTCATATTATATTCCATTAAAAAAAAACATAATTTTTCATACTTTTTAAATATTGCTAATTTTAATTACATGGATATACATATATATATATATATATATATATATATATATATATACACACACACACACGTATATCCCTGTGTTATGCTTCTTAGTAAGAATTAGGAAATATTTATATATATGCATGTATATGATACAAATGAATTATTTATAAATAATTATAGTTTAGAAGAAATTTGTAGTAAGAATTTTTAATTAAAAGTTTCAGAATTTCGTGACATGCAGGATTAATTTAATAGGTATTGCTCGGTCCACACAATCACAGAGGAGATTTAGAAATGGCTCGAGAGAACATTCTTCATCGCGCCATCCACTGTTACGAACAACCTGTTTTCATTTACCAGATGATATACAAAGTTTATCAGTGAGTTTTTTCTTCTCTATTACCAAAGCACATTTTCCTATATAACTAACAATATATTATATTTATTTAGATTCGTTCATATTCAAATCCAGCACGAAGACCCAGTTTCTTTTCTCAATTTGTTGAAAATATTAAACAAGAAATGCAGAAAAATAAAGAGATGAAAGAATCATTAAAGAAATTTCGTGAAGAAGCAGAGAAATTAGAACAGTCAGAAGCGTTGCGTTCAGCGAGACAAAAATTTCAAGCAGTTGAATCTGAAGCCTCCAAAGGATCCGAAGCCATAAAAGAAAAATTGGACAGTCTAAAAGAAAAAGTATGTCTATATACAATTAATGATCACCTGATAACAGTATCAATGTATTATTTTGTAATTTTATCGTATCGACGTTGATATAACAACTCTTATGATAGGTACAAGAAGTTATTGAGGAAGCAAGTAAATCTGAATTAGGCAAAAAGGCAGGACAATTAGGTGAGGAAATAACTAAATCGGCGAAAGGGGCAGCAGAAACGATTTCGGAAAAAAGTCAAGCACTTGGAAAAACAGGAGCTTTCCAAACTATTTCACAGACAGCAGAGGTTGTAAGAAAAGAGTTAGATCATCAAGGAATGCAAGGTTTTATATTGATTATATATTAATACATCTATTTAGATATACAGACATTTATCGTTTTATTGTTCGATACAGGAAGAGTTTACGTACCACTTACTAAATTAAGAAAAAGAAAAGAAATAGTAGATATATCTTTAGATGAAAAGCAGTTTCAACCTAATATGGATGCACGAGGAGTTGAATTGCATAAAGATTCTAAATTTTTTCAGTCTTGGCAAAATTTTAAGGTACCTTCTCATTTAACTTAATAATTTTTTATTTATTTTTCTTTTTTTTTTTTCTTTTAATTTCTTTTTTTAATTAATCGCATCAATTTCATATTTAATTAACTTTTTTTTGCATTTTATTTTTCTACAAGGATAACAATCCATATATGAATAAAGTATTGGATTGGAAAATCAAGTATGAAGAATCGGACAATCCTGTAATTCGTGCTTCCAGATTTTTTACCGAAAAAGTTAGCTATATGGTTGGTGGTATGTTCCAAAAGACAGATTTGTCGGAGACATTAACGGAAATTTGTAAGCTGGATCCAAGCTTTGATAAAAATCAATTTTTAAGAGATTGCGAGATAGATATTATACCAAATATACTTGAAGCTATGGTTAGAGGGGATCTTGAAATTTTAAAAGATTGGTGTCACGAGGCCGCGTTTAATGTAATATCACAACCTATTATGCAAGTACAAAAATTGGGATATCATTTAGACAATAAAATCTTAGGTATGATCATTATTCTTAAAAAATATATTTCAATGCAAGACGAATAGTTTTTAAATTTAAATATTATTTATTTTCAGACATTGAAAATGTAGATCTTTTAATGGGTAAGATGATGGAACAAGGTCCAGTTTTATTGATAACGTTTCTCAGCCAACAGATACTATGTATAAGAGATAAAGATAATAACATAATTGAAGGAGATCCTGAAAGAGTGATGCGTTTCAATTACATTTGGGTATTATGTCGGGATCCAACGGAACTCAATCCAAAAGCTGCTTGGCGTTTACTTGAAATTAGCTGTTCGAGCGTCAAGCAATTTGTATAGTGCACTGATTCTAGATTAAATTCATATTTTATTTCCGGATAATTGATGTCAAAAGCGATTAAAAGTTATTTTAGATGTTTCTTTGTTTTTTTCTACAATGGAACAGCACGTAATGGTTGAATCATTTTCTCCTAAATAAGTTGGCTGTTATAGTTACAATTATCAAATATTTCTTCATATAATGTCGGATTAAAAAAGTACCGTCATATAAAAAGACATCATTTAAAACAAAAATTCTTTTCTTGCTTCTTAAAAAAAAGAAGACCAAGAGAGAGAGAGAGAGAGAGAGAGATATCTCTTACACGGTACGTGTAATTTTTACGTGAAGAATATTAATTCTATCATCTGAAAATAATTGAAAGAATCAATCGAAAGTTAACATGGACATTAACATGAAAAATGAATAATTGAGCACCGATGTATGCCTATTATTTTAAAACTATACCATATAACATGGTAGAGATGTGTATACATTCATGTAACATAATTTTGTATACATACCTTACAAATTTTAGTTGTATGATCTCTGTATATATGCGATTGCTTTCATTAAGAATATCTATAATAAACAATAGACTACTTTGTTAGATCCATGATGTTTTTTAACCTTTGTTATACTAACAGTTATAGATAGACACGTTGAACAAGTTCAACATTTAATTTTGTATATTGCGATAATATGAAATAGTAAGACAAATGTATTAAATTTAGTTAAACATGTAATTAGATATGAAGTATTTGCTATTTAAGTGTGTACATATTTACAAGATATTATTTATATTCCACGATGTACAGTATCTAACTTTTTTGCAACAGTGTTAATTTATTTTGAAAAACCATGGGAAACAGATTAAAATTATCTATTATCACAAGCTGAAATAAAATGTCATTATTTGATAAATATTAATTTCACAAATACATATCCCAACATTTGCATTATAATATACAAATATTAATACGATATAATTACAAATATAAAATTTCCATTGTTACAGAATACACGTGTACACAATCTGTATGGAATTTAAAATTACATTAACATATCATAATTCTGTAAATTCACAGTATATACGTGAACTTTCCTCTTTTTTCTTTTTTTTTTTTTTTTTTTTTTTTTTTTTTTAATTAAAATTTATAAATTAATTCGATGATCATTTTTCTATTTTTTTTTTTCTTCCTTGTCGATTTTTCAACATCTACGTCGGCGGATCTCATTTGGCGATTATATCAGCGACCTTGAGATTTCTATTCGCAAATATTGAAATAGAATTGAAAAATCTAGGATATAAAAATAAATTCTTATCATACAGAGATTGAAATGTATCGTAAATTTTTTACTATCGGAACATTATCTGTAAAAAGACATAGTCTTAGAGATTTTTTCTTAGACCAATTCATTAAAAGAAGTCTTATAGGATTCGAAATGGCGTTAAGGTATGCGCGTATATTACGTCAGAATTTGGAGGTTTCGTTGGTATCGTGGGAACCTGTTTCGATAGTTCTTAATGGTCATATATGGATGCTTCCGATCAAAATCACGTGCCGATTTTACAGCTATGTATGAACGAAAAAAGAAAAAAAAAGAACAAAATTTTATTTCATCAAGTTCTGACGTGATTTTCTGTAGAAAAAAGAAAAAAGAAGAAAGAAAAAGAAGAAAGAATCACAATAGAATAGAATTTAACAGCGTAATAACACATTCTCCATTCGAGATATCAAGTTGATCTGATCCAGGACATTAGCTCGGAGAAACTTTCACGTACAAATCGCTATCCGGCATCAAAGTTCATTGTAACTTTCAAGAGTTATTTCTGAATGAAAGGTCTTTTGTAATAGCGATAGCGTATTCCAAGTATTGTTTTCGATGTATTAAAACTTCATTTCCATACTTTTTATCGTATTTAACGATTTTACGATATTTAATTGGTACCAGCATAGATAATTAAAATTTTAATTAAAATTAAAGTTTTCCATAATCTTGCAAGATAATGTATCTTTTTGTATTTTCTTAAATAAATCAATACATACACGTTGGATGGAAACGTGATAATGATCGAACATCTCAGGACATAAAAAGCATATATAGGATCGAATTTTAAATAAGAAGATTTTCATTCAAAAGAATGTGAAAGAAAAAAAAAAATAAGCGCAGAACATGGTTCGTCTTGTATATATCCGCGTATCGATATACCGTTGTGTATCATTCTCCTTTTATTTGCATACAATTTCAGCGCACCCTGTTCAAAGGAAGAAGAAAGGATGACGAGGAGGTGGAGGAGGAGAAGGAGAACGAAGATGAGGAGGAGGATGAAGATATGGAGGAGGAGGAGGTGGAAGAGGAGGAGGAGGAGGAGAACAAGGAAAAGAAGGTAGGAAAGGTGTAGACGGTCAATCGGTGCCAGAGTACCGTTGGATCTGAATGGAGCTTGAGAGAGAGATAGCTTTCGGTTTCCCTACACAGCATCCGTTCTCGGTCGTTGCTGCACCTTCAAAGTTGTGTGTCGCAGCTGGGGCTCTCCTTTAACCCCTTCCACTTTTCTCTCGCTGTTACCTCGCGCAACGCATTATTTCACGCTCGTGACTTGCCGAGCTAACTACCGCGAAACCATCCTCGATAGGACGGATTTCTCCTTCGAAGGAAAAAAAAAACATTCGATGTTTGTTTCCTTGATCGAGTTTCTCTCTTTTTTTCCTTTTTTTTCCACTTAATTACCCTATCTCAAAGTGTATTAGAGAAGAGCGGTTAAAGTGTGTGAGCGCGGGAGCATTCGAGCATTCATGAACCACGTGCACCTGCAGGTGCACGTAGGCGTTAACAGCTGCCGGTGATCCTTTCGAACCTTTTAACCAACGAATTTTCTTTGAAATATCCGTTCAGGGATAGTGAAATGTATCATTCTGGTGTGGGTATTTTGGATCGAACGTTTTTTACGTCGACGAGCTATCAGGTACGTTAGATTTTATATTCATTTTTTCTTCATATTTTAAAGTAAAAAAAAAAAATGGAAGAAAATGTATTGGTTATCTCTTCGCGAAAACGTTTATCATTTTTAAGATTTAATTCGACTGCGGAGCTATGTAGAATTTATTTTTTACTTTGGTTGAACTCGATCGTTGATCGAGCATCAAGTTTGCCGAGCGTGACATAGCCGAGCGTTTACACAGATCGTGAATCGCGTTACAAGCTTTATACATGCTTGACGATCAATTTGCAGACGGTTCACTGATATAGATAGGTACCTCCTAACATACTTTCCGATACTTTCTTCTTGTGGTCGCGAGTGAGTGTATTTGAAGTATGTCAACGTGCTGCTACAGAAAGAGACCATTCGACTGACTTTCAGGGGGATCATTCCATGCGAAATCGATTATTTTTTAGAGTATAACATTTCTCTTTCTACGTTTTCAATAAGTGTGGATTTCTTGTGATTTATTTTTCTTTTCTTTCTTTTTTTTTTCTTCTTGAATCGAGAATTTCATTATTATTGAAGAAATGCCAACGAAGGGTCTGGAGGCGGCAGATGTCCTTGTGGCCCTCGAGTCAAAGCTCGCTTATCTTCCTGGTGGACGTGATCGCGAGGGACGACCTTTGATAGTGGTCAACGTCCCATCTGAACTTCAACCGACAACGAAACCACACTTGGAATCGATCATCTTATACTTCTTGTCGATTTTCAGGTAATCGATAAATAATATCGATTATTTGTTTAAAAAAAAAAAAAAAATGAAAAATAATGACGACTATTATTGCATATAGAAATACGCACACTTCGTCGATTTCGATGATTTTTGAATATGTTGTCGGAGGGATGATTCGGAACAATTTTTTTTTCTGTACATGTAACTGCCACTTGGTCTTAATTTCCAAGATATACATGATAATATCTTCTATTTTCGTTTTTAACTAAACTTTATTGCTTCAGTTAATTACTAGCCTGACGCAACTCAATTTTAAATCAAATCTAATCGAAACAATCCAAAATTAAAATCACAATTAAACGAGTTTTTATTTAATTTCAATTAGTTTACGTTTAATTTGAAGCATGATTTCAATTGATTTGGATTGCGCCAGGTTAGCAATTAATTGCAGTAATAAATCTTCGTCGTGCAGTAAAAAATCGTTCGATTTCTCTGTCGTCGGATGTGTATCTACTTTTGACGCACTATAATTTTTCAATTATATACAGCGAAGGGACGAAGAAAGGTGGTCTGGTATTGATCATAGACGCACGCTATCGAGCATGGCGAGTTGCAAGATCTTGCATCAGGTTATCGGTGATGCTTCTAGGAAGTCGTGCAACTTCCGTGTTCGTTATACGTCCAGATGGGTTCTGGGACAAGCGTGTCGACAGTTGTACCAAGTCCTATAAGGACAGCGAGGTCTGTATATTTTCTCTGAAAGAACAACTTTTTTACTAATCAACCTTCTACTAATAGTTAATTCCATGTTTATCCGTACAAGTAATTATTTCCTCGTTTTAAGGTTGTTCAACCTATTTGATCGTTATAAACATCGAAAATTATAATTCATTCTATGAGCTAGAAAGGGCTTTCGAACTGACAGAATAATTCGATACACTTTCGATTAATCTTGACAAGGAACGAGATCTGATTTATACTTTGTTTTTTTTTTGTTTTACGATATTTTTGTTTTTTCATCAATTTCGATTAATTCGAGTACTTGCTGCTCTTGGCAATTTTTAAAATAATTCTTTTGCTATTTTTTTCAGCCGATGTATGTTACCGTCGAAAGACTTCACGCGTTTATTGAATTTTCTCAATTACCATATGAATTGTGCGGCAACAAGTTTTACGATCACACGGAATGGATTCGAAAACGTTTGGTACGATCTATTTTATTGTATATATAGAACATTTTCAATAAGAGTTATCGAATATTTCTTTGTTAAAGCTTTCAAATTTTTAAAAATTTTTACTGCAACATATAGTATGATTGAATACAATTATATATGAAACACAATATTAGTCAGGCGGTAACCATTTTTTTTGTACGATACCACCCTCTTTTTTCTAGATTTTTGATGACATTTTCACATAATTTATTTAGGAAAAAGAAAAAAAAAAGAGAAAGAAAACATTCGGTAACTTTCATTGAAAAAACTCTATATTATTCTTATTACATTATTGCTTAATTTAATTTATCGATTACTTTATAGAAAGTCGAAGAATACATGAAGGATGGCTTAGAATTATTATCGAAAATGTCGAATTTGCATGAACGATTGAGTAGCCTTGATGGGATTCGCATGAGGCAATCGGATGATGATTTAGAATCTTATTGGGAAATCGGAATGGAACTTACGTCTGTTGCTTCTCGTATTCTTAACTCAGGTTTATTAAACATTAAATAAATCATCGGAGTTACGTATTATATAAGGAGATCTAGACAAAAAATTTTCTCTTTTTATATTCATAGGTAGGAGTTTAGTCAACACTATGAGTAGGGATTCGTCAAGAGATTCTTTGGACACGGTTAAACGGATACATGGACTTCTTGATTCCATTGAATTAAAACAGGTAACTCGTTTGCGATATATATATATATATATATGTATATATATATGTAAATCTAGATTTTACATTTCTATCACATTCATTATTTATACAGGTAGACATTGAAAATTGTTGGACTCAAATGGAAAGAAGTTTGGACACTGTGAAGGTAATAGACGACCTCGAAAAAGGTGTTTCACAAGTAACAGAGTGGATTTTGGGACCGGCTGATGCCATGTTGAACTGTTCCTATCAAGTTGGCTTTGACGTGATATCTTCGGACGAGCTTAGACGGCAGCACGAGCAATTAGAATTAAAATGTCGAGTAAGATACCCGTGAAAATGATTTTATTATAGTTATGTAAAAACATTTTTCATGATAATGTTCCTTTGATATTTTTTTAGGAGACGTATGGTCGTTACGCTGAGTTGCTTCATAAGATTGACTGTTTGCCGACAGGTCATTTACCGGAGGATTTGAAGTCTCAAAAGGATTTCATGGATTTTGTTTGTCGAAGCTTTGCATCTAGATTGGAAAGACGAAGGAACGTTCTCATTACCTGCCAGAGATTCTTTAGGCTTGTATCTGAGGTAAGTGTAGAAAAAAAAAAAAGAAAATACATTGAAAAAGAAAGAAAAGACTCTTTGTCATTTTTAGTACTTCGATAAGACGAGCGAAGTTTTTGACAAGTTGGTGATGACAAATACGACTCATGATTTTTCTCAAGCTAGCTTGAAACTACTCATGCTGGAAAATAATCAATTAGCCTTGGGTAAGTATGAAATTATATGATACAATAATGGTTCGATGTAATGTATGAAATTTCAACTATATTACTAGATGTATTTTGTAGAAGTGTTAGAACAGGAACTTGTGAAAGAGGGCGAGAAACTTTCAGACATCTTATCGATGCCTGTTAAAGATGCCCTGGGAAGAGACATTCATGTTGATTATGGCGAGGACATTGTCAATGTACGCGATATTTTGGATGCTACGATCGCTAGGAAGAATATCTTTAATGATAGCGTAGAATTGCAGAAGCTGACTTTGAAACAAATCTCCTTAATACATACTTATGAGAACGACGCCGAACAGGTAAATAAAAAATTAATTCGAACGAAAATCCTATTTCTAAATTTTTTTGGATTGATACTTATTAGGCTGTTAAATGGTTGAACGATTTGTTCAACGTTCTCTTTCACAATCTTATGGAGGTTGGATGTAATACTAGCGAAATACAATCGCAAAAAGAAAAACATCAGTCCTTTCAGGAAACTGCGAAGGCAAGTTTACTCTATAGATATAACAAAAAAGAAAACGAAATGTCTATAAGAAAAATAGCGTATGCTAAATGATTTTATCTTATTTTTTTACAGGGAACTTATGAGTACGGTTGTCAATTGGTAAACGGAGCACGAGTGTTAAGATTGTCTTGCAGATTATCATTGGACAACAACGTTCACTTGTTTTCAAGATTACGTCAAACATGGAAACAGTTACGTTCAGCTGGTCAAGAGCAACTAACTAGGCTACGAGTATGTGCCGTTTTTCATAGAAGCGTTGAGGATGTACGTAAATATGTTTTGCTGATGAAGTAATGCATGACAAGGCAAAAACTTGAGTTATCACGAATGTTTTTCTTATATACAATTTTACAAAATTTTAGCATTGTTCGAAATTGCGGGATTTGATTGAAATCGTTGGGTCTTTAAAACGAGCGAGAAAAAATGAAGATTTCGCTAGCGAGTGCCGTGCTAGAGCTGAGATAAGGGATATCTTGGGTGATCGAGAAAAACTATTGTTGGACGTTGGCCGCATGGTGAGACTAGGACGTCTTTTGAGGACCAGATTAAAGGAACCCGTATACCATCAACGGCAAGTACGACGACGGATCGACGATTCATAAAATTAATCGCTAAGTTATTATTTAAAGAAAATAATTCATCAAAGTGAAAACATTATCGCGATCGGTATTTTGGTGTTGTATGAACAAAAAAAGAAAAAAAAAAAAAAAAAAAGAAAAAAGAGAAAATGAAAGCCCGAGAGAGGAGATCGTGCAATTGGGTTAACTCAATAAACATAAGGTATATTTCACTCGTCGTAGTACGTGGCTTTCCGTAAACTAAAGTGCCAGGGGAGATAAAGTTGAATATAAATTGTAAGGGGCAAGAAAGGGGGGGGGGCTAAGTTGGCGGTTAGCTCCGTTTTTAATAGAGGCGGCGTGTCAGTTCATGGTTGTTCGTCGAAGGGATAGCAACATCTTATGAGCGGTTCATGTGAGTTATATCAGACCTAAGACTAAAGACATTTCTTTGTTCTTCTCACTTCTTTTTTATCCTTTGAACGTCTTGTCGATATGATCTATAGAAAATGATTATAAACTTGTTACTTGTTGTATAATATTATTTACACGTCTAATCGTCCGATTATATTCGAATTCGTAGAAATGTGAAAGCGAATCAGATCAAACACGTGTACTCGTCTTTGATGCTTCTCTCATATGTGTTCTTGGCGCGACGAATATGGGACGGTCGTGTGTCTTTAACACATTTCAAGAACAGTATTCATAGAAGTAAAAGTCTTATTTCATAGACGGTCATGGTCAAAAAATAACTCCGCAAAGTGTTGCTTATTGTTAGACTTTGTCCTAGCTTGCCGTTTCTAAGATATATCATATTGTTTACCAATTGTTGATCAAATGTTTTGTACGAATGTATTTACCGCCTGTATGATTTCAATCATACCAAAATATGTACTGACATTAATTCCAGATCTCTGATATAAATTCTTCAACGTGGATAGATTATATCATCATTCTCTCACCCACGTTTCGTGTTTGGAAAATCCGATTGGCACTTTTCCACGAATCGAAGAAACTCTATTGATCAAAACTATGTCGGCGTTAGAGTTTTAAAATCATTTTTAAATATTTTTTTTTTTATATTCGAATACAAGAAACTTATGGCGTATAGATTAAAAACGGCGGATGATCCTGGTACTTGATGCTACAGACGGTGTATCTGCTCCCCGAAATTAGAACTTCGTCCCACATTGAAAGACCATCTGGCCGACGACGCGCCATCACGGCGCGCTGTCACTGTCGTCGTTCTTACGCAATCACTAAAATTTGACGTTTTATCTTAGAAGGTACTCGCGTATCTAATTTTGTCAATGAAAACAGATCGATCGGTGTCGAATTTTATTCGAAATTATTTCTTCAGTGCTCAATTCGTTTTATAACTTTTATAAAGTATAAACCACTTACATATGTAATAATTAATATTTCCTCGGTTTATATACTTATCGACTCATTGAAAAATAACTCGAAGATATTTCTCTCTCTCTCTTTTTCTTCCCTATTATTTTTCTCTTTTTCTAGACGTTACGAAGTAAGGTACGAGACGCAGTAAAATCTTTTTATACCAGGCTAAGTATTAAACATCATATTTATCACTTTCTAGAATGTCCGAAGCCGAGGATGCTTCGGGCAAAGCCGCTAATCTAACAGCGGTCGAAGCGATCTCTGCGAAATTGGCAGAAGTAACCCGGTTAGCCGAGAAGCTGGATGCAAAATTGTGCGAAGCTGGAGCGAGGACTCAGCCGGTACCGATCCCTAGCTCGGCTTTATCGATCTCTTCTACCCTAACACCGACAACGACGACTTTAGCATGCACTACGTCTCCTGTTGTTTTACCTAAATCCATAACGACAACGACAATTTCTTCGATTACTGCACCAATTAGCGAAATAACTCCTACATTTGTTTATTCGAACGATTCTGCTTCATCGTCGATCGGTGCTACCGATGTGTCCACTTTAACTTCTTCTTCTAATTTTGGATTATTGCCTGGACCGATCGTTTCGCATGTTGAAGATACTAAAACTTCGTCAGCAGTTTCATCAATTCCTTCTGGTAGTTTCCCATCGATGATGGCTTCGAGCGAGGTTGTTTCAAATAGCTCATCGATGACCGATGCTGCCGAAGAAAAGCAAGAAATTGTAAGTGTAAAGTAAATTAAAGAATTATGTAATAATTAGCTTTCGATTAATTTAAATATTATCTTTTTCTTAGGAGGATGTTGAAAAGTTACACGAAGAGAGCACGAACGAGGATGTCAATGTAGATGGTTACGTGACAGCTACGGAATGTTCGATCACGCCTACGGCGAGATCGCGAAGCGAATCTTTCGTGACATCTCCGGAATGCGAAGATATTGTAGTTTCATCAACAATACCAACTGCTTCTTCTACTTTAGCTTGGTAAAAATGAACATTATGATTTTTCTCATTTATTCATAAGATATCAATATATTTCTTGGTGTATATATTTTGATGATGTTTCATTTAGGTGGAAGCCGGAAGAGCCGACGAAAGAGCCGGAAATAATAATTCCTGTGAAAGTTGAAAAGTCTGACGTATTGATGCAAAATACCAAAGTCGAAGAAAAAAATGAGTTGGTACCATTAGGGAAAGTCGTTTCCATTGAGAAGACCACGGAGGTAAATCTTAGGCCTTTCTATTTTTATTTCACTAGCTTCGAGAATAATTTTAAAGAAAAATATCTCAATTTATCGCAGGAGAGATCTGGAAAGATCGTAAAGGAAGTCACGGAAACGACTACTTTACGTGTCTCACACGACACTCACTTGGGATTGGCGTCTTATAAAGTTACCTCAAATACGTTGCAAGATCATATGCAAAACGTGGATGTTAAAGAGATGCACGATTCTCATCATGTAATAATTGAAGATCCGAATAAAAAATTGAATGGTATCGATCGTGAAATCGATCCCATTTCTATGAAAGGTACGTTTGATTTTGTGTGTTGATTTATTTTATAAACTTTCTTAATTTTTCATTTTATATTATTATAATCTTTTATAGATTTGTCTGAATCATCTAAAGACGAATCTTCGAAGAGAACACCGATTTATACTAAGATGATCAAGAAGATTACAACGGACGAAGAAAAATCCCATACGATTAGTAAGGAAACGAAAAATGTTTGTTCGATAACGAAAACTTATACGAGACATCACGAAGACAGTGGTATCGAGATGTCTCCGACAAAACGCGATAAAAATGAGATCGAGGGAGAGGAGTTTTTGGAAAACGCAAGGAAGGTGAGTCGTTCGATCGACGATATCACGCAAAATGACGAGAGAAGTTCGTCGGTCGGCTGCTGCAACTGCAGTTGCGCTCACGAAGCTGCTTGTTTCGCTCGTTACGACACAGCCTCCGGTTTATCAAAGTTCGCTGAAATAACTGCCGTAGCTTTGGCAAATGAGAATCGACATCGCCTGCCTCTAGCTAATCCAAGCTGACTGATGTGTGACGCATTTTATGTTTCTTCTTTTTCACAATTTTAACATCACAGATAAGATATCGACAAATAGAATCGAAGTAAAATATACATTATTAATATATAAACATATCGAATGTTTTTATTATTTAACTCCTCGTTAAAGAGTCAATCAGAATTTTATTCTCAAAATAAGGTTCCACGTATGGTATGCATTGCATGGTTTAATGATTATTATTATTTTCTTTTTTTTTTTTTTTTTTGTAAATAAAGTATCATGTATCGAATACATCAAGATTTTCATTGATTACTGCACGATATTTGAGATTTATTGCATGTTGATCGAAGGTAAGTGCATCACTATGATCGAAAGGAAAGCGCTAAAGGCGCATGTAAATTTTAAATCGCCGCCATTAAGCCGTCGTATTTCTTCGGCCGTGATAGGTAACCTTCGATGATAATCGGCTACGATCGAGAGCGCTCGGCTCACGACAATACGGGCTTGAAGTCGTTCGAAAAGTTTAGAATCTTTAGTCTCGGTTCAGCTCGGCGTCCGTGCTAGACCTGTTGGTGACGTGAGATGTTCGTGACATGTGTCAGACGAGTGTCGACGTTGTTGCTTGAACGTGGATCGATTTAGGTGATTGTCCGCCTCTTTCTGACATTGAATTGATTTCAATAATTAACAAAAATGAAAATCGTCGACTCGATTGGAAGAGATTTTTTTTATCTTTTGAAAATTATTAATCACATTCATTCATATCGAAGCAACTGATTACGTTTTTATGACTTGAATTTTTAGGGATTATCAAATATTTATAAATATCATTATTATAATATAAATATACCGTGCTGTCATACATATTTTTATTTTGTTTTCAAAAGACATAGACCATCTTTTCAAAAATATTGTTCTTTTTTCTTTTTTCTTTTTTTTTTTTTTTTTTTTTTTTTTTTGTATAGGAAACATTAAAGACGACATCGTGACATTGATTTTATCATTATTCGCAATATTTCTTTCATCGTTTTTAAAAATTAACGATGAAGCACGTATGAATTATCACTGAATTTTTATATCAGGTCCAACCAGTGTCACGCTAAAACGATCACGTGTTACATCTCGTCATTTTTATTCAAGGACTCGTCTTCCTTTGCCAGAGAAACAAATAACTATTTACATTTTCTGGGAAACGAGTAACATATTGTTAGGATTGTTTAACAAATTACATAACGTCAAATCGTTTGATGTTAAATCTCAATAATTGAGCTCGCGTTCAATGGAATTCATTATTCGATAAATTTTATATATAATTATATATATAATTTTTCTACAATAAATATATTAATGCGATAAAGGAGCGAAAAAAGATCGAAAAGAAGAATTATTGTTAAATCGATAGTTCGTGATCGGTTGAAAAACTTCTTACATGTGCCGAGCATAATGAGACAACGGTTTTAATTAATCAGTGACGCCCCATGAATATTAATTATTAGATTACGTGCAATTACTTGTATGCATCCGATGTAACGTTCCGGTCGTTAAACAGAAAAGCGTTCGTTAACGTATAACGATAAGTCGGCATACGACCTCGTCAGAGTTCCTTTATATGTATCCATTTATTTTCCTTTTTTCTTTTTCTTTTTTTTTTTTTTTATTGTCAAAATATCAATAGAACGATCGAGTACAGGAAGCATGATTTTTTCAAGCGATCGTCGTCGTCCGATCACACTGCTTTCGATGTGGTGTACTTCTCGTTCGGAGAACGCCACCAGTCAGTCCGGTTTTATCCTCCCATTCGTTCGTCCGTGTCGGTGACGTCACTCTATAAAGATACCCATAATGTATAAACATAGCGAGTCTGTCGGGTAGCGAGCTTTTATCGAGTTTTTTCATTAATCTCATTACTGACACATCGATTACATCACGAGGAGAAGAAGAAGAAGAAGAAGAAGAAGAAGAACAAGAAGAAGAAGAAGAAGAAGAAGAAGAAGAAGAAGTAACGCCTTCGTTTCGTCATTCACGAAAAAGATGAAAATTCTAAATTGAAAAATGAGAAATCGCGAAAGATCGTGAGATTTAAAAAGTCGGCAAGGATTTGGTGTCTATCTATTTTAAACGCTATGATTAAGGGATACCGCATTATATATTCTACACGAAGAACATTCTTTCGTAGGCGAGGAGGACGTGCGTACATAAGACGTGCCTGTGTATCCCCGGAATTCGCGCGAACGCGACTTGGCTGACCGCCAAAATTAATGTTAATCGTTCTGGAACCGAGTCGAGGACGTCATTTTGAATCTCCTCAAAGAAAATATAGAGCGAATTCATAAACGATTAGATTCGTTCGTAAGCTTTACTATTCTCGATCATGAGATTTAAATGGTGCGGGCATTAAAGTCTCCGATAATACACCATTACAGGACACCACACTTACGTACACGTTCAATAGGTTTTTTTTTTTTTTTTTTTTCTTTTTTCTTTTTTCTAATTAGATCGTTACATTTTCGTACGTTCATTGAAAATAACACAAACGAATTTATCTAGGTAGAATAGTAGTAAAGTAGTATATAAAGTGGTAAGATCACGTGCGTAAGATACGAAGCGTGAAAGAGATATACCCACGAGAGTTCGAGGACTCTCAGTGTAGTTTTTCTGGCATATCGCCTGATAGTTATCGTTCGTCCTTAACCTTAACCGGCAACTTTCAATGTCTTCCAATTAACCGCGTCGAAGACGATTAGCCTAAATCGATGCACGATTCATATATTTCTATTTATCACGCGAAAAAGACGAGATTAGCAAAAATGGTGGACGGACACAATTCGATGGAGATGGACAAGAGTCCAGAAGGGTCTGGCGAGGATTCGCGAACTATTGCAGAGAATAAAGAAAATACGCAGCAGCAGACTACCAACGGGAGTACACCTACAACGACCATAAGTACGATAGCTGTGCAAAGTGGAGAAACGCGTCTGGTGATCGCGTTGCTTCAGGTAAGGATCGATGAAACGTCATATCTTTGATTTAGCAGGATATCAAACGAATGGTCAATTAAATTAAGTAACAATTATTAATAAATCGATCGTTCCGATCGACGTTCAGTTAATCGTTAGCCGATCAATGGAACTGATTCAAAAGGAAATAATCGAAATCAATCGTTAGATTGATCACTCGAATGACGACATATTTGAAACGACAAAGCCAACGACTACCGTGTTGCATGGTAAAAAACTACAAGGAGAGCTTGTGTCGAAAATATATTCTATACCCGTTGAAGAACATGAAAGGCGTTTGACGTGTACCGGTGCATCATGTAGAGACATACATTATGTACGTACATACGGGAACGTTATACGAAGTTCATAGTGTTAGATATTTCGGGAGCAGAGTTGCTCCACGAGAGTCTATAGCTATTTCCGAGTCCTCTCGAAACCGTAAGCGTTTTAGGTATCCACCGAGCAAAACGAATTCGCCGAAACTCTACGAAGGATAAATTTAACCGCTTCGTACGCGCGGGTTCCTCTTCGAAAGTTTCTCATCGTCAGTGCCACGTAGCAGAAGACGCGTTATGCGGCTATTTTTCTTTTTTTCTCGTTTTTTTTTTTTTTCTTTTTTTTTTTTTTTTCAAAGGATCAGTTTGCGGTTGGTCGACCGGCGCAAACGATTAATGAGCCCCCATCGAGTTTTCCATAAAAAATAAGTGGCCTGACACTTACCGCAGTCTCACCCGCCTAAGACTTCGATCTTCACGAGGATCTAATATACATATAAAAATGTGGTCTTGAAAATCTTCTAATATCAAGGAGAATATTCGTTTTGCGTTAAGTGAACATGTACTCAATGTATTAGTCCCTCTCTCTCTCTCTCTCTCTATCCTCTTACAGAATCAACCTTGGTATAAATTTCTCGTAAAACGATACACTTTTGTATCTCATATTCTCGATTACCTACTCTTTCTGATCTTGTACATAACCCTACATCTATATACCTACGTATACGTAAATGACTGAGGAACGAGAGAATGAGGGACGTACATGGAGTAGGTGCGCGCGCGCTCGGACGCACGCTCACGGAGCCACGTTCCGTGAAAGACAGACCGGAGAGAACGACAGAACGGTTCACGTGTAACAGGTCGAAAGAGAAGAGAGGTTCTCCCTCTCTTCCCTCTTTCTTTCTTACTCTTCTGCCAGGGAGATCTCCTGCACGTTCTCGTGTAATCTAACAAACCGGTATTATACGAGCTGCGCCGGGCGTGATCCTTCTACACAACGCCAATGTCTATCGTATCTACGACCTTACGACACTGACTCCCGCCTACCCAAGAAGAGGGAATGGAATAGGGAATGAAAAAGAAAAGAATAAAAAAAAAAAAAAAAAATGAAAAAGAATGAAAGAGAGGGACGCAGGGTTTGTCCAAAGACGGGACTACGCGAAAGTGGTACAGCCACTTTCAAAGGATCCTCCTACCGATCGATTTTACTTTTTGATTTCTTTATTACGTTTATTATTTTATCTTTTTCTTTTTTAACGTCACGCGATAAGATTTTGGTATCGTATCGACGAATTTACTCGATTGTTAAAGAAGATAAGATAAGGAGATGTCTTATGAAATAATACAGGACAAGATTTGTTTTAAGATTGTTATATTCAGTCTAATGAACGAATTAGAAACAGTGATAGCTGTTATGTAACGAATATAATACGTAAATCCAACCTAGATCTTTAAAGAAATTGATATCTTCGCATATCTACATATTCCAGGTGATTTTTTTACGCGACGGCATATGCGACGAATGACAGAGTTCGGAGATTTTAACGCTCGCGGTGTCTTTTCATAAAATCCTTGGAGTCTCGTATGAGACTCCTCTCACAATCAATGCACGTTGGCCTAATTTCTACGTTCCGAATATGGTCACGACTTCGTGTACACGCTGTCCGTTCTTCCATCGTTCGCAGGAGGTTGTCGTTCTTTAAGAATCTCGCGTGCATTCCTACATTCGTAACACGCCCGTGTCTCTTTCTCTCTGCATTCATGTGTATATGTGCATATACGTATGTGTGCGTTTATGTGTTTGTATGTTTGTGTAGGTACACGTAAGCGTGACTTTAGGCAGGCGCATGCAATTTAACTCGACTGCAAAAGTCACTTTCACTCCGTTCGCATGGAATCCCTTTTCATTGTCATTGTTATATCGAAGTGTTCCTGGATTGGATATGAATTACCTTCGATATCTTAGTCATCCGAGATTAATCGAACGAATTCAATTATTTGTTTGTTTCTTAACTTTCTTTTTCTCATTAATATTTATATTTATATAAAACTTTTATAGAAAATTGTCGACTTTCTTTTCGTCGCCCACGCTTATGTTTAAAGAGAAATTACTGTAATTTCTTCGGTACGTGAGCAAAATGAAAAAAAAAACGGAATAACACTCGTCGAAACGTGTCACACGATCTCGCGACCGTCACGGTTGGATCGGACATGCGAGAATTTTTTCCAAATGAAATAGAAAAGAAAAACGATCTATCATTTGGGAATATTTCGTTCAAATTTTGTTTTATTTAATCGCATCTCGAAATATTATTGAAAATATTTCTTCTGAAATATAAATTCTGAAATAATAAATCCAGAATCGTTCGGACGAACGATTTGGTTTGATGATTGATCGTAATCCGATCGATGCTTTTTCATGAGTTTGTAATTCGTAAAGAGAAAGGGTATACCGTTGACGAATGACAGGACGGGGAGAGACGAGATCGGCACCAAGAGCGAAACTTTGGCCTATCGCCAAAGATGAAAATGGAAAGCATATCTCGCTTTTCTACGGTAGAACCTCCGGATGAGGTCGATGAACTCTCGCAGCCGATCTCCCTCGTTTCGTACTTTACGTCTTTCTCTTTCTGCCTTTGAGTATGGAGGGTTGCCCGCGAGTCTCTCTCTCTCTCTCTCTCTCTCTCTCTCTCTCTCTCTCTCTCGTTTAACTCTTCCCGATTTTGCTGCCGACGTCGCATTTAGATTCGTCGCTGGGTGCTCCGGAAATTCACCGATTCGATTGACGTTCCTTTCCTTCGTTTCAGTTTCATCGGACTAAGTAATCTTCTGACGAATATTATACGCATATCTACATATAAGAAATACTAAATGTTTCTTTTTTTTTTTTATTTATTAATTATTGCAATCTAATATTTTTTGAAAAATAATCGAAAGCATACAGTTAATCGGAGATCGGTGAAAAAAAATTTGTCGTTTCGATATCTTAGTCCTGTTTAATCAATAAGAGAGGGAAAAGTAAGAAGCTATCTTCTTCGTCGAGCTAACAAACCGGTCGGTGACTTGACCGATAAGACAAACTCGTAATTAATGGATCCTAGTTATTGCATAATACAGAGGATCGTTGTTTCCATGATAGGAGATTTACAATTTCTTCTTTAGAGTCTAATGAATTTCTTGAGAAATTTTTCTCCTACAAAGAAGATCAGTTGAAAACTTGTTAGGATTGAAAATGTTAAAATATCTTTTTCTTTTTTGATTACATTTTATTTATGTATCGTATATCGCAATATACGTAGACCATGAAGAAAATGTTAGATGATGAATAACACGAACACCCTATATAAGCACCTAGCATGTAGATTCGTAAGATTTGTATAATCGAGATCATCAATAATCGCCTTCTCGCGTTTTAGAAATGGTATAGAATCATTTCGTAATTATGTAGACATGATGTGTAAGTGATTAGAATCTATCCCGTTGAATCAGCGAGGCTAGGAAAAAAATTTACGAGCGTAAATTTACCGGCTCCATCTCCTCAATCTCCATTTTCGTGCGGAGCCGCCTCTTTTCACGTTTCTTCTTTAATCTTTTTTCTTACGTGAACACGCAGGTATGGTAAGAAAAGAACATCGTATTTTCGTTATTTATAGAACATATCATAGGACATTAGATATCTTAATTAATTGCTACTTGATTAGCGGCTACTGTCGGAAATGAAATTAATGGAACATACAGGACAGATAAACGATGCTGATTTATTTTTATACTCTGTCCAAGTAAATTGGATATCATTGCTTTCCTCTCTAATAATAATAATAATAATAATAATAATAATAATAATAATAATAATAATAATGATAATAATTCATAAAACAAAATAACAATAACAATTTAATAATATTCTTATAAGAATCGAGATGAAAAATCTAATAGAGAAGATGATGGAACATCGTCAAACAATTGTTGGTTTTATAAATTGAGAGAGAGACAGGGAGAGAAGGTGGAAGTGTAAGTATTAGCGTACGTGAATATAAAGGAAGGATTTAGAATGGCGCGACGACGACTCGCTACAAATAAACTTAGAAATATAAGGAGGGACGTGATGTCATCACCAAAGGAGTACCAATGTCGTACGTGTATAATAAAATTTCGCACGAGACACAGCGCGTAAGCGTACGTATGGATATATAGACTGACTCAGAAAATCGATTATGTGATGTTTATAATTATACGAACTGTTTTTCTTTTTTCTTTTTATAATAAAAAGAGTAACCACAGACTAAAACTATAAATAAATTGTGGAAAATGAGTATCATATAATTATTAACAAAAATGTATGCATCTACAATAATCACAAGAGAATAAATGATCAATTCTTTGCGAGTCACTATATATATATATGTAAATGTTTGTAAAACATACAAGACGATTGTCAAAGGTATTCGTCACCTCAACGACAAGGAGCCTTTTTCATAATCGACAGGAAAATTTACATAAATGGCACTTGCCGTTCGCGAACCCGTACCCTTCAATTTAAATAGTGCCACTTTCTTTTTGATGTTCGTTCGTTCGCAACGAACCGGTGATTATATCATGCTACGCACGCATAAATCGTAAATCGTAAATCTTGTTGCATTAAAGGAAGGCTTCGTCTCGGAAAGGTTTTATTTCTCTCTATGCCAACGTTTCATTCGTTTATCATTCAGATCTAACATCGCGGAAGAATAGAAAGTTAAAGATTTATTCATGCTTCTGGCTCGTTATTGAGCATCGTTGAATGGGGGAGAGAAAAAAAAACTAGGACGAGTGGTATTTCGGTTGTTGAATAATCAAACAACCAGCTTGTCTTAACGTCGTCTGTTCGGGGCAATCAAAATAGATCTAGTCAGATTTTGTTCAAAACTATTCATTTACGATTATTTCATGAAGGATTTCATCGCCATGCTGTTGTTATTTCAATGAAAACTTTTTACGAACAGAGATTTCCGGAAGAACGAGTATAATAATTTTGTAAACACAGAGGTACATGCGTATATATATACATATATATATATATATATATATATATATATATATATATATGTGTATAAGAATATATAATTTATTTATATTACTGTTTCGAGACTAGGATGATTATACTTTACAAGGTAATATCGAACGCATTTTCGATGATCGGTATTGACGTTTAGTTTTTTTTTCTTCTTTAGAGATGTTGACGACACGATCGTTACGTAAATATGTCATGTAAAGCGATACGTAAAAAACAAAAGTGAAATTCCGTAGGCAGTTTGCGTAAAATAATTTTCATTTTCTTCTTTTTTTTCTGAATTTATTTAGAGTGGAGAATGGCTACGATTGAAAGTCTTGGAGGTACAACCAGAATTAACGAAACTTGGTTCATCGGTGAAAGAAGCCACGGAATTATCAAACGCTCACAATGAAGTTCTTTTGCGATTGCAGGTAAGATAGACAGAAGAGAAATAGATATACAAAATGTCGAGTTTGAAAAATCGTCAGATATCATTTATTCTTTTTTTGTGTCTATTTGAAGAGCAAACAAAGTCCGGTGGAAGAATTATTGCGTCAAGCCGATCAATTGATTTCGACACAAAGACCAAGGGCGGAAGTTTATGCCGCTATGGCCGAAACGTTGGGCCAAGCATGGCGTGATGTGAATGATTTGTTGGAACGACGAAAACAGATTCTTGATTCCAACGTGCTCTTTCAATGGTTGGTAAAACGAATATCGATTAATCAAAATCCTTGGGAGAACAAGGTAATTTGTTACCTTCTATGTTACAGCCGTGCCGAAGAATGCGGAGAAAGCATGAAGGCTCTTGAAATGGCATGTAACGATACTCTATTACCGATCGAGATCGAAGCGGTGAAAAACTTCCTGTCGAAGATACACGATCTTCGAAAGACTATGCTCGAAGCATTGATGGGCGCGTTGCAAGAAGGGAAAATATTGTTGGATAAATTGAAGGAGATTGCGAACGAGGGTACTTTGGATTCCAGACCCGATAAAATTAAGATCGAGGCTGATCATGGTAGATAAATGATAAAATAAAACAATTTTGATTAACTCGACACGCCAAAGCTCGAGTGCAAAAATATGATTGTTTATTTTCAGCCGTGTTGAAGGTCGAAAGATGGTTGGAGGATCTTCATGACAAAAGACGATTGATCGAAGCTTCCTTTCGTAGTAGAAAAACCCAATTGGAGCAGTGCCTTGCGCTTGCTTTGTTGGCAACCGATCTTCGGGATCTCGAAGAAATTCTTAACGATAGAATTGCTGCATTGTCAAGCACCTGTGATCAACTCGGTGATTCCTCGTCTAGCGCAGAATTGCTTCTTTTCGAATTGAAGAAATTGCAGGCCGAGGCGAAAGTAAATGTTCAGCGAATAAAAATAAATCTCGATGAAAATTGTTCGTTAAAAGCGTTAAAAGCTAGCAAATGATTTATTTATCTTTTCATAGGAGTTTCAAGACCGATCGATCAAGATTACGAAATCGACCGAACGATTGGTGTCATCGGGACACTTTGCCGGCGAGCAGGCGACCGAGCAAGCATACGCTATACTCGGCGCAGCAGCCGATTATGTCAACGATTTGGATCAGTATGAGACACTGTTGAACAGAGCTGTGGCTTTTTTCGAGGCCGCACGATCGGTGTGTACCTAAATTGTTCTTTAAAACGATATCATCCTGTTGACTTAGTTTACCAATTCTATGACCCCTTAACCCATTCTTTATTATATCTAGCACGTATTAATAGTAACGGAACGAAAATGATCATTTTGATCTCTATCTCTCAGGCTATCACGAAATTGGATCAATTGGAGATTCAACTGGTGACAACGGAACATCCACCGTTTTCAACACGATTAGCACGCTTTCATGCTCAGACGGTTAGCACGATCGAGGACGTTACCTCGAAACCTTTGATGGAAGGATACGCCTTGCTAGATATCACGGGAAGAGGAGCGCCCGGAGCTGAGGTTAAGTCACGCGATTATATTCTCTAAATGGCTAATTATATATATGGCTATTTAATGGATCTATCTCATTCGTGCCTTCGTATTTGTTACTTCAGGGCGTGAAACGTACGGTCGAGGAGCTAGAGAGTCGAAAGATACGTTTGTTGGAACGATGCACGGCTCACGAAGAAGAGAATCTCGAGATATCCAGAATGATAAATGTTTTCTTGGAGAAACACGAGGAATTGCACATTTGGTTGACCAACATTGCCGAAGCATTTCTTCAAGGTCATCAGGACATGGGTAGCGACTTGCCAATGGCTAAGGATTTCTATCGGCTTCATAGTCAGCTTTTGGACGATTTAGAGAAACGAACGAACGAGGTGGAACATTTGGAATTTGAAGTACTACCGATACGTGAACGATTGGATGAAGCGCAAAGGCGAGAATTTCAAACGAAAATCATCGAGCTGCAAAATTCTTGGACAAAAACGAAGAATATAGTTGCTCATAGAATAGATCTTGGCTTTCTTTATGTACAGTTCCATGAGATCGTCGATGAACTTAGGAACAAAATAGAATCATTGGAGAACGATCTGAAGAGCAATGCTGATGTTCTGAACGAAACGAAAATCGAGGATTTGAAATCTAAATGGAAAGCTCTTCAGCCAGTCTATCTGAGACTTTCTAATAGTGGTAAAGTTTTTCTAGACGAAGCTGCCAAGGTACTTGAAATTTTTACGTTAGAAAAATAATGAATAATCTAGTTCAATTTTATCAATATATCGATAAAATGTGATATCTTTTTTAGATCAATGATCCCTATTTGGATATACCAAGAGCATGCTTGTGTGTGGAGACGTTGTTGGAGAAATTTGCGAACAGTCAATTGACTATTACCGAATCTTGGGAGAAATGGCAAACGACTATTAAAATATTGAGGGAACGACGAATCGAGCATGAACGAAAAATCGAAGAAAGTACTAGGGTTCGTTGATCCTTTGTTTTTTGATCTTATTCAGTTTGTTCGATATTTAGCTAATTTTTTTTTTTAACAATATTTCAGACGTTAGAGTGGGTTTCCAAGTTCGGCGAACAGTTGTATCCGGTTATAACTTGTCAGTCGATACGAGTTGATTCAATACTTCGTGATTTGGAAGGATCGAGGCGACGTATACTACCCGAACTAAACAAAGCTGTCGACGAATTAGATGCAAGAATCAAAAGTATCGATAATTTGGTTGAAAAAGGTATCCCAATCTTGTAATACTTTTTTTTTTCTTTTTTCGTTGATTCATTTTTCATCCCTTTTGTTCATATTTCGCGTTATTACCTTGCTAGGTCAGATGCAAATCGATCAAGAAATGTCGGAAAGATTATCGCAGATGTACGAGAAACTACATTCTACGGCTAAAAATTACAAAGATCTGTTGATGTCTCTGATTTCAATATTTGAAAGCCTTCATGAGGTGGAACACAAGACGGACGAGGCTAAAACAAAAGTCGATTATATAACGTCATTCTCTAAGTCGTACGACGTCGACGGAGCTGTGAACGATCTTGAAATGATGAAACGAACGATTACGGAATCCTTGAAGCATATTCAAACAGAGATTGAAGCAGTCATCGTTAGGATAAAACAATTAGAACCACCGGATGCTGCTTTACAGGATATCGAAAAACTGAGACAGGCTTTGGATAATGTTACCTCGCCATTTCAAACATTCACGATTGAAACATTAACGCGTATCGAGGAACATCGTCGGATCTGTATCTTTGGCGAGGATCTCTCGCGTATCGATTCGGATTTACGTGATTTGAACGATCAATTGCAAACTGTCGATGGGAGATCCAATGAGAATTTACAAGCTGCCAAAGCAGCGGCCGCTGCTTTTAGTCAGTTCGAAGCAACTATGACGGTAAGTTGGATTAAATTGATAAGAAATAATTTTATAGTTGATTATAACAAGTGATCTCTTTGCTGCTGCTATAATTGACGATGGAATTTTAAATTACGGTAAGACAATAATATCCAAGAGATAATCAATGTTTTTAGACATTTATTTATAATATTATAGATTTTGGAACAAAGAATAGACGTCTTTGTAAGAACGACAGAGGATACCATAGTGAGTTCAGCACCACATGTGAGAAATGATTTGACATCTTTGAAGGAAAAATGGAGGGATCTGAAGTCGCGTATGGAAAATTCGAAAAAGCGAATGGTCTTGTGTATTCAGTATTTCGAGCTTTTAGAAGAGGCCAAAGAATGGTATAGAGAGGGTGGTAAACTCTTGATAGTTATTGCTAGGAAAGCCACTAGCGTGAAAGTTCCAAAAGATGCTACTGATTTGTTACAAGAGATTGATAATTACTTGAAACCAGGTGAACAGAATCAAGAGAATAAAATCGAAAGATTGAAGGAATTGTCTACGATTATTTTTGGTACCGATAGGTTGCCACAGTTCAATGAAGTTATAGTTGAGAATCGGCAGATGTTAGATTCGTTCGCCGTTATTTCATCGGAATTGCGTACCTTAGTGCAGAATTTACAAAATGCCGAAGACCTGAGGGAAAAGCTAAGAATGGAAAAGTTGGAAGCTGATGAGAAATTGTATGCTGTTAAGAGAGAAATGGCAGCCGCCGAGGCAGCCAGAAATGAGGCTGAAAATGCAAGGAAGATGGCAGAGAAAATAGCTGCAGAAACATTGGAACGTGCCGAGATGGAAGCAAAGAGATTGAAAGAGGAAAAGCTTGCTAAACTCGAAGCACAGAAGATCATAACACAGCCGCCGTCATTTTCTGTATCCGCTCAGACGGACAAATTTGAGAGTACCGATGAAAGATATATCCACGAGAGTCATACCTCGGCCGTAACGAAAAAGGAGATTCATATTTTACAAAAGGTAAAGTATCCTGTTGATTTTTGGACGAATTGTTTTATTGTGAATTTGATTGTTTAATTGGATTTTAGATGGAAGTAGAGAAGATCGTACCCATTGTGCAAAAAGAGCCAAGCCCACCAAAGCAAATAACCGAAGAATCCCATAAATCAATTGTACATGAAGTAGAGCAAAAGGTATCTCCTGAATTTACTATTCCTTTGAATGATGCAACTGTTCAAGAAGGCGAAAGGTTTACTTTCGAGTGCCGTTTGATCGGATATCCCATACCAGAAGTGGTTTGGTACAAGGATGGAATATCCATTTTAAATAATCCTGATTATCTCACCACCTTCCATCAAGGAATTTGTACCCTTACAATCGAAGAAACATTTGCCGAGGATTCAGCAAGGTTTACTTGCAAGGCGTTCAATAATCTTGGATCTGCTGAAACATCAGCAATGCTAACGGTCAAGGGTAATAAAATTAATTATTAATATTTGATTATTGATTATATGAGTCAAAGGAAAATATACAAGTGCTCTCTTTTGTATTATTATTTCTTCGCGTTTCTATAGAAACAGCACCAGAGGAGCAACCCAGTCCTCCTGTCTTCGTTAAAGAATTACAACCATCGGTGGCAATTGAAAATTCTTCTCATCGATTGGAATGCACGGTAGAAGGAAATCCATTACCAACAGTTCAGTGGTACAAAAACGAAACTAATATTGATAATTCGCCTGATTACATTATAACTTATAACAACGGTGAAGCTTGTTTGAGTTTCGAAGAAGTTTTCTTAGACGATAGAGCTATCTATACCTGCAAAGCCACCAATCGGCTTGGACAAGTGTCTACTTCTGCTCTCCTTGACGTAGAATGTAAGCAATAATTTCGTTTACAATCATACATTTTTTATAATACGATTTCGCGTGCTATATTCAAATATAAATATATTGACATTGTTATAGCAATGGAAACGTCTACGGAGAAACCTTATTTCTTGACACCATTATCGAACGCGATGGCGAGAGCAGGACAGAGAGTAAAACTAGAATGTGAAGCTACCGGTAATCCAATACCACGATTAACTTGGACACACGATGGAAAGCCGATAGATGAGACCATTCACACGAAAGTAATTATTTCTTCATCAATAAAGTTTACTTTCCTTCTGTTACTTGTTCTCTATATCAGCATTTCTTTTTACCATGCGGCCCAATACATTTGTTTGTAATGATACCGCGGCCCAATACATTTGTTTGTAATGGTACCGCGGCTCAAATATTTATAATATAACATTTTGAAGAACCTGATAGATTGGAGTCATTGTATTATATTATTTTAATGATATAACTCTTACTGCGATAATATATCCCCGCTTTGACCTAAGATAGTAGTTATCGTTTCGTGGTCCATTAAAACATTTAACAATATTGTAAGTTGAGAAAAGCTTTTCTAAATCATTCGAATAAATGACATTTCGAAATAATCCTTTCAGATTCAAACAGAGAATGGTCGAACAAGTTTGATAATTTCGGAAGCTTTTCCGAAAGATGCTGGATGTTATACGGTGATAGCTAAAAATGATGTAGGCGAAGCTAGTGTATCGTGCAATGTATCAGTGAAAGGACGTCTTCCTCGTGAAACCAGTGATTCTGAATTCGCTTGCAGTGACATGGAGCCCACAGAACCGAAAATTCAACTTCGCCTGAAGGATCATGAAGTTCTCGAAGGGCACACGGTCAGATTGGATTGTGTTATAGTTGGGCAACCTGAACCCGAGGTGAATTGTCTATCCCATTGATTTTGATACTTTTCTGATATACTAATTTTCTTACAAACTTTGATAATTAACGAAACTTTACTGCTCTAGGTAATCTGGTATCACAATGATAAGCCCGTGAAGGAATCGGCAGATTTTCAATTACTATTTCAAGGCGACAAGTGTTCCTTGATTATCCATGAAGCTTTCGTAGATGATGCCGGAGTATACAGGGTGGTCGCCATTAATTCTGGCGGTGAAACGTCTAGTCAATGTACATTAAAAGTTATACGTAAGTTGAGCTTGCAAAATGTCATGAAATATGGTAGGATCTAACGAACAGATTTAATCAAAGGCTTGAATTATATTAGCAATTTCTCGTCATTCAGAAGACGTGGACTCAAAGGACAAACAAGCTTCCGAATCAGCAATACCTAATTCACCACCAAAATTTGTGAAATTGCCGACTGATTCTTTGGTAGCCGAAGGTGAGGATGTGAGTTTTGAATGTGCAGTGACTGGTGAACCGAAGCCAGAAGTCAAATGGTACTTTGACAATAATGAAATCATAGCAGACAAGAGAATCTTGGTGAGTTCTTATTCTATATTTTTCTTTTATTCCATTTAATTCTTTTATATCTCAATTTGTCGATTAATATTATTGTTTTATTTTGATAGATAAAACAAAAGGAGGATGGTACGATTATGATGAAGATTTTATCAGCCATTCCAGAAGATAAAGGTAATTATGTGGTCAAGGCTACGAATATTTGTGGCGAGGCTAAGGCTTTTGCCAGATTGGTCGTACGATCGTTGAGTGACTTCAGGAAAAAAGAAGAATTTGTCAAAATGGAAGAGAAATTGATACCACCGAGTTTCAAAGAACGATTTACGAGTAGGCTCGTACCAGAAGGAGTATCTACAAAATTTGAATGCATTGCTATTGGAAAACCTGCTCCTAAGGTAGACTTTATATATTATCATTTTTATCATTTAATAGAAAATAATAAATGATTCGGATGAAAATGTAGGATGATCATTGAACATCGAATAATTTCTAGTCTCTCGTTCGTTCAATTAACGATTAAGAATTAACAATAACAGACGATCACTTATGATCAACGCTATAAGCGATACTAATCGATGGTCGAAGGTCAAGCTAGCGCGCGGATCCTCCAAAGAAACCGAACTTGTTCGCAATGAAATCTTTTCTTCGATATCTCGAATCGACTAGCCTTCGAAAGTTGGCCAGCCTGTTAAGAGGTAACCGACCAAAGAGTAATTTCGTGCTACCGGGTTATATTTAAACCTCGTACAATGTATCACGTTTGAAAATCTGCGAGCGCGTCCGCGAGCGGAAAAACTCGGCAGAAGTTCGTACGACGCGTCGTCGTGCGAATCATCGGGAAGATGATTCGTTGATTGAGAAACATAAGGAGAAAAAAGAAAAAAGAAAAAGGATAAGAAAATAATACGAAAAACGAATAAGAAAGAAAACAAGGCAAAAAAGAATAAATTTCTACTCGACATTTAGATTCAGTGGTTGTTCAACGATCGACCGGTCCATGGAAAAGATTTCTTGGTCTCCGTTAGTGGCGATCGGCAGGTATTGACGATACCAGAAACCGGAAGTTCGCATGCTGGGACAATATCTTGCGTGGCGGAGAACACCGCCGGTAAAGCGACCTGTAACGCCAAATTAGAAATCGGTGAGTTTCATCTTAAATCGCTTTTTTATATATCCAATCTATCCTATTTTTTTCTTTTTTTTCTATTTTATTTCTATTTTATTATCGAGTCTATTGCACCCTCATCGAATGCCGATGCCAAAATAACAACGATATGGGCAATGGTGCCACGAGTTATTAATACTCTTATTTCTGAGCAACAGCTTCTTACTGAAAATTTCATTCACGAGTATCGGCGAGGCAAAAGTCCGATTTAACGCCCAAGAACTATATGACATCGTGACACAGCTGCCTACCCTTTTGAAATTTGATAGGTTCGCACTATTTTTGATTCGCCGTACGATTCGATTTTTTTTCATCCGATTGCCTCGTCCGAATAATTACGTCTATTTTCCGTCTATTTTACGTCTATTTTACGTCTTTATTTTACTTGTCCGTTTGACGGAATAAGAACCCGGTCAATTTTTATTGCTCAACAATATTGGATTATTCCAATATTGTGGGTGAGCGAGCATCGCGCATGCGCTCTTCAAACGACGAATTTATTTTTAACCGTGGGTGCAGTTGAAGAAATTCTTCTTTTCCGTATCTTTTCCATCGCCGCTATGAGACATTACTTTGAGTCATGACTATAAGTAGATTTCTTATGATTCCAAGACTGTTTTTACAAATTTTATCGCTCACTATGTAGGTATTTCAAATTTAATTAATATAACGTCGGAACAATATATACCAATTGATTTATCTTCTTATAACGTAAGACAGTTCCGTATTTTTTATATATATATATATATATATATATATATATATGTATGTATGTATGTATGCATGTATGCATGTATGTTTGCAAGTTAAGTCAGTCCACGCTTTTCGAGCGTCTCTTCATCTCTCTTTCTTTCTCTTTCAAAGACACGTACACGTACACGTATGCGATACATGTAGAAACCGTGTTATTTTTGTCGGCACGAATACCCAGTACGTAGCTTAGTCTAGAGTCGCTAACGCCGAGAATTTAACTGCTCCTTCTTCTGGGAGTCAAGCTTCTATTAAGACACTTTACGAACGACACTACATTGAACCTTGATAAAGAATATCAAGACAAAAAGAATCGGTAAATTCTTTGTTTAGGATTTATCAAATATATTTTAGGCATTCCAATGAAAAACAGTAATATAAATCAACGCCTACAGGATGTCCATGATTAATTTAGCTTATTCAGGACAGGTCAGGTTTGCATTTGTGATCTAGATACATCGAAATGCATTCCCTGATCTTTAAGAGTTTAACCGTATGCATTTTGGTAACTGGCCAAGGCATTTGGTTTCACTCAAATAGCAATAAACCAGAAATCAGAGAAGATCGGAAGGATTATGTAGCAAGCTCTTAAAGCTCTTATTTGCATTTGCTCATTGTTTGTAACAATTTTAAAAGTTACCTTTCTCAATTATGAAATACTTTTCCGTATATCTGTGATATTTGTACTTGAATTGCGCAACCTCGACAAATTCCACATTTGAGTATGAGCACACGTTTAATCGTGCCAAATATTAATACATTCATGATTTAAAAGAATCGATCCATATATAATAGATTCCCTGTCAAATAACAAATAATTGATTGATATATTACAGATCGATCAATGTAGAATTCAGATAATATATAAATATCTTTGATTGTTGTTTATGCACGTATCGTTACGTGATATTACGAGTAATTTTTCGATCGAAATGTGGGCGATGTCTATACGAAGGCCGATTACTAATAAAAAAAACACGACATGTCTAATGATAGACAACTCGATTAATCATCCCTGTTAGATATCGAGCCGAAAAAGGAGGAAGGTATAGAAAGAGTACTTGAGTTAGTCGAAGTAAAACCTGTCGAAGACATGCACGCGGCAAGTAGTAGCGACAAACATTTCTCGGCTGAAAAGATGTCGGACGAAGGAGGATTAGGCAGTCAAATTCTAACTAAAATGTCACAAACCATTACGGAATCTACGACAACTCATACGTCCACGAAGAAGGAGTTTATATCATCGATGATGTCCTCGTCAACGGCAACACCCGGACAGGAACCTACTAGCGTTACCGTGAAAAGTACTGTTCACAGTACCGAACAGTCAACTTCTGAAAATGGTGCTCCTCCTGTTGTTCAGGTAATATATTTTCTTCAGAGATCTTTCGCAATGGCTATAAGAAGAATGTATTGTTCATCAGTCACAGAAAGTCGAGGAGTTCGAAAAGATTGTTCAAGATCAGCCAGGTGAAATTCGACAGGAGAAGACTGTAGTGGTATCTCAAGGCGAGGAAGGTATAAAACGCGATGGGAAGACTATGCAGGTTCAAAAGCCAATTAGGAAATCAACAGCACCGAGATTCGTTTCGCCGTTAACAGGAATGATCGTGGATCAAGGCGCTGATGTTGTCGTCGAAGGAATTGTTGACGGTAAGAGAAATACATTTGATGCTAACTTGTTGTGAATTGTGTGTTATTATTATTATTTTTTTTTTTTTTTTTTTTTTTTTTTTTTTGGCAAATCTCGTGGCCATTGCACTTTGCTCGAAATTTGTAATCACTTATTATGAAATGCGACCTCACATTATAACAAGTCGTGAAAGATTTTATGAAAGGAATTCATTTTCATTTCTTTTCGTCGTTCAATGATCATCGGGTTATTAATAACTATGTTCGCTCATTGATTTATATAGGCTATCCGCAACCGAATATTTCTTGGTCAAAGAACGGACAGGAATTACAACCTAAGGACGGTGCCAAGACGAGTTATGCTCATAATCACGTACGCTTAGAGTTGAAAAATGTCAACGTGAAAAATGCCGGACGTTACACTTGCACTGCCAGCAATGAATGTGGATCAGCGAGCAGTACTGCTGATCTGGTGGTCAAAAGTGGGTAATCCGATAATAATGATACTTCATTAAAAATCATCGTCGACGTATGAAGAATAACGAGTATAATGATATTTCAGAAACAATCTTCCCACCTGTATTCGGTAGACGATTACAAGCACAAGTTGTGAAACGTGGCGATCGTGTTCTTATGGAAGTTGAAATCACTGGTACTCCAGAGCCTACAGTTATTTGGTACAAAGATGACGTTCCTGTCAAAGAACAACCACCCGCATTGAGAATAAGACAACAAGGCAATTGTTACATATTGCAGATCGATAAAGGTAAATTGTGATTATAATTCTCAAATTGTTGTGCTAGCCACATTTATTTCGTCAAATATTATACGTATTATTTATATTTTCAGCTGAGAAAGTACATGCCGGAAAATATATGGTACGTGCGACTAATGCTGGCGGTGAGGCTCAAAGTATAGCAGATTTTGCTGTGTTCGAACCTACACCCGACACTATGACGGAAGTTCACAAGACGGTTATTTATGAGAATGTTCAAGATAAAAAGATTATCCAAGTAAGTGTTGCTTTTCTCACAGGACTATGCGATATATATGTATGTATATATTAGGGATAATATATTAAAATTTTGAATGAAAATTGTTTACATAAGTATAAGAGGTAATTATATATATATATATATATAAAAAAAAAAAAAAAAAATGTATATACTTGTACGTAGCCTGACGTAAAAAAGTTCGATGTACCGTCAGCAACTTTGAAGACAGAGCAAGTAGCAGCGACAACGATCCAGCCAAGTTCTATTTTAAAAACTATTCCAACTCCAAGTCCAGCTCCAGCATCTTCTACCTTATCCACAATCCGTACGACCCAAGTAATCGAAGAGCCAGAGATGAAAAGTTGTCGATCGGAAACGATCTCGTCAACGTTTGAAACTCATCAAACCGAGACTAAATCGGAGCAAAAGTTCCACATGAAGTTAGAACATAAAACTCCGCCGATAATCGAACCGAGAGCTCGTCCCGAGCTAACGACCACGGTAAAGCAAGTTGCCCAAGAAGAAATCAGTTCTAAATTTATCGAGCCAAAGTCTGTGACCGTGGAAGAAGCGACGAAAATCGAAAACGAGAATATAGAAACTTCGACTATCGCGAGAAAAGATGCATTAAGTTTCTTTGAATCTATTACGAAGGAAAGTGAGAGTATACCGAAGAGACCAAAAGAAATGATTAAGTTGATCGATGATGCCGATGGAAAGGGTCATGAAGTAAAGGTTGGAAAGCTAACGCAAAATTACGAACGATCCACCGCTTTTCAGGAGATAAAAAAGCCTGAGCCGAAACCGACGGACTTTCAAACGACTAAGAAATCTGTCCAAGATATTTTTACCAAGTTGGAATACGGATCCTCGTCGCGCGGAGTAGATAATAAATTATTTGATTTTCCATACGAGGAATACAAATTACCACCGTTAGAGACGAAAAAGACGCTTTTGGAAGATATCACTGTATCGGGACCGCCGATAATCGAAACGATTTCAAGATTAAAAACTCAGTCTGAAAGTACTGAAACAATGACGGAAGGATTCACTTTGGTACCGGAACCACCACCGGAAATAGGATACATGCCTAAGCCCGAAGAGATTAAAAAAAAGAGCCCTGAGGTACCACTCAAGGCGAAACAACTTCAAGAATCTTTTGAAAAAACTTTATCTCCTATAGATGCACCGGTTGGTGGTGTGAAAATATTTCCTATAACTCCTCAAAAAGTTGTAGAGAGTCCTAAGATTACGAGGAAGCCCTCTACAATGCCACCCCCACCATTTGAGCTTGAAAAAAAGGAAGTCATTGAAGAGATATGCATTAAGAAAGATGTTCATGAGAAAAAGGACAGTAAGATCTTGAAGGAAGAAAAAATCGAAGCACCAAAGTTCGTTCCAGCACCGAGTGTTAGACCATCACCTCCAAGACCCTGGTCGTCGTCATCGGACATAGAAACGAGATCACATGTATCTACGGATATTTCCGAGTACAGATGTCACTCTGCCGCGTCCAGTCATCAAGAGATATTACGATCAACCTCACCGCGACCTTCTGCCGACGGTTTAGCGATGGAAAAGTCATGGGCAAAAAAATGTACAGACGCCACACGAAAATCTTGGCCACCACCGAGTGATTCTACTACGACTATGCCTAAACAATTCCCTGGCGAAGATTATAAGAGCTCGACGAAAGAATTTAAACAGGAAACTGAACACACGTCAGACGGAGGTTTTAAAAAGACAAGTATGGAGTCTTCGAGTACCTTAGAAAAACGTTCTTGGAGTTCGAAACAGGAATCGATGGAGAAAGTTATAGAAAGAGCACCTTCGCCGCCCAAGGTAAAACCGATTATTTATAAGGCTGAAACTATTAAAGTCGATCATGCCATTAATACGATTCAAGAAAAATCGATGCATGAAAAGTATACATCGGAATATGACATGCAGAAACAGGCAAGTTCCGAAAAAACAATCGAAGAGTTTACATTAAAAAGTCCTTGGCCAGTGGAAACGGATTTAAAAGCACCCGGATTAGTAAAAAGTGTCGAACCACCGAAGAAAATATTTGTCCTACCGCAGGAATCTTTTTCCATGACAACTGAATCTCATTCGTATGATTCGGTTATTTTGGAACCTGGTCCACCGCCGGAAATTGGCTATGTGCCACCACCGACGATAAAAGAGAAAAAAATAGAGAAGATCGAGAAAACGCTAGAAATGTCATTAGAGACAAAGCCAGCTAAAATTCCACCGGGTGCTATTAGAACTATACCACCACCAGTTTCGCAAAAAAAGGAAGAACCACTACCACCACCACCACCGGTTTTACCACCCAAAGATGTTCGAATCACTCCGCCGCCTATTCCTGCGAAACAATCTCTTTTGGATAATTTAGAACCTTTTCCGTTCAAACCATCTCCATCGCCGACGGTACCTAAACCAGCCACGAAACTTTTGCCACCTGTAACGCCAACTAAATTTGTTAAAGGAACTTTCGGAAGTGATTACGAATCGGACATAGAAATTCATGTGAAGCCAAAATGGCGACCTTACGAAAGCGACAGCGAGGAGCCACGTTATCGCAGAGTACAAGCTCCGGTTCCCAAACAAACCACTAGACCAAGATCAACGGAACCGGAACCATTACCTCCTTCCAAATTTGATATTCCTCCGGTAGAATTCTCAGGTCCGTCCAAATCCGTATTAACCGAAGAAACTCAACAGAAAATGTATAAGAAAACAATTTTCAAACGACACGAAAAGGAAACGAAACAGCAGCCAAATTATCAGCCTAGTCAAACTCAAGCCTCTCCTCCTGTCGTTCTAAAGCCAGGTTCTCCACCAATTTACGTTCAACCAACCAGCAAATCCCAAGCACCTAAGTCTCCACCAACGAAGAAACCAGAGTCTCCAAAGTTTAAGGTGAAAACCTTTCAACAAGAGAGTGGTTATATGGCGGATACGGATGAGCCATTACAACAAAAAGCTTCAAATATTACCATTCAAAAAAGTTTTGGAAAGCACGATGGTTCTACCAGTTCGGCAAGCTCGCACATAGAATCTCGCACGTCCTATTCCGAGAGCAAATCTGAATACTTTGAAAGTAAAAGTTATCACAGTCACGAACAACATAAGAAAGAAGTATCATCTTTCGCTCCAGCTACTACAACTCCACCTCCTAGTTCCTTATCAAGCCAAAAACCTGCCGCCGAACAGCGAACGTCATTTATCGAGAAGACATATTCTTCATCGAGTGGAACCGAGCCCACTAAGTTAAAAACTGCGAAGGTTCGACGTGTTTCTGCGTCTTTTTGTTTTGCGTGTTCCTTGTGCAAATATGTAGATGTATATTTTGTATCTCCTCAATAAGCAATTAACAATTAAATCCCAAGATATCAATTAATTAACATTACAGAAATATTTACAGTATTACTGTTTTAGAGTGATGTTTTTGTGCATGAAAGATATGCTTTACCTCAAGAGTGTTGTTCTTAGTGCACACAAATAGAAAGCTAATGTTAACCTGTGTTTAGATCATTTGTTTCTTTTTTTTTTTTGGTCGATCGTCTTGAGCTTTGCATAGATGAAATGAGAGTTAAGATTTTGCTAATTAGAGAATGATCGTGGATTTATTTTCGGGGATTTATTTCTTACCTCAAATATATTATTTCTCTACAGGAGACAGTTTATACTACGGATCTCTCTTCGCATCGGAAAATGGATACAACGCGGAAAGTTCAGGCACCCTCTCCAAGCCCTTCCAAATTTGTCAAGGGCGAATTTCGTGAGAGTGATTACGAAAGCGATTACGATGGTAGAATCTCGTCTGTCTGGAAACCCCGCGGTACCGAGACCGATGATCGTTCTTTCAAATCAGTGAAATCTACCTTAACTGGTTCAGGTATTTTTTAAATTCAAATAATAATTTACTTGTCCAATACGATAAAGATATATATATATATATATATATATATATATATATATGTATAACTCACGATAGAACCATTCTAAATGTACCTATATATACGTGTCTATAATTGCTCTGATGTAAATATTTCTTGACATAGAAGTAGCACTCTATGCACTAGATTTGATATTTTCTACTTCCTTTGACTTCTTTATTCCGTAAATTATAATACTATGGTTGGTGAGGGGATAATCCTTTTAAAATATAATCGGGTAGGTTGTTCAATCAGGATATAAAGTGAATCGATCGTACAGGTGAAAAATAATTAGAAGTTGACCCTAATAGGAGTCTTACTTTGCAACTTTTTTCCAGCTTACAACAAGTAGACCTCCCGGCAAGCTTTCTTCTCCTCTCGTTGTAAACCTCGCGAGACAAGTTCTCCTATCTTCCTGCTTCGCTTGTCTCTCTATCTTTACTTCTTGGCTACTCTAAGTACGTACGTTAGTTAACCCCCAGCTTTTCTTTCTAAGGCTTCAAACATGTATATCCAATTTCATCGCTCTTCTCCTGCTTTCTTCTCTTCGTGTTCTCTTCTGTCAATAATTAATTTCATCGTTGCGGGATTTAATTCTCCCAAAAGAATTATATCGTATAACTTGAAATCATACGCAATGGCTGTACGATGCTGTTAAGGGTGCAAAACCAATAGAAGAGCAGACGTGAAAATGGTCCAAATAATGTCCAAAAGTATGACCTTCTTTCTTTTATCGAATCCTCTTTTGATCGAGGTCACCCGGGAAATATTTTCTACGTAGGAAAACCGATCGTGGCAACACCATCAGAAAAAAGAATCGAAGAAACGTCATCGGGCTTTGATCAAAGAACATCAATGAAAGAGGTCGAGCAAGAAAGTCGGATAGAAGATAGATCGATCGTTACACCGACCAAGATAAAGCAAGTTTTATTACCTGGTTCTCCACCTGAAATCGCTTACGCTCCACCTCATGGTCAAGAAACGTATTACGAAGCACGGGCGGGAATGCCTTATCATAACGCAATTGGTACGGAAACTAGGAAAACAGTTCGAATGGATGAATCAACGGAAAATAGCAGAAGAATCGTCACAGTTGAACAGACTAGTCGGATCATCAAGTTCGGTGATGGACAGAAAACGACAAGCGATCTTGGTCCTGTTGATTCAACGAAAACGCAAAAACAACAGAAATCCTATTATCGCGTACCGACTCCTAAGAAGTTTGTACAGGGCCAATTCAGAGAGTCCGATTACGAGAGTGACGTTGATTCCAGCAGAATTAGACCAAAGTGGGCACCTGCAGATAGCGACTCGGAGGATCCAAGATACAGAAGAGTTCAACCTCCTTCTGGGAAAAGTATTAGGTCGAGCAGCCTTCCGGTTAGACAAGAACACGTGGTTTCACCATTGGAATTTGATACCGGTCCACCACCGATGAAAAGACAAACGTCGATGACTCAGCTACGTGATGAGATAAAAACAAGCAAGTTCGAGGCACAGAAGTTTCAACAGCCGCCATTTTCGAGGCAAGACGAACAAGTTTTGCAGCCTGGCTCACCTCCAGAATTCGGTTTCGTATCCAGGAACGACGTCAAAAAAGCTGCCAATCGTAAGGGCATTTCATAAGATTTTTTTACTTTACTTTTATATTCGGTGCAAAAATCATTTTTCTCAATAGTCAAATTATTTCAGTTTGTACAGTACTGTAAAATATGACGTTGATTGGAGGACGGATACAAAAATTGTAATTACTACACTCGTAGATAGTGATGTCGCTTTTATGTAAAAATAATTGCGTGTTATTTTATTTTCTTACACATTTTTCATCATCATCATCACCAACAACAACACGTTACACCTCATTGTCTTTTAATTTCATATTTTTTCAATTTCTTTTATTACTGCATTATGTCATTATTCACTTCAGCTTATTTTACATTTTTTATTTTTTCTATCCTCATCTTCTTATTTCTTCTGTTTCTTTTTATCTTTCTTTCTTCTCCATTTACACGTTCCTTGTTTTTTGTCTTTTTAAAAATTTGCTGACAAGCTCATATCCCGTAACACGAAAAATCTGAAACATCCGTAGACGTGGCGTCACGTCACATGAGCGATATGACGAGTACCTTCAAATCCAAGACCGAAAAATTCGTAAGTGACATCCAGTCGGATCTGAAGCAAGGTAAACCAATCCTAAAACATCCTGCTGAGAGTCGCGTTAGCGACAGTGATGAGCCGCGGACGTATAGAGAAGAATCTCGAGTTGCTGAACACGGTAAACACAGACATATGACTTTATATTTATAAAGCACATCAAATTTATTTCACTCTAGAGTTAATGTTAATTGTTAAGATTACGAAGTATTGTAATGAATAAATTTCAAAGACGAATTAGTACAAATATATATAAGTTTATCGTCACTCAACGACTACAGGGATGAAGCAAATCGATCCGGATACTGGACTAATATATTTCAAGTATGACTTCGGCTATGAATTTGGAATCGTTTTACCTGGCGAGGGTAAGAAGACCATCACTAGTACCAATAAAACGATTCAGGGCCAAAGACGAGCTAGCGACATCGAGGTGCCTATCGTTCATGAATTTACCACCAAGAAGGAAAACGGTTATGCGAAAAAGGGGACGACTACGTCGTCGTCCTCGACTCGTTCGACCAAATCTGCTACGACTAAGTTTGGTCCTTCGAAAACAGTAAAATGGGAACCAACGTCCGAGAGCGAATTTTCTGAAGCCGAGGATACGAAGAACGCTAGAAGAAGATATCCTGGCGTTGGTGGAGACACTATGGCACCACCACCGAGTCTCGTTATACCTTGTTCACCGTCACCGTCCAGATGGGATTACACCACGCCTAGTCCGCTTTCCCTCAGTCCAAGCTTGCCGAGTCTCTCTCCCCGATACAGTAGCGCCACTGGACCACCTAGCAACGTGGATTCTGCAGGTATATACCTGCCTTCGACACCTTGCCTTGTATTGTTATGTTCGATCATATCTATTGCCATTTCAGAGACATTTTCTGCTTGATTTCATGCATTTGCACTTTTGCTGATTTTGTTCACTGGAATTCGCTTGAGGCATTGCATTATACACACATATATTTCGAATATTTCGGAATAGCACTGGAACGTTTTATAGCGTTGAAACGTTACAAAACTAATTTCTCTTTGCATGAGAATTGGTCATTGGTTTAGCAAAACATCTTGCATTTGCAAGAACATCAGAAAATTTGCTTATTGGGTTTACGAAGAGAGAAACTCAATATTGACTAACTTTATGCATTATTATTTAGGCATGGAATTTGTGATTTCCCATGAAAAGTCGGTTTTTCTTTAAGCAGTTTATCTATCATTGCTTTATCCATAAGCTTCTGAGGCTGTCTATCTAGAAAGTGGTATGGTTGTTAAGTTGTTATACTCATTTATTTTTTCTTTTATTTTAGTCATGTTTAATTTAACAGGTTCGCCATGGCCAACGAGTAACGGAGTCGCATCTACTAAAGAAGTGATTCAGCCTTATCTTGAAATATTACCAAAGAAGGCTCCTCTCTTTATCACGGTAAATTATCTTTTGGACTTGTTGCTTCATTGAAACGAGACCGTTTGAAGTTGAAATTTGGTATAATTGATTTTAGCCTCTGAGAGATATCGCTGTTGTGAGTGGACAAACCGCGAGATTCGAGTGCATTGTGCAGGCAGAACCACAACCAAATATCTTGTGGTCGAAGGATGGTAGAATTATTGAAAATTCTTCCAATTTTGAAATACATTACAGAAATGGTGTTTGTCGTCTAACTATCGCTCATGCTTTTCCTGGTGCGTTATTAATTGGAACCTTTTTTTAACAAATCTTGTGCACTACTTTTTTTTTTATAATATTACATTTTTCAGACGATGCCGGGACTTACGCTTGTACTGCCACAAATGGTTTAGGATCCACTGTAACTTCCGCTACCTTGCAGGTTCCAGGTAACAGACGATCAATATACGCACCTATTTAATGATGATGAAAAGGTGGTAGTATATTAAAAAAAAAAAAAAAAAAAAAAAAAAAAAAAAAAAAGGGAAAAATCAAAATAAAAAAACAAAAAAAAAATAAACAGAACACGAAGATACAGCAAAAAATGGTACAGCTTATATCATGAGGGTGGTGGAAAATGTCTAACTTTCTGTCGTCCATGGACTTCGAATCGTCACTTATTTAAATATTTCATGAAACTCCAAAAAAATGAAAATCCGAGAAAATAGTTTCAATGTCATATTATATGATATTTTATTCATTTCGAAAGATTGTAAAGAAGAAGAAATTAACGTCAAATCCAAAAATCATTCAATTCGTTTAAGTTCAAAAAGATGGATATATGATTGTTTTGTATTTTTCATTAATATTTCGCAATATGGACGAGGAGTTCTAGTCAATCATCAGTGAGAGGACGAGAAAAATCCGAGTGATTTCGAAAAGTGGTGGTGAATTTTTTTTGTAGTCGCGTCATGAACTCTTTTCAATGCATTTTTGTCGTTGCTGACACTAAAGACTTTCGAAAAAAAAAAATCGCTTCGATAGGCTATTTTCTTTTCTCTTGCGTATTTCTCTCGCACTTTTTCTTTCTTGCTCTCTTTCTTTCTTTCTTTCTTTCTTTCTCTCTATCTATCTCACTCACTCTCTCTCTCTCTCTCTCTCTTCCTCTTCCTCTCCCTCTCCCTCTCCCTCTCCCTCTCTCTTTTCTCAGTTCTTTATTACTTTTTCTTTAGCACATGATCGTTTTCCTAACTTTTTTTTTCATCCACCCTGTCATAGATTAGAATTATAGTTTTCTTTGTTTCTATTTTTCTTGAAAAATTATCTTATATTCTCGTGAGATCGACAAACTTACACAGTAACACATATGTATAAAAAAGATGCAGCTAAAGAAATTCTACGAGTATATTTCTATATTTGTAAGATGAAACGAGAAGAAGAAGAAAACGATCAGAGATTCAAAAAAAAAAAAAAAATAAATAAATAAATAAATAATAAAATAAAAAAGAAAAAAAAAGAAAAAGAAAAAGAGAGAAGATTTTGAAAAAGCGTTCATTTACATTTTTTAAATCATTAAGCAAATCTATTTATTTATCTAAGTAAGTCTTTTGTTCGAGAATAAAAATGCTAGTCACATTTTGTTACTTAAAATCTAGACGAACGATAAGACTACTACTATTTGTTATTTTCTTGCATAAATAAGAATGAATCGGTTGATCGAGGATCGACATATGTTGCGTTCCTCATGTTTTTAATTTTTTGGTGTTTCCACGATATATTCATTAATTTCTTCCGATTAAATACATAAATGAATTTATGGCGAAGGCGAAACACGAGATTGTCATAACGCATTCGCGAAAACATAAACAGATCATTGTTAATGTTCTTATCATCGTCAACGCTATTGATATACTGTGTAAATAAACGTGTGCTTCCTCTGCAATATAAAAGCTGGGTTTTATGGTGTAACCATTTATTTTTCTCTTTCCCGCCCTGCTGTCGCTCTTTCCGTATCAAAAAAAAAAAAAAAAGGAAAAAAAAAAGGAAAAAAAAGAAAAAAGAAGAAAAAAGAAAAAAAAGAAAAAAGATCACGAACCATGTACTTACATGTAGTTATGTCTGCGATGGATATTCATATGTCTTGCATGTACACAATCGAGAGAAGCGATAAGGTACGATTTATCGAAAGTCAAAAATAGCAAATTAGTTGAATGTTCTGGGAATATGTAGAATAATTTTCTGTAGAGAAAATAGTTTTAATTAAATATGCACGATCATACGTATAATAAATGATAATCATTGAGCACCATCGAAATCGAGACTGTGAATCATTACTAACACTTGGAGATTACTAACTTATCATTAATGGTAATGGGTAACCTATTGCACGTACTTACATACTTGCACTAGGTATTATTTAATTTAACTATTCGTTCGATTGCAACAAAAGTGACATAGTATATTTTTTATGCGATAAAACAACATTATTAAAGGAAACATTATTAAAATAACAGTCGTGTCATTTTTGTTGCATGGCAAATGTAATTTATATGATATAAAGGCGAAAAAAAGTAGTCGGATTATTTTGGATATAAATTTTCTCCGAAGAGTAGACGAATTCTGAACGGAAGGTATGAAAATAGACGGCAAGGTAAATCGGAAGTGCGGAGGGAAATGTTGACTTGCCGATCTAAGAATAAACGAAGGAAAACAAGCTATATACCGATTGTTCGAAGATGTTTATCTTATTTATTTATTTTTATTTTTTTTTTTTTTTTTTTCATTTTTTTTTTCATTTTTTTTCGAGAATTAAGAAGGAAGAAACGGATTCTTCGTGAAATTCATTGCGTCAAACATTCGAAAAAATTTGAAGGATAGGAAAAAATTGCAAATAAAATTTCTCGTTTATTTGTTCTGTTGTTCAAATGAATTTCGTATTTATTTGATCGCAGCAATTACGTATATAAATCGTTAAAATTTTGCGAAAGAGTCGAGTTTAAGAATCACCGACTGTCTCGATGAGCGTTATCACACTCTAAATAATTTTAATTTTTGAGCAAAGAGTCGCAATGAAAGAAACGATAGAGGATCTCCGGGGGGTTTGGTACGCGGGGAACAGCCAGAAATAGCAATGTCGATCGAGGAGATTTTCGCGGGAGGAACTTTAGAAGCGTCGTAAGTTTATTGCGACTTGAGCGAGTCGACTTGGACGTTTCTCTACTCAACTTACCTCGAGCGCGTTGTTATTCGTTCTGCACGAAAGATTTTTGATCGGAAACGAATAATACGATGTTTCGGCATCGATGACGTCATCCTTCCTCTCGTCGTCTACCTCGAAAGAAATTATTTACTTAAGCGAGTAACGATTTAAACACGAGTAGAGGAGGAAGACAGATAAAGAGAGAAAGAGAGAGAGAGAGAGGAACGCGCTTAACGATTCGCTTGTTTACTTTTCGTTGGTGCCTTCTACCGAGGCAAAAAAAAAACAACGAACAAATTCGCATGGAAGAAAAAAAAGACAAAAGAAGAAAAAAAAGATAAAAGGGAAAAGAAAAAAAGAGAGAAAAAAAGGAAAATAAAATAGAAATCTTCCCTTATTCCACGTTAAACGCGATTTCAGGTGTATCCTTGCAATATGACACGAGCAATCGAGAACGATCCGTCGATGAAGAATTATTGGAATGTTCACCGAGGTACGTAGCATTGAAGGATCTCTTTCTACCTCAAGAAGAAATCAAGCTCAGCCTAACTAATCATCGACACGCATCGATTTACGAATTTGCACTGGCACCTAGTTACAGGTAGATGGAAATATAGATAGAGTCAAATATCGTTATGTTCTGTTTTTTCTTTTTTTTTTTTTTTTTTTTCCTCTTTTTTTTTTTTTTAATGCGATCGATAGATTTGGGCGTGCGTTTACCAAGCGGAATTGCTTTTGCAGCTGCGAGGACGGCAGTTATCTTGAAAATCGTGCCGGTGAATACGAGTACGACGAGAGGACAGGAGAACCGTACGCTAAGCCAAAACGTCTTGACTTTTCTGATATTGAGAGAAACGGGACGTATTGCGACCTCAATCAGGACGACGAGAATGAGGATGATTTGCATACGCAGTTATTTCGCAGGATCGAGTCAAACGGTAAAGTACATTTTTGTATAATATTACGTATTATAAGTATCTACGTATGTAGATTCACGTATATATACATATCATTGTAAATATCTAAAAAGAAGAAAGATTGGTTGGACACATTCAGGGTTTTAGCAGTGATTACTCGTCGTTGTCCGTGAACCGCGAAAATAGAATTTCACGCTCTCGTCGATTGGTCTACTAGCAGGTGGACAATATGAGCGTTCAAGCCTTGCCCGATGATTTTAAGAGGAGAGTTGAATCATAGACACGATGAAGCACGATTAGTAATGCCGACGAATATTTCACGAATCTCGAAATAGAAGCTCGTTGGTAGCGCTTTGCTCTACCTTCGTGAAACGATGATTCATACTCGACCCACCTTTCGTTGATCCTACTGAAGTTTTCTTCGGTAGAGAGCTTTCAACGAGGATGCTCTTTTAAGTTTGCATTTTACGATGATTGCTCGAAATAACCATGAAAATCTAATACCAATCATTTTATTTACCCACCACTTGGATTTTGTCGTATGTATTGCGAAACATCTAACAGGTATAGCGTAAGGTGGACTTCTCTCTTTCTCTCTTTCTCTCTCTCTCTCTCTCTCTCTCTCTCTCTCTCTCTCTCTCTTGTTTTACCTCGTAACACGAAACCGAAGGTATTGTACAACGATTCCGTCCAGCATAATGTCTGAATTACACGCTCGCGCGACTGGATCTGACCTACAACTCACGAGCGAGGTTTCGTACGAGTGCAGTTTAAACCGCGGTTAGGCTGTACCATATGTTTACCTGCACGATATAATCATTTCAAATTTCTGAGTTACTTTATTGGAATATCGTTCGATGATTGTTTTTCCTTAACAATTTTTCTTCTTCTTCTTAAATCATATCGAACGAAGAATAGGCGAAGAAATAATAATTATTTTTCCGATGTGAACTCGCTTAAAGATTGAATTTTGATATCCTAAAGAATGTCATCGATTATTTTTACGATCGAGTAATTATTTTATCGGAGAGATGATGTGTAATAATATTTGAGGTTACTACGATTAAATGGTTCATTCTGTATATATAAATAAATAACTAAATAAATAAATAAATAAATAAATATATGTATATACACACACACACATATATATATATATATATATGCGTGTAAGAAAGTATACATAAAGCATGGAGCAGTATCGTTGGCATCACACATATGTAAGTTACGCTTACCGTGCGAGTTTGCGAGGACCAGCGCGTGTCTCGCTCCGATTCGTCGGGATGCGGAATGCTAACGGTTGGATAAGATCGTTCCTATACCTACATAAGTCTCACATGATACAGGAACGATCTGTCAACTGGCTTAATTATTCTGACTTTTTTTTTTTATCTAAAATGTCCTATCAATTTGAGCAAATAGCAAAAATTGATTGAACGATTGAATCAAACGATAAAATTTCCAAAACGTAATTCGAAAGAACGTAAAGTGTAACACTTTTTGTTATCTACCATATTACAAGATGAAAAAGTAAAGAAAAATACAAATAAAAAAAAGAAGAGAGAAACAATGTCGAAATCGTATTGATTAAATGTGCTACGAAGCGACGTGCGTGCGACATTTTAAAAATCAAAGCTCGATATTCGGATAGTACTCGAAGGGAAGGACATTAAGAGTAACACGACGTAAGAAGATGTAAAGAAAAAAAAAAGGAAACGCACCCGACTGGTGATTCGTAACGAATTAAAAGGATACTTCGTCGCATCGTCCAACAAGTTCGTACTCACTTACGAGTATTATTACTCGCGTCCCTCCTTCTTGTCGTCGTCGTTGTCGTCGAACGAGTTTAGAGCAGACCGAGTCAGCGACATGTCGCCGCAAAATGCGTCGGCGAGCTCTCGAAACTCTTTCATCAGGGGTTGTTCATGGCTAAACTTGGCCAACCAAGCCTACGTACGATATGTACGAGTTGAGCTTAATTGATATATATTATTTTCAATATTTCTTGCATTTTCTTCTTTCTTATTTTTTCTTTGTTTCATTTTATTATTTTCTCTTTTTTCCTTTAATTTGTTTCTGCTTACCTAGCGATGCCGATGTGTCGTACAATCGGGTCATCAAATCTCACGTTGATTTGACTTTTTCCAGATTGACGCGCTTAAATTCGTCTATAAAAGTAGAAATAATTATGAGCCGAAATTTAAAATCTGGTAGGCCTACATTTTATTCACATTCTTCTCGTTCAAGGTTGTTCGTAGGCCAATAAATTCGTATCATTAAATTCCAATGACTTTTTCTTCTTTCTCTTCTTCTTTCTTTTTTTTCACATTTATTAGAAATAAATATAAATGTCAACTGTAGATGAAATAATGATTGTAATCGATATTACGAGAAAGGACGATTACGATTGCGGACAGGTGTGATACCAGACAAGTTCTCGCCGACGATATGTTCGTGTCCATGTGTCTCAAAAGATAAGGAGAGAGTTGAGAATAAGAAGAAGGGAGAGAAGTAGAAGCCGGGGAAAAGATATAAATACAGTCTATAAAAGGTTGTGAGTGCGTGTGTGTAAATATTGTACTAGTCTAACGTGTATAAAGATAGAAGGAAATGGGGCATTTTGGAAGAAAAACAAATGTAGGAGAGAGAAAATTTAGAAAGAAGTGCATTTTAAATTTGTTCCGTAAATTGAAGCTTTTTAACTTGAATAAAGATGTTTGAGAAAATATCGTTCAATTAAATTAAATGATATTAAGAATGATGAACATTTGATATAAATTAGTAAATAATGAAATAATAAAAATGAATAAATGTAACATATTGTTAAAAAAAGAAAGCGAGAGCGAGAGTAAGTTTAGAGAAGCGGGAAAAGGAGTAAGAAGAAGGAGGAGGAGGAGGAGGAGGAGAAGGTGGAGGAGGGGAGGGATGGGGAGAGGAGGGGAGGGGAGGGGGAGAAAATGCGTAGACGCGTGGGTGGCTGTCAGTGAGTACGAGAACTGCGTGAGCCGCGCGTCGTTTTATCGTTTTATCGTGTCATGTTGGCTCATAGATATCTCCTTTGCCGAATTTAACAAAACGTATGTTTATAATTCGAGTAAGGAGGTATACACGCGATACACTCCAATTACTTTTACATCGAAAACATAAGAATTAGTGAAAAGAAATCAGGATTTTCTCGGATCTTTCTATGAATAATTTGAAATTTATGAAAATGCATTAATTAATATATTAATCAATTTAATTGTTTTTTTTTTTTCTTTTTCCTATTATAGTTAATCCTTATGGTCGTTTATATCGGATAAACAAAGCAAAGAAAATTACAGTGCAACGTAGAGATTTCTCACGAAACATATGTGGATAGGTAAGGCGAAACGATGCTGTAATATAATCAAATCTTATCAAAACAATTCGATCGAAAAGAAAAAAAAAAAAGATAACAAAGCATCCGTTTGTTCTTTCTTACGCAAAGAAATGAAACGGCTTAGTTGAATCGATATATGAAAGAGCTCATGCAACTTTTGAGAAAAAAAGTCAATGTCATTCGTTTATTATTACAACGATTTTACACATAGAAACAAGCCTGAATTTCTTCGAAGGTTGAAACACGCTTGTAGCCCTCCTACGTCTAGTTACGAAGAGCCAAGGCACATTTTTTATAACTCTAATCAGACACGCGAAGATCGGTTATTTTTATTCCACGATATTCTTAATTTAAGATCATCTATTATTTATCCGGTACTTTGCTCTCGAGTTAGCTCTCGATTGATTAATCCCATAATTCATAATTATTGAATATGAGTTAGTTGAATAAACAATGTAGGATTAAAAATGACTTCTATATGTTAGTGGCTTTAACAAACTACGATAGAAGAAATATCTGCCATACTTTGCACCGTTTGTCAATTTGTATGCGTTCTTTCGATGATTCTTTCGAAAATGATTAATGTATATAATCCAAATTCGATTTACCATCTCGATTAATTTCACGACAAAATAAATATATAGAAAATATTCGAATGTTTTAACTTTGAAGCTGCCCTTTATTCATATAACGCAATTGATTGATCACTGTCGAATGTTACATTCCTCTACAGAGAGTTTTACATTATAAAAGAAAGTAATTCCAAATGGGAAAATTGAAACATGGATGTAAGAGGATGATCTCAACGACGCGGCCGAAACTTCGTCACTCATCTCTCGTCATCATTTTCCGCGTCTGAAGAAGCGTCGGGACGCGAGACGTCCCCACCCTCGGAGTCGCCTTCGCTACCCCCACTTTTCGAGAAGACTGCCTTCGTTTTTCGAAGTCGTCTCCGCCGGCAATTCGCATTCGACCGACGTCTTGGTTTAAAGAGTCTCGGGGATAGAGTTTTGAAGATGACTTGACTTCTGCCGACTGGAGTGAGCCGCAAATAGAAGAGACAGATATTTTAGCGAAAAAAATAAAGGAAGCGCTTCGATATTTCGATATTTCGATATATATATATATATTTATATTTATATACATATATATATATATATATATATATATATATATATTACAACGAAGAATTCGATCCAAGAGATCGTATACGCGAGTGATATAGAATTTTTGTTGTTGAGTGTTTTACGCCCTTAATTCTTCATTCTCGGAGATACGAATTTGAAGAAGAAGTTTTCGAATCTATCGATCAACAACAGCTCAGGGGTCAGAATACTGAACCCCTCTTGTAACGATTTTATAATCGTCAAAGGCCTATATCGAACGTTCAATTCAAAATGAAGCGACAACAGCAACAGCAACAGCAACAGCAACAGCAACAACAACAGCAGCAGCAACATCAGCAACAACAGCAACAATACACTCAACAAAGAACCGAACGACAGGTCACTCGGCAACAGATCACCAGTCAGCAGAGAGGTCAGTTGTTTTTTTGGAATTTCATCATTATCTGAAAATACGAGACGAAATAGTTAAAAATTTAGCCAAAAGGATAAGTGCGTAGTTTAAAATTGAGAGTTCAATCAATTAGAATTTTATTGCATAATGTGCGTTGTATTTCTGTTACTGTTACATGACAAACTTCATAGCTCCCTGTCTCGAAAATTGATCATGTTTTTTAACCTATCGATTTGTTATAGGAAATAGATATGTAGCTACATCTTTCCGCTTTCTGTTTTTTTTTTTTTTTTTTTTTTTTAATCCTTCTAGCATCTTAATTCTCAATTTCTTTGTAGAAATATCCCCCTGAAAGATATTCTATTTTCGAGCGAGAGCACCGCCTCTGCGAGATCTAAAGATAGCTAACCGCTCTTTCGACGCACGTCTTTTGAAAATTCCTGCACGCGTTGCCCTCTAACTTACTAAGTCGCCCTCCTTAGAGGGTTTGATATTTCTCAAAAAAGAAAAAAAAAAAAAAAAAAAAAAAAAAATAAAAAAAAAAATTGCGCTGGAATGCATTCTTAAAAGATGCAGAAAAAAAAAGTTTTAACTAGGAGTTATTGCTTTGCATTTGACATCTGTATCTGTCATTTGAATGAAGATGTCATTTTCATTGAAATAAGACAACTCGATGACGTCGACATCATACCTGTATGTGAATATGTCGAGAAACTTATAAAAATAGGATTTTTAATAGCAATTTGCTATAAAATCCGACATAATTTGTTTCTAAGTTTAATACCGTTCAACGTATTTAAATATTTGATCGAGGAAATTTCCAAAAATCCATTTCATACATCCGACAGCATAATTTATAGTTATATACCGAAATTATAGTTATGTAGAGATATTAAAACTTCTGGGGAAATTCATGCTGACAGAAGATATTGGCGATACTCCAAAAAACGAAATTACAAAGCTCGAATCAAAATGTCCTCAGGTATCATTATATTTACATTTACCAATCTTGTTGCATTATTCGATGCAAATGAAATCGATGCCAAAATTTTCACCATTACCCGGAAAAAATGTGTCTTTCCTTGCGGTGTCCGTGAATCATGTGCCGAAATAAAATTCGACCGTATTGTAGTTAGAAAGAGAGAGAGAGAGAGAGGGGAGGGGGGAAAGAGTTGTTACTAGAATTGAGAATAACACCTACTACAAATGTTAAGTTTCATACAGATATTTTAAGAAACATGTAAATCATTTATGGTTTCGTAAGAAAAATTCATTCGGTCTATAAATAATGCTAAAATCATTTTTCAAAATATACTTGAAATAGATTTTAATAATTATGATTAATTGCAAGACAATCGTTCGTCACTTGCACTTTTTGCACTAATGACGCATATCTTTTTAAGTTCACTAGGAATGACAATTAATATTCCTTGGAAAATTTTGGCTAAACTGCAGATCACAGCATTTGTAATTTATTATCAAGAAAGTCTACTTAAAGTGGTTTAGCTAATTGCCACGACTAATTCTTATTCGTAACAGACTAAATGAAATGATCGCGCCTGCGAGACAATTAATCTTTCAATTGTTTAATAAAATGTCAACGAACGATAATACGTTTCTGTATCTAAAAAAAATTGCATCCGACATTTGCTTGTATGGTGCCAACATTGGAATTTTTACTTGGCTGAATAAGCGAACTTGTCTTCAATTTGGCATTGATTCTCAAAAGTAACATCAATCTATATATTTATTGAAACGTTTAACATATTATGTTGAAAGATCTTTCACAGCATCTGTCAATTCTAATTCTAATTTATAATAATTCCCTATTGTTCTTTTTTTTTTTTTTAATTTTTTTTTCGAGTATTTATACCTCATGTTATCTCAAAATTATACCTGACATTTATTGTGTGAATATTATGCATCAAAAAAATCGTCAGGAATATATAAAAACGATTGATCAGCGAAAATTCATAACTAAAGAAGAATTTTATACCGTAGTAATCTGAAACAGCTGATCGAACAGAATACAACCTGTCATCGTCAGCATGTCATAAACGATAAGCAATCCAAATATTGACAAAAAGTATCGTAGTCTAATATAAAGCGAAAAAAAAAATTGAAGTAAAGATTGCACCTACAAACTATCGACAAAAGAAAGAAATAATAAGAAGTAGAGATTATTTGATTTTGCTTAGCCATAAATTTTGCCCAACACGCTAGACGATTGGTCAAAGTAGGTACCTTTTCGCATAGACACGTAGAGAGTTGCATCTCGTCGCGTCACTGGGCGCTGCACATTGAGGAGATAATTGCTCCTAAAATGGCACAGGGTAACGCGATCCCCATCTGGATACAAAAATAGGATACCAAACTTATTCAACCGTGATACGTCCTTCTCTCTGTCTCTCTCTCTCTCTCTCTCTCTCTCTCTCTTTCTCTCTCTCTCTCTCTCTTTCACTTTCTCGCAATTTTGATTAAAAAGATGAGGGATTAATGCTCTTTTAGCATGGATTGATTTCCGTCTACTAGTTCGTCAAATGTTTCAGTACAGAAGCAACTTGTGTGTGCAACTTGTTGATACATTATATCATCCAGGATATCCTTCGAAGAATTTCCATCTTAGTTTACTGTCACGAATTTCATTATATTTTCTTCCTAGTTTCATTTTTTCGTTTGATCTTTTTCTAACAATATTGCTCTAAGAGATAATCTATTTTAGATCTAAGAAGTTACTTCTGCAAAGTTTAATTATAACTATGCGCTATTTTTATCCTCGTCTTCCAAAAATTCTTGTCCCATCAAGTCACCTTCCCTTTGAAGTTTTTTTCAACGCTATGGAAAAAATAAAAAGGGAACGAAGCAAACGCAAAAGATCTTTCATTGAAGGATAATATTCTCGGACGATTGTTGAACTGAAATCTCTTAGTTAGTTTCTCTTAGTTAGGGATAATTGATGCATTCGACTTTTTTATGTACCCGATTGAGGACTTTTCCAAAGAATTCGTATACCAGCCAGTTTGTAGTCATAGTATAATGAAAGTATAACTTTTTGAGAATTCGCATTGGTTGAAACATTGGCTGTGTTCCAAAAAATAAGACTACAAAGTACCCAATTATGTTTGCTGATTCCGTTGTATGGTGCGATGCAAATATAATCATTGCCAAAACCTTCACCATATTCCAGGAAAAGTACATACTTCGCTGCCATATCTATGATTCATATGCAGAAATAAAATTTGACTGTATTGTAGCCGACGTCGTTACCAAGATTGTAAATAACACTCACATCTGTTATTACTGATATTTTAAGAAACGTGAAAAATGACTTCTGATACAATGGTTTTTTTAGAAAAGAAATGTATTCGACCCAGAAATGAAATAAAAATCATTTTAGGCGTACTGGGTTGAAGATATATGTTTATGTATATAGGTAAAAGATATATATGCATGTTTATTATTCTGAAGAGATTCATATAACTAGAAGAATAAGAGAAAATATTAGTATTGAATTTTGCATCATCGATGATATACTAAAAGAGTTATTGCAAGTACATAAGAAAATACGTATGCAAAGTAGGGATGGAAGAGAGATCAACGCTATGAGCTATTTTATTTTGGTCAGTGACTGGCTTTGCGTAACGGAGAACATGATTGGTCGAGGTACGCAACCATCCGGCATAGACACGTAGCGTCGCATCGCGTCTCGGCGCTGGGTGCCGCGCAGCGCAAAGATGGTTGCTCCTAAAATGGCCCAGGGTAACGCGATCCCCATCTGGATACAAAAATAGGATACCGCGCTTGTTCAACTGTGATACATTCCTCTCTCTTTCTCTCTCTCTCTCCCTCCCTCCCTCCCTCCCTCTCTCTCTTCTCTATCTCTCGCTCATTCTCTTGGATACGACATTTTTTTTTTTTTTATTAGAGCACTTTAGCACCCTACTTGTCCTTATTTTTTCTTGCAAGAGACATACATACTTGACCTTCGAAAATGATAGGGAAATGAAACGTGAAACGTGTGTCTTATTGCACATTCGTTTCGTATCGATCATTCAAGATTACGAAGGTCATTGAACAGATTATAATGATTTTCTGTGAATCACGAGAACAAATTCTTGAAATAGAATTAGTGATTTGGATTCAGTACACAATTGGCATTAAATGCTTTTTTATTTCTTAAAGTGATGATCGTTCATCATTTAGATATGAGATATAGAAAAGGATATCAATTACATAGAGATTAAGTAATTTTATTGCACCTCCAAATAGTTTCATGAATAATAATATTGTCTTTCTAATCGTTATTGTTTTCAAAAGGCAATTAAGAAACTTATTAAGCGTGCGTTAATAACTGGATTTATTTCAAAGATGTTGATGCAGATAAATTCACGATACTTTTAACCGATTTTAATTTGTCTTGTTATGGTACTTGTGGCCAGGGTAGTCCAATTTGTTTCACGATGTGTGCTTTCAAATCTAATGAGCAAATTGGCTTAATTGCGTGGCGTCAAGCATTCCCATCAAAACGTATGGTCGCCTTGGTGCGTGACGATAACAGGAAAAACGGCGTAAACGCTTCGTTTCCTCGATTCGTTCTACCCTAGTTGGATGGAATAAGAATACATTTTGTTCTAGACTAGTGCGAATAAGCGAAACATATTGAAGGCCGATTTCAATGGGCAAGATTTTGCACGTTATAAAATTAACCAATTATATCGTTTTTGTTTTTCCAGTCCAAGGGGAAATAGTGATGCAAACGACGCCAACGATACCAACGTAAGTTTGATTATCATTAAAGTTAGTTTGAGAGATTTTTATGAAATAAATTTATTTTATTATCTACATTTGTAGATTCACCGGCAGACCAGGTGATCCGTCGCCTCCGGTTTTCGAGCAGATCTTTAAAAATGCAAGATTCGCCCAAGGTGGAAATGCCATTTTCGAAGGATGCGTACGTGGAAATCCAAAACCGAACGTTTCTTGGACACACAAGGGTGCTCCTTTATTGGAATCACGAAAAATTCGGATGTCTTACGACGATAAGACCGGTATGGTTACGTTACAAATCAATCAGATAGGTCCAGGAGATGAGGGTGAATATACATGTAGTGCCAAAAATCAATATGGTAGGTTGAACAACTTTGGAAAACATTTGTGACACTTGTCAAATCATTATTTCAATCGTAACGTTCGATGAAAATTTTAGGAGAAGCGATCTGCTCGGTGTATATTCAACCGGAAGGATTCGGACCTCCGCCTCAACAACAATTAGGTAGTTATAAAAAGGAATTTGCTCAAACCTTCCAAACGACCGAACAAAAAACTGGTAGCCAGACTTATCAGCAACGTAGTTATCAGCAAATGTACGACAAGCGAAGTTATGTCAATGGAACGTCTAGCATTGAGGACTTCAAGGTCATTAGTCTAACGTTTGCCTTTCTTCTCTTTTTCTAATATATTTAACAATATGATCGGACAATCGAATCGTTAATTAAATATCCGTCTCATATTTACAGGTGGATACTTTCGAATATAGATTGTTGCGCGAGACGGAATTCCGAGAATCGATTACGCGTCGTTTTGTAGGCGAATCAGACTCGCAGATTTCTACGGTAATTGATCGCAGTCTGGGTCCGGTCGCACCAGCGCAAATCGTTCAAAAACCGAGAAATTCGAAGCTCATTGAAGGATCTGATGCCGTTTTTACTGCTAAAATAACCGGAAATCCAAAACCAAGGGTAATCTTGAAAGAATTTTACTATATCATAAGGCTATGATAAAAGTAAAAAAACAAAACTAAGTATATTGTTTTCGATCTTTCTAGTTGACTTGGTTCAAAAATGGCCAGAGAATCCGCGACTCACAACGCGTGGAAATGAGTTATTCGAATCAGCAAGCGACTTTGAAAATCAGGGTCGCGCTACCGGAAGATAGTGGCCACTATACTTTATTATCTGAAAATCAACAAGGTTGCACAGTAAGCTCGGCATATCTAGCTATTGAATCTAGTGACCAAGTCGATCAAGCGGTTCATCAGATGCAACAAAGAGACATTGCGAAAAGCCAACAAATAGATTCTTCGTCATCAGAATCCGAAACTGGTAAAGTACTTCCGCCTAATTTCGTTCGTACTTGCGCTGACCGAGAAGCTACCGAAGGAAAGATGACAAGGTAAGAAAGAGTTGCGTTGAGATTTCTCATGATTTCGAAAATAAATATTCAATCGTTAAAATATATCAACGTTTAGGTTTGATTGTCGTGTAACGGGTCGACCATATCCAGAAGTAACATGGTACATCAATGGACAACAAGTAGCCAACGATTTGACTCATAAAATTCTTGTTAACGAATCGGGCAATAATTCGCTGATGATCACCAACGTGAGTCGGTCTGACGCCGGTGTCGTTACTTGCATTGCTAGAAACAAAGCTGGTGAAACGTCTTTTCAATGTAATCTCAACGTCATCGAGAAGGAACAAGTTGTTGCACCAAAATTCGTCGAACGTTTTACAACTACTAATGTTAAAGAGGGTGAACCTGTAGTATTTACGGCACGTGCGGTTGGTACTCCTGTTCCACGAATCACCTGGCAGAAGGTAAAGTAACATTATCTTGAACCGATGAACAGAATTTTAATGTTTTGTACGTTTCGCATAGGATGGTGTACCAATTGCACCGGGTCCAGACGTGCGCATATCGATGGACGGCAGTGGAGCATCGACTTTGGATATACCCTGTGCTAAATTCTCTGATGCCGCATGGTATCAATGTACCGCACAAAATGTGGCTGGCTCCACTGCAACCCGAGCACGGCTTTTCGTTGAAACACCGAAGGGAGCCGCACCAGAACCAAGACGCTTGAATTTACCCCGACCGACAAAAATCATCGAACCAGAGTAAGCTATTAATTAGACTAATCTTAGAGTAATCCCTCTTAACCATTTTAAACTTTCCTCATAAAAAATGTCTTTCCTAATGCCGACTAAAGATATATAAAGGAGAGAAAGGTATATCTTTGATAAAAAAATCTTTCACATATAAATTTCAATAATTGGGCAGTTTATTAAAACTAAAAACGTTAATAAAACTTTCAGACCAACGCCTGGCCCCGAAGTGATCTACCTAAGACACGTAGAACGAGCCAAACCATATTTGCCTCCTCCTGAAGAAGATAAAATTTATCCACCACCACGTTTTATTATACCATTAAGAGATGTGCATCAAATTGAAGGTGGACGTATTCACTTCGAGGCCAGAATCGAACCGGTGGGCGACCCCACCATGAGGGTTGAGTGGTATGTTAACGGAAGAGCTCTCGACGCAAGTAAGTATATATATATATATATATAACTTTATGGTATGGTAAATTTGTGCCATCGATCAAAAATATCATATATTCGAATTATATCCATAGGCTCACGCGCTACATCCATCTTTCGATTCGGCTTTATTTCTCTCGATCTTATCAGTATAGTTCTTCAAGATAGCGGTGAATATCTATGTCGCGTCGTTAGCTCTACCGGAGTTGCTGAATCTCGTGCCACTCTTAGCGTGACACGTGAGTATATATCTTCGATTACTTGAAATAAATTACACCTTACGAACTTTGAATTAATGTTGACAATTGATTCGTTTTAGCACGCGCTACGATCGAGCAAGCCAGCCAACACCCCGACAGTCTTCAATATATCCAACAGCTCGAAGATTATAGCAAATATCAAAGGCAGGAGAGCGTGGAGGAGATATCATCTTCACAACGACCGGTCTTCATCCGACCACTCCAGGATCTTGGTGAGCTACAGGAAGGTCGTAACGCTCATTTTGAGGCGCAGCTGACACCTGTTAGCGATCCTACCATGAAAGTGGAGTGGTATAAGGATGGTAGACCAATCACAGCTAGTGAGTAAAGCAGAAAATAATCTTAATAACATTTATGTATCAAATTTAAATTTGTTATATTTATTCGTTTTAGGTTCAAGAATCACAACCATCTTCAACTTCGGATACGTCTCGCTTAACATATTGCACCTACGGGCTGAAGATGCAGGTTCTTATACAGTTAAAGCTGTGAATCGTTTGGGAGAGGCTATCAGCTCCGCGACTCTCCGTGTCTTTGGTAAGTTATCGGGATTGATAATTAAGTAAGATTAATATAAAATAATTTTAGGTAACAGGAATATCAACTATTTTCATTTGAACGTTACAGCAAGAACGAGTGTTACAACAGATTTAGGTATTCCTGAGCAACAGAGATATATTGAAGCTGCCGAGGAGTTGGAAGCTTACCAACAGGCTATTCACCAAAAATATGTGCAAGAACAGCCTGAACCGACTAGCCCACCGGAATTTAAATCGCCTATTAAGGATCAAAATGGAATACGAGAAGGCGGGTTTGCTCATTTCGAAGCCCGTTTAGAGCCAGTTGGTGACGCTGATTTACGCGTTGAATGGCTCAAAGATGGACGCCCTGTAGAAGCCAGTAAGCATTTCTTTCCATATTTCATATTAAATTTATAAAAATACATTTCAATGAATTTATCATATTGTTACTTTTCTTTCAATTAGGTTCACGAATTACAACATTCTTTAATTTCGGCTACGTTGCACTTACCATTAAATACGTCACGATTCACGACGTTGGCGTTTATACATGCCGTGCTTATAACAGAGTTGGCGAGGCCCATACCACCGCACAATTAAGTGTTATTAGCAAGAACGATGTCATCTATGACAGTCAACATCCTACCGGCTTACAGAGAATTCAAACGCTTGAGGATTCGAGCAAATATATGCGTCAAGTGCAAGAGGAAGTACAGGTGAAGCAAGCACCACGTTTCTTAGGTACTTTGAAAGGAACCAATAAGATCGTCGAAGGTCAGCGTGCGCACTTTGAAGCCCGAGTTGAACCTCAAAGTGATCTGACTATGAAAATCGAATGGTATCATAATGGCAAATCGATTACTGCTGCTAATAGAATTCAAACCTATCACGATTTTGGATACGTAGCGATCGATATTCTTCAAGTTCGACCTGAAGATGCTGGCACATATACCGTGGTTGCAAGAAATGCTCTTGGCGAAGCTCAACTTTCAGCAACTATGATCGTCGAGAGTGAGTGTCATTTCTTCTTATCGATCTTAAATTTTATTTCAATTAACTATTTACATGCATTTCTACTCTTTCTTTAGCACGCTCAAGCGTAGATACCAGCAGTATGCATCGCGGTACTTTTGAAAAAACTCAACGTCTCGAAGAATCTAAATTTGTCGAACCACAATATCACATCGAAGAAATATCTAAATCAAAACCTATTTTCGTACAACCATTGAGCGATCCAAAGCCAGTTAGCGAAGGAAAAAATATTCATTTGGAGTGCCGCCTAGAACCAATGGGAGATCCAACTATGAGAGTCGAATGGTTCCAAAATGGACGACCTGTAACAGTTGGTTCAAGATTCAGAACGTATTACGACTTTGGATTCGTCGCCCTGGATATTGTACATTCAACGATTTATGATTCAGGAGAATATACTGTTAGGGCTACCAATCATCTTGGTACTGCACATACTTCTGCTTGTGTCAGAGTCATCGGTAGATCCGATGTTGTAACAGAAACGCAAAACGAACAGTCACTTGAGCAAATTCAAATGCTGGAGGATTCTTCAAAGTTAGTAAAACTGTGATCAAGCGTATAATGATTAAATCAAACAAGTAAGATAACGATTAAATCTGTTTCTTTCTTTTTTTTTTTTGTTTGTTAGATATCGTAAGACTCAGCAAGAAGAAGTTACAGTAATGCAAGCACCTCAATTTACTCGAGCACTTCATAACATCGAAACTGTAGAATTAACGAATGTCCATCTCGAGTGTCGCCTTCAACCGGTCGGTGATGCAACCATGAGAGTAGAATGGTTTGTTAATGGAAGACCAGTCAAAACTGGACACCGATTTAGACCATCTTATGAATTCGATTATGTGGCTTTGGATATACTTGGTGTTTATCCCGAAGACTCTGGTGTTTATACTTGCCAAGCAACTAATCAATTAGGCGAAGCTGTCACTTCGTGTTCGGTACGAGTACATGCGAAGAAGGATCTCTTATTAGAGTCTCAACATCCAGAAGGTTTAGAAAGAATACAGTACTTGGAAGATGCTTCAAGATACAAAAGACACGAGTTGGTTGACGAAGTTGTAACCGTGAAGCCCAAATTCATTACTAGTCCAAAGAATCAAGAAAATCTTAGGGAAGGACAACACGCTCATTTCGAATGTAAGCTTGAACCTGTAACGGACTCTAACTTGAAAGTTGAATGGTATAAGAACGGTCGTCCAGTTACAATAGGTAAAATATCACTATTCTTTTTTTTTAATTAAAGGAATACTTTACAATTAGACAATTGATTTATTTTGCATTTTTCTATTTATAGGACACCGATTCCGTCCAATTCACGATTTTGGTTACGTTGCATTGGATGTAATCGATTTAATTGCCGAAGATTCTGGAACGTATACTTGCCGAGCCGTCAATCTTGTTGGTAGCGACGAAGTTTCTTGCACATTATCTTGCCGCTCCACGGCACAAATTCTAACAGATACACGAAACGAAAGCGGCCTCGAGCAGATTCATTATCTTGAAGATCGTTCCAAATATCATCGGCAGGAAGTGATCGAGGAAACAACAACGCAGGCACCAATCTTTACCACTTCCTTAAACAATGTGGAAATCAAAGAGGGACAAAGAGCACATTTCGAGTGCAGACTCATTCCTGTGTCGGATACAACGATGAAAGTTGAATGGTTCCACAATAATACGCCTGTCAAGGCTGGTTCAAGATTCGTAGAAACCAACAGTTTTGGTTTCGTTGCACTCGATATCATGTATGCATATCCAGATGATTCTGGTACATACACTTGCCGTGCCAAGAACATCATCGGAGAGGCTATTACTTCAGCAACTGCTGTAGTACATTGTAAGTTTATATCGTTTATTTACAAATAGTTTTTCTATTAAGTATATATACTGAGGATGTATCATTTAAATTATAATATTTGCTAGCGAAAAAATCAATTTACATGGAGTCACATAACGAAGAAGCTTTAGAAAGACTTCGTTACCTCGAAGATACCTCTCGTTATCAACGTAAAACTGTACAAGAAGAAACGGTTACGCAAGCACCAGTTTTCACAATGCCGATCAAAGATTTGCGTGTGGCTGAGAATCAAGCGGCTCATTTTGAAGCACGTGTTATTCCAGTTGGTGATTCCAAGCTCAAAGTAGAATGGCTTCGTAATGGTGTACCTATTGCTGCTTGTAAGTTAAAGATACGCCAGATACAAAAGATCATTACTTCCTTTCATGTTCAATCGTGTATTACATAAAAATTTCATTTTTATAGCAAATCGCGTAACAACAATGCATGATTTTGGATATGTCGCTTTGAACATGAAGTATGTCAATCCTGAAGATTCAGGTACTTACACTTGTCGTGCGACAAACGATCTAGGAGAAGCCGTAACTTCAGCGACACTTTTCGTTCAATGTAAGTAAAAAATTGGGTAAAAACAGAAACTTTAATTGCTTTATTAGTAAAGTAATTATTACAGCTCGATGTTTGCTAAGCTTTTGCTGTTTAAAGAAACGCTTACCTTGCAAAATTTTCTATTTTCAACGTAGTACAAATATTGCTGCTATTTTTTCTTTTTTTTTTTTTTTTTTTGTGAAATCCTCGTAAATATGTGATACCATTCACATATCATTTTTATTTATCACTTCGATCTATCAATACAATACTAGTATAGCAATTTTGAATCGAACACTGACACGCTCGCTCGGAACAATTATATTCATAAAAAAAAATTAACACATGATGAAAATAGCGTTACTTCATACCACTATTACACTGACAAACTCTTCCACGACACAGCAAAAGCAGCCCTGCAATTCGAGTCGCAACACGAAAGTGCCTTATCCAAACTCCAAGCCCTGGAAGATACCAGCAAATATCAACGTCGCGAGGAAGAAGAGATAGTGGTGAAAGAGAAGCCTTCATTTACGGTTCAATTGAATGGGCCTTCGAAGTTAGTCGAAGGACAAAGTGCACATTATGAATGCCGCATAGAACCCTATCCTGATCCGAACATGAAGGTGGAGTGGTTCCACAATGGTAAACCACTATCCACCGGTCACAGGTATAGAACAGCTTGTGACTTTGGCTTCGCATCTTTGGACGTTCTGACAGTTTATGCTGAGGATTCGGGCACATACACCTGTCAGGCCACCAATAAACTGGGAACGGCCAAGAGCTCGATAAATCTTGATGTAAAATGTGAGTAAAATAATCGAAACGAACGATCGAATATCAATCATACACGATAATGCATTTTGCATCGATAGGTACTAGCTTATGCTTCTGTCTCTTTCCGATATGTATTTTGCTTTTCCAACATCGATCTTCGACTCATTGTTACAAATTATAATTGGATATGAGTTATCAATAGATTTGTGCCGATGCAGCGAAGATTTCTTGTTGATACTGTATGCGGGGACAGTAGGTGGATTTCTCTTGTATAGATTCCCTTTTTTTTTCGGTTTAGTCATTAAGTGATGATCTTTCCTTGTCTTGTTGTGCATATATGTCTTCTTTTTGTTCATTGCTTGCAAGCATCATTCCACATACGCGAATGACTTTCTACAAATGTATACAGGATATTTTGTTTGTCATATCCTCCAATGTAACACGATGCGCTACTTTTCAGCACGCTCCTCTATAATCCGCGAAACCCAACACGAAAGTGCTCTTAAGAAGATACAATATCTCGAAGATGATTCTCGTTACAAACGTACCGAGGAAGAAGATTTCATAATCGCTGAGAAGCCTAAATTTGGAAGACCATTGAAGAATATTGAACACTTACCCGAAGGGAAGAACGCTCATCTCGAAGCAACATTGACACCAGTTAATGATCCCACGATGATCGTTGAATGGTTCAGAGATGGAAGACCCGTACCTCAAGGACACAAATTTAAGACCACTTACGACTTTGGATACGTCGCTCTGGATATTCTTTACGCTTATCCTGAAGATTCTGGCACGTATATGTGTAAAGCCAGAAATGCTGTTGGTGAAGCTGTCACCACGTGCGTCATCAGCGTAGACTGTAAGTCAAAAGAGAAGAAAATTATTCTATTTTGCATTATTTTATTAATATACATTACATGTCATATAATGCCTAATAGTATGAATGTATTTCAAAACAAACGAAAAACATCGAAACGTCAAAAGAACTGTCAGAGAAATTGACAAGTACATAATCATAGACGTCTACCAAAATTGAAATTAAAATGAAATATCGAAAATATTATTCTTAAAGTTGAAATTTTCTTATTTACAGCTAAGCAAGGTCTCTTCCTGGATACCCTAGATGCTCAACGTTTACAAAAGATACGAGAATTAGAAACCGTTGAAATTAAAGAAGAAGTCGAAAAGGAAGTGGTTCATCAAAAACCCGTATTTTTAACGCCATTGAACAACCTGGATCATTTGAAGGAAGGTGAACACGCTCATTTGGAATGTCGCGTCGAACCGATCAACGATCCGAATTTGAAGATCGAATGGTACTTTTTAAAAATATTTTTTACACTGCGATTTAATATTATAATATAATAATCTAAATAATATTCTATTCTAGGTTTGTAAATGGAGTTGCCGTAAGGACTGGTCATCGCTTCCGTACCACACACGATTTTGGTTATGTCGCTCTCGATATTTTGTATACTTATCCAGAAGATTCAGGAACTTATATGTGCAAAGCAACGAATTTGGCTGGAGAAGCAGTGAATACGTGCACGATTAAAGTTGGCTGTAAGTATTTTATTTCAATCAATGTATTTTTTCGAAGAGCTTAATCTTTTATCTATTTTCATGATCAGCAAAATCAAATAAACATCGTCCTCCTGAATTCCACCTCCAGAAAAAAGCATTCCACTCAACTCACAAAAATGAGTTTCCACGTTTTTCCTCATCTCGATACAAGTTTCATGAAAATTTAAAAAAATCCATTGATACTAATCAAAATACACGAAAGGATTGTTACTTAGTACCTTGCAAATTCATCGAACCAAGGGCATATAATTGTAAAAAATCATTTGGTACGAAAATATGTTCTCCTCAAACTAGAATGACATTGCATGATTCTAACAAACATTCTCATATGCGGCATACTAGATTTCGACGATAACAAGAACAAAATTTCTTCATGTTAGTAGCCTTTCGTAAGAAATCAAGAATTAAACAAATTTTTAACATTTTAATTGCTATTAAAACGAAACATTTAATAACTTGATAAATTATCTTGTATTTTTGTATTCTTTTAGCTCGTCGCAGTATACTTTTGGACACACAACATCCGGACGGTCTCGAAAAGATTCGTGAACTTGAAGCTCAAGGTCATCCTGCTCGATTAGAAGTAGAGGAACCTCCATTAACACCACCGAGATTTGTTTCTGAGCTCAGGGTACGAATTATTACAAAGAATTACGACAATAACAAAAAAAAAAGAAAAAAAAAAAAAAAACAATAGCACAAATCGTCTAAATGCAAATGGATGATTATTTTTTTTTAGGGCACTACTGAAGTTTACGAAGGTCAGACAGCTCACTTTGAATGCCAAGTGGAACCACTTCACGATGCCAATCTTCGAATCGAATTCTTCCACAATGGCAAGCCATTACCATCGGCATCTCGTTTCCACATGACCTTTGATTTTGGATATGTGGCATTGGACATCAGTCACACAGTACCCGAAGATGCAGGACAATATTCTGTGAAAGCTATAAATGCCCTTGGACAATGCGTATCTTCCATCGAACTTAAAGTGATACCGCGTGACAATATCATTTTGGATTCTCAACGACCAGAAGGAATGGACAAGATTCGCGAACTCGAAGCTCAACAGCCATGGAAAAGGCCAGACATACCAGAACCACAAACGAGACAACGACCCGTTTTCACGCAGCCCTTGCAAAATATCGATGCTATACCCGAAGGCCATACAGCTCACTTCGAATGTAGACTCATACCTGTTGGCGATCCTACTCTAAAAGTGGAATGGTTCAGAAATGAAGTACCTTTGGAAACAAGTACGAGAGAAATTTTCTTAATCTTCGGACTATTACTTTAATCCTTGATACTACGAATAATTTTTCGATCTATTACAGGTTCCCGTATAACGAAGGTTCACGATTTTGGATACGTGGCATTGGATATTACGCATGTTCGCGATGAAGACGAAGGCGTCTACATGTGCCGTGCTTCCAATCCGCTTGGAGAAGCAGTTACTACAGCATCGATGAAAATTAAGAGTTAGTTCTTTTTCCAAATTTTATTCTATCTTACGAGTTTAAATCAGAGATTTAATTATTTATATGTAATTTATATTATAGCTAAAGCCAGTATTCAATTGGATACCCAACATCCTGAAGCACAGCGTAGAATTGCTCAATTAGAAGCTGATAAAGGACCTAGCCGAGCGGAGGAACCAGATAAGGTTTTCGACAAACCTATCTTTACACAGTTATTAACTGGACCTACAGAACTCTGGGAGGGTCAGCTTGCCAGATACGAATGTAGAGTCGTTCCCGTGGGTGATGCTAGTTTGAGATTTGAGTGGTATATGAACGGGATCGAGTTGAAAATGGGTAGGTTTTAAATCCTCAATCATTAGATTATTCCCGTGGTTGAGTTTCGATTAATAGATACTAATGTCTGTTATAAATTACAGGATCTCGCTTCCATGTCAATCATGATTTTGGTTATGTAACATTGGACATATTGAAAGTCATACCAGAAGATTCTGGGGTGTATACTTGTAAAGCTATTAATAAAAGCGGAGAAGCCGTATCATCGATTTCTCTCAAAGTTAAAGCACGGTCTGCGATCGATGCTCAAAGTATACAACCGGATGCATGGCAAAAGATTCAACTCAAGGAAGCGGAGATGAATAAAGTGCCAGAGATGTTCGTTGATACAACACCTCAACAAGCACCGGTATTCACGAAACATCTGGAAAGTTATGATAAATTGGTCGAAGGACAACATGTTTATCTTGAAGCTCAAGTAGAGCCAAGAGCTGATCCTAATTTGCGAGTAGAATGGTTCAAAAATGGTATATCCCTACAAACTGGTACAAGATTACGTAGTACCTTTGATTTTGGCTTAGTCACACTGTCCATCAACGGTCTAAGACCAGACGATTCAGCCATTTACACCTGCAAAGCTACAAATCTACTTGGAGAGGCAGTGTCTACGTGTAGTTTGAAAATTGTGGATCGCCACTGGCTTCTTGGAGATACTCTTCATCCAGACGCATTACCCAAAATTGATGCTCTTGAACAACCACAAATCGGTACTACCGAGCAACCAGAACCCGTGTACGAAGAACCAGTTTTCATAACGCACTTGAACAATGTAGAATGTGTTGAAGGTGATAACGTTCATTTCGAGTGTAACGTAGAACCATCAAAAGATCCAACTATGAAAATTGAATGGTTCATGAATGGAAAGCCACTACCAACTGGTGCACGATTTAAGTCGACTTACGATTTTGGATATGTTGCACTCGACATTACACATAGCTACGAAGAGGATTCAGGCATCGTGACGGTTAAGGCAACGAATTCCAAGGGAACGGCACAGACATCGGGTACCCTGAAATGCATCAGCAAACAAAGTATTTACTTGCAGACTCAACATCCGCAAGGTGAAGCTGGATTGGAGAAAGTTAAAGAAGCCGAAGACGCTTATTTATCGAAATATAGAAGACCGGATGATAAACCGGAACATGAATATCCCAAACCAATTTGGACCGTACCTCTTCAACCGGAATTCAAGTTAGGAGAATCTGAACCTCTTCATTTAGAAGGACAGGTCGAACCGAAGGATGATCCTAATTTGAAGATCGAATGGTATTTCAATGGTAAAGCTTTGGAGCATGGAGCTCGTTTTAAAATGACCAGCGACTTTGGATTTGTTACCTTGGATCTTACGGATGTTTACGATAGAGATTCTGGTATTTACACTTGTAAAGCATATAACAAAGCTGGAGAAGCGTTTACGTCTACGACCGTATATTGTTCGACTAAAGAAAGTATTATCGAAAAATCTCAACATCCGAAAGGCAAGGAAGGTCTGGAAGCTATTCAAGACCTCGAGGAATCTCTGAAACGGCAGGATGGTGCTTTGCCCGAAAGCGAAGAGGGACATCCTCCCGTTTTCACCTCACAATTCGAGAACCTGACTAATCTATCGGAAGGTGAGATAGCTCATTTCGAGGCATCGCTTACACCAACGGGCGATCAGACTATGGTGGTTGAATGGTTCTACAATGGAAAATCATTAGAAGCTAGTCATCGTACTAGAACCGTTTACGCCTTTGGTATGGTCGTATTGGAAGTCCTTGGAACTAAAATTGAAGATTCGGGTACCTATTCTTGTAGAGCAACGAACAAATGGGGTAAAGCGGAGATAAGCGTTCAACTCGAATGCGTAGACAAGTCGAAGGGACAAAAACCAAAATTCACCACTCATATACAGTCCTTGGAAGGTCTTAAAGATGGACAATCGGTACATTTCGAATGTACTCTTATCCCTGTGGGCGATCCACATATGAAGGTCGAATGGTTCCACAATGGACAGCCTCTTAGACATTCTTCTCGTTTCAAAATGGTTTCCGATTTTGGATTCGTCGTTATGGATATTGCTGGAGTTATGTCGCATGACACCGGAGAATACGTGTGCAAGGCTAGCAACAAATATGGCGAAGATTATACGAAAGCGACCATTAAATGTTTCGGAAAAAGTGGAGTATACTTAGATTCTCTTCAACCTGATTCTCTCGCTAGAATTCGCGAACTTGAAAGCTACGGCGGTGAACAACCGACTACTCCAACTACTCCTGTTGCCGAACCACCCAAGTTTATCACGCAAATTGCAGACATTACAAAACTCGTGGAAGGACAATCTGCTCATTTCGAAGCCAGACTGACTCCTGTTAATGATCCAGACTTGAAAGTTGAATGGTACTACAATGGTAAAAAGCTACCTCACGGTCATCGTTATAGAACTTTCCATGATTTCGGTATCGTCATTCTCGACATACTTTATTGTTACGAAGAAAATTCCGGTGTATACGAATGCAGAGCCTTCAACAAGTACGGCGAAGATACGACCAAAGCGACATTGAAATGTTTTTCAAAATCCAGCCTTATTTTGGAATCCCAATTACCAAAAGGAATGGAAGGTGGTTTAGAGAAAATCCAAACCCTCGAGGACTCTATGATTCGTACTAGAGACGAGAAAACAGTTGAAGAACGTGGAAAAGCTCCAGTTTTTACTGTACCTTTAAGCAACATCGATGGTCTTCGGGAAGGAGAAAGTGCTCACTTTGAAGCCAGACTTACGCCTACGGATGATCCAAGATTAAAGGTAAAATATATTTTCAAATATAAGATATAAATATACTTTTTATTATCTAACTTTTTATAACTTTTAATAACTTTTTATAACTTTTTATAACTTTTAACTTTAAATAAAAACTGTGTTTATAGGTCGAATGGTTCTGGAACGGTAAACCGCTTCGAACAGGTTCACGCTTTCGAACATTCTGTGATTTCGGTTTCGTTATTTTGGAGATCTCACCAATTTACCCTGAAGATTCCGGAGAATATAGTTGTCGAGCAATTAACGATTACGGTGAAGCAGTAACTACTTGTACTATGAAGTGTACAGGAAAACGCAGTATAATTCTTGAATCACAATTGCCAAAAGGCATGGAGAGTACAATAGATAAAATAGCTGAACTCGAAGGTCTTGGAAACGAACCTGGGCAACCAAGTCCCGATGATGATACAGGAAAACCACCAGAATTCATTACTACTCCATCGGATTTAACGCTTGCAGAGAATTCCTTAGCCCATTTCGAATGCAGGCTCGTACCAATCAACGATTCTAGCATGAGAGTTGAATGGTTCCATAATGGAAAGCCTCTTCTAGCTGGTACCAGAGTAAAAACCATTCATGATTTTGGTTTTGTCATTTTGGAAGTGGCCAATTGCTATCAACGAGATTCTGGCCTTTACACGTGTAAGGCAACCAATCGTCACGGAGAAGCTACGGTGTCCTGTAAGTTGCAAGTTCGTGGTCGTCAAGGTATTATTTTAGAACCACAATTGCCTAGTAATTTCAAGACCGGTACCGAAAGTATTCAAAAACTAGAAGAATCCCTTTATAAGAAAGATGAAATCCTTGCGGAAGAGGAAACTCCTAATCCACCGAGATTCATAGTTGAATTAAAAGATATCGAGGTCGAGGAATCTGGCCCAAGTCACTTCGATTGTAGAGTCGAACCGGTCGGTGATCCGACGATGCGCGTTGAATGGTATCACAATGGTCGACCTTTCGCAACTGGTTCTCGCGTACATCAAATTAATGACTTTGGATTTATTTCACTGGATATGTCTTATACGTACGCGAGAGACAGCGGTGAATACGTGTGCAGAGCTACGAATAAATGGGGTACTGCGACTACCAAAGCAACCATCACTTGTAAATGTACGTAAAAAATGCATATTTTTGTATTTAAAAGACACAAGATGTCGATAAGATTTAAACTTCATACTGTCTATTTTCTATTTATAGCTAAAAAGACAATAGATTTCGATTCACAACTACCATCGGGTATGAGTGGTGAAAAATTAAAGGAATTAGAACGTGGACCTATCAGCGAACCACCTGTCGAAGAAGCACCACGGGAACCTCCACGTTTTATTACTCAAATTCAGTCGGCTACAGTCGACGAATCAGAACCAGTTAGGTTCGAATGCCGAGTGGAACCAAAAGATGATCCTAATTTACGCATCGAATGGTATAGAAATGGAAAAATTATTCCTGCAGGGCATAGATATAGAACTGTATATGATATGGGCTTCGTATCTATGGACATTTTATATGTATATCCTGAGGATTCTGGTGAATACGTATGTAAGGCCATCAATGATCTTGGAGAAGATACCACTAAGGCATCTGTATCTTGCAAAAGTATGAAATCCTTTTCTTTTCAGTTCATATTTGTTTAATCCTCAAAATATAAAAAAAAATCTGTATATGTATAAAATCTTTCTTCAGAACTTCCAAGTATCATCCTCCAGAACCAAGTACCAAAAGGCATGAAGAAATCGGAAGCTTTGATGCAAATGGAAGCGACTATTAAAAAATATACATCCGAAGTTCACTTGACCGAAGATGATCTCTATGATGCCGATAAGAAACAACCACCGCGTTTCGTTACACAAATTCAGGATCAAACGGAACTTGTCGAAATGAACAGCACTAAATTCGAATGTCAATTGGCACCAGTAGGTGATCCAAATATGAAAGTTGAATGGTTCTTCAATGGCAAACCACTTCCACAAAAGAACAGATTTACACCGATATACGACTTCGGTTACGTTGCCATGAACTTTGGTTGGGTGTATCCGGAAGATAGCGGAGAGTATCTCTGCAGAGCGACTAACTTGTATGGAATGGATGAAACTAGAGCGATAATTCGAACCGCAGGAAAACCTGGTATCATTTACGAGTCTCAATTACCAAAGGGCATGAAGAGTATTGAAAAAATACGAGAAATGGAAGCCGCATGGCAGATGTAAATTCTCATGAGAATAGATATACTGTTTACTTCAATAATATTCGATTGTATCAAAATATCGATTGATTTCTTTTCATAGTGTTCCTGAGGAGGAGGGCGAAGAAGAAAAAGTACGTGCACCACCAGTGTTTGTGAGCAAACCAGAACCAGTTACCGTTGAAGAAGGCGACTGGTCCAGATTTTGTTGTCGCGTTACAGGCCACCCAAGACCACGAGTTATGTGGATACTCAATGGACACACCGTCGTTAATGTATGCGTTTTTTTTTTCTTTTTTTTTTTTTATTATTTTTGTCAATTGGTTAGATTGCGATATTATGATATTCTAGTTATACGGGGTGTTAATATCGTGTTGCAGGGATCGCGTTACAAATTAACCTACGACGGCATGTATCATCTTGATATACCAAAGACTAGACAGTACGATCATGGAAAGGTCGAAGTAATCGCAAGAAGTTCCGTTGGGGAATCACGTACAGAAACTTTCTTAACGGTTAAGCAGCGAAGCGACGACTATCGTGGGGTATTGAAGAATTCACCTAGACGTAAGTTGTCACACTCTTACAGTGGAAACACTCTTACAAATATGCAAAATTGCATTCTTTGTCTTATCAATATTTTTTATATGAAAACTCTATTTTGTTCTTCTCTACGATTATTATTCGTTATTATATCGTTTGCCCGAGGAAGCTTTCGACAAAGAATGCATGTAGCAAACTGAACAATACTTAGCATATCGAACAATAATACAACACGCAAATGCAATAGATGCAAACCTTGCACGCGATCAATAAAAAATGATCGTAACAGAAAGGTACAATGCGTACAATCGCAACACAGTACATAAATATATCGATACGACACATACATTTTTCTCTCAATCGAGCACAAAAGACACTTGAGACAATTGGAACACAGTCAAGCCTAGCTCTCTCCTATTCCCATTCCGATTCATCATATTTCCTAATCTGTATGACAAACCTCGCCACCTTCACGCTACCAGCTTCTTCTATTTCTTTGGGCTTTGGAAATCGGACGAGAATTTCGAGCAATGACACCTTCGAATTACGCATAGCGCGAAGGATAAACGCAATTCAGGTATGATAAGTCATGGATAGAGCATTCGTATTATTTATTTATTATCACTACACACAGATTATGTTTCACGAATGTGCGTGATGTAAACAGAAGATATAACACGGAGAAAAGTATTAGGTGTATTTTTCTCCGCGTTTACCACCAATCTATCTACGTTACACTGGAGAAGACGGTTATTTTTTAGCTCTAATTTAATCGTCCTTTTTTTAGTAAATTACGTAAATTTATTTACGTTTTATTTATACATTCGCGTATTTTGGCAAAATATTTTTTTCTAATCATGTTCAAGCAGAGCTCCGTATTCCTCAGTGTGTCCAATTATCGTGTTCTCTCTAATTTCATTTTTATTATTTTAGATTTAGTTCTATGCTCACATGTGTTTATTTTTACTTTGCTAAAATTGATTCCTCGTTGGTCCATCTCCTAAAAAACTATCTAACAACGTTAAATTCAAATCCATCTTTCTTTCTCTACATGTTCTTATTACGTGTCTCAATAATGTGTTCAATGAATGGTGGTACGAATTACATATATATATATATATATATATACTTAATTAACGAAAATTGCACTTTCACTTTCCATGATACGCCTTTGGGAAATCGAGGTCACGAAACCTTCACTCAAGACGAAGGATACAGAATGATCGATTTAAGTGTACGATGTTATTGACGTTATTAAAAATGCAAAAAAGAAAGAAAAGAAAAAAAGAAAGAAAAGAAAAAAAAAGAAAGAAAGATTTTGCTCAAATTGTGTTAACCATGTATTCTAACTTGAATGAACTTTTGAATGTCCACCTATGTCTCCGATTATTTCGAATTTGAAATATTTGTTTCCTACTACATTGGAAACATAGAAATGTGTTGCATCGCCAATGAAGTACTGTGTCGTATTTATTCTGATTTTCTCGATAAACCCGATGAATCACTCGTAGAGATACAACGTTATTTGATGAAAAAAAGGCGTTAATTATGTTTATAAATCTTCAACGGAATAAACTAAATACATCATCGCTATACGAATTTAAAGCAAAGAATGCGTTGTATCTACGAGGGTTATCGTTACCTCAACGAGACGAAGCTACTATTATTTAATCGGCATACGTTGTCGTTTTTGCGACAACGTAAGAACGAAGGTCTAACCTATTTCTTCCCTAGCTTGGTACGATTATGGGCTAACCCAATACCAGTCGGAGAGACAGAACACAGAACTCGAGCGTGTGTTCGAGGAACGTCACCAAACCGTTTCTCAAGGCATTGAGATTGCGACCGAACATCTTGGGCAAAAGGTCTTTAAAGAACCTGAAGCCGAATGGCAGAAATCGGTAAAGAACAAAAAGAACGAGGACTATTATCAAAAGTTGATGAGCTTGGAAGAGGAGCAAGTGTTGAAGGAATCTAGATTGAGAGAAACTTCCCATCAGTTCGCCATTCCTGGTGACAAAGTGGTATCTCATTCCATGGCTAAAGGAATGGCTCAGAAATATCAGGAAAGTCTGTAAGTATAATCGAAAGTTTATCGTCAAATTCTCTCTTTTCTGAAAGTTTCTAACAATGAAACAAATTTTTTGATTACTTCAGTGAAACGCAAGACACGAAAATACAAGAAACAACTCAAGTGACATCTCAACCACAACCTAAATTCGCGAAAAAGCCGCATGTAACTGAGGTAGATATCGACACTGAGCGTTTAAAGGGCACAGGAAGACCTCCCCCGGAACCTTCTGAATCTTTGGTCCATGGACGGGAGGTTCACGTGGCAAAACAAAAACAGACCCAGAAAGAGGTAAAGGGTGACTTAGAAATAACAAGGAAAATAACAGCTACTGAAACGACGGAAGTCGAGCACAAGGCCAAGACTCAAGAACGCGTGGTCCAAGGACAAATGAAACCGGCGAAACCGCCAGTTTTCACGAAGAAGATCCAACCATGCAGAGCCTTTGAACAAGAACAAGCGAGATTCGAGGTTGAATTCGATGGAGATCCATTACCAACCATAAAATGGTACAGAGAAGACTTCCCGATCCAGAACTCACCGGATCTTCAAATCTACACGTTCAGCACCAAGTCGGTTTTAATTATTCGTCAGGTCTTTATGGAAGATTCTGCAGTGTTTTCCGTTATCGCTGAAAATCGTGGAGGCAAAGCTAAATGCAGTGCCAATCTCGTTGTCGAGGAACGTAGAAGACAACCTGGAAGAGGTGGAGTCGTACCACCTAGTTTTCTATCTACCATACAAAATACTTCGGTAACAACTGGACAATTGGCCCGTTTTGATGCCAAAGTCACTGGTACCAAACCTTTAGACGTTTACTGGTTGAAGGTTATTATCGGCAACTTATTTTTAATTGTTTTTTTATATGAAGGAAAAAACTATTATTTGATAATTTTGTTTTTCTTTTTTTTTTTCCTTTTCCTTAGAACGGCAAAAAGGTGACGGCTGATATCCGTTACAAAACTTTGGAAGAGGATAACATTTACACTCTTCTTATTTTGGAAACTATACCAGATGATTCAGGTAAATACGAATGCGTTGCTATCAACAGTGCCGGCGAGGCACGTTGCGACGCCGAATGCACGGTTCGTGGACCTCAGTCGCCAACAAAAACCGCAAAACCAACAACGCCTGGTGTAGAGAAGGCACCTTCGGTTCTGGAACCTCTTAAAGATCAAACGATTAAAGAAGGAACGTCCGTGGCGTTCGCTTGCAAAATAACAGGAAAGCCTGTACCTACTGTTCAGTGGAAGAAAGGCGATAAGGTAAATTCAAGTAAAGTATATGTAATTTTTTGAGAATTTTTAAAGGACATTCGTATGTATATTTGGACATTTATAGGTTATCAAGCCATCAAAGTATTTCCAAATGCAAAAAGATGGTGATCTTTGTACTTTGAAAATCACAGAGGCCTTTCCCGAGGACGAAGGTGTTTATAAATGTATTGCCAAAAATCCTGCCGGCGATGTTACTACTTCAGCAAATTTGAGAGTTCTTGGTAAGATCAATGATGAAGAAATGAATTAAATTTAAATCAATATAGAAAATATGGAAGATATAGAAAGAATTTTAAATATATATATTATCTTTCATTTAGCCCCAGATGCGGCTGATGTTTTGCCAAAATTATCGCCGCTGAAAGATCAAATAGTTTCGGAGGGACAACCAGCACAATTTAAAACTCAGGTTACTCCAGCGAAACCAAAGCCAACGATTCAATGGTACAGGGAAGGTGCCCTTATACCTCAGTCGCCCGATTTTCAGGTAAGATCTATTGAGACCTCTATTTAGCTTCTACTTGTCGATTTTTTATTTACGAGATTATCAACGATATCGAATCAGTAGGCTGACGAAAAAATGTTGTTACCTTTCCAGATGATTCACGAGGGCAACAATGCTGTACTGTTAATTGCAACAACTTACGAAGAGGACACTGGCACTTTCAGCTGCAGAGCTACGACCTCAGCCGGTACCGTAGAAACCTCTGCGAAACTCATCGTCAAAAGTAAGAACTGAAAAAAAGTACAAATTCAATTGCTAACACGAAACGCGATTGGATTGACGAAAACGTACCTCTAGAGAACTGCCAAAGAAATCCATATGACAAGTGAGATGATAGAATCGTAGTCTTGCGTGATTAATCTTTGATAAAATATATTCATATAGGATCTCCTTATTCTCTCGGTTGATCGTGCTATTGTCTTAAATGCAATATGGATTTCTATGTGCGTCACGATCCATGAAATGGTATCGTGCGTATATTTATTTTTTCGCTTTTTACTGCGTTATTCTAAAACCATATAACCCATTCTCCTTTTGAACCCTCCACACGAGTCCGTAAATACTCTTCTCATCCCTTATCCACTTAATTAAAATTCTCGCACAATCCGGGGAGTTCATACTAACTCGTCGTGTTTGAAAGTAGACGAGCGAGTGAAACGAGCTAAGTGGCAAATGATTAAAATGGAGGTTACGATGAATTGTTTATCTTTTTTTTTATTTTTTTTTTTTCTATTTTCTTTATCTCTCTTTGCTGACCAATTAGAAACAAAAGAAAGAAATGTTTTCAAACGGAGAAGATATCGCGAAGATGGTGCTTAGAAAAAGGATGAGACGAAACGTGCAAAGGATTGTAGCAAAGAATTCCAAATATTTGGATTTTTTTCTTTGACAGGACGAACGTAGGGTGAAAAAAGGTGTTAATTAACGAGCGAGACTCACCCTACGTACGTCTTCATGTCCTATGTTAAAAAAATAAAAAGGAAAGTAAACGAAACAAAAAAATGAAAAGAAAGATGACTTGTATAGGTGGTGCTTCGAACTGTCGATAGATCGATAGAATCTAAATACTATACTTTGTAAATATAAAAAATGATAAATATACAGAGAAAGATGAAAGGAATTGGAAAGATCAGAAGAATGGGAAGGAAAATATATGTTAAGTAACGTCGAAAATACGTCGATGAAAACAACGATGAATTATAATAAACTCGTTTACTCGTTCGATGTAGCATCTTGTCAATGTTTCTCATCTTAGATACATATAATGTTAGAAGATAATTATACGTATATAGACATAGAAATGTGTAAATCGTTTTTTCGTTCGTGCGATAAACATCACTAAGCAAGAATAACTACAATCGCGCTAATGATAAAAACCCCGCCCTCCCTCAAAAAAGAACAAAAAAAAAAAAAAAAAAAAAAGAAAAAAGAAAAAAAGAATTAAAAGCGTTTCTCTATGCACTCCGTTGTCAAGTTATTAGCTAACATTTTACTAATCGATTATTTATTATTGTACAATGGAAAAGTCTAATAAAAACGAATTGAAAATACGTCCACGTCTGGTTTGTTATCGATTCGGCGGACGTTGCCGCTAGACCAATGTATAAATTAATTAAGAGAATTAACGCGATTAAGAGAGCGATAAAGCGCATTTTAATCAGAGAAAGGAAAAAAAGATAAAGTTATACAGCGCGTTTTTTTCGTTGTGTATATACACGAAATATAACGTAAGCGGGTGGGAAGGGGAGAAAAAAGCAGGCGTGGTACGCGGACCGTAAGAAAAATGAAATGGGGAGAAAATAGAATAGAAATAACATAATTTAGTTCCAATAGGTAATTCCAGTTTATCATAGCTTATGACAGAGAAAGAGTGATTAGTTTATTTCAGAGAACAGCTTGTAAAATTGTTCTTAAGATTTTCAGGATTATTCGAAACGTGAAAATGTATGGCCATATTGGAACATTCGTTAGATGAGACTTTTAACATTCTAAGTATCGGCTTTCCCTCGGTAGCTAGTTTAACGAGCGTGAAGAGAGCTCGCCTTAAGATAAAACGTATTTTCCTCGGTAGTTTCTACTCTTTCGGTCGTTTCAAAAGGAGAGGCAAGCGGACACGTCAGTGCCGTGTGCACACCCTCCTAGGCCCTCTTCTTCGGCTATTTCTGACCACGTGACGTGTATTACATTACCTAACTATATTTGGCCTGCGATACGAAACTCTACGAAGACTCTGTAAATTCATGAGAGCTCTCCTGCTCTAGCACTCGCCTGCTTTTTCTCTTTAACATATCTATAACGGATTATATATCTGACTTTGGCTACGTCTAGCCAAATCATATTTCTATCTTCTATTAGATACGATTCGCCGATCTTTACAAAAAGATATCTTCTAGCGAAGGCAATGTTACGGATCTAATGGTATGCAAGTATTTCAGTTGGATATGTAATCCGTTCGTCTTGCGTTTCAATGCTTGGAATATTAGCCGGATATAACGCATTGCCATGTACCGTGAATGGAACGACATCGTTCTCTTTCGCATTCCTTCATGCAACGTTCTATTTCTTATTCTAAATCAAAAAAAAAAAAAAAAAAAAAAAAAAAAAAAAAAAAAAAAAAGATAAGGAAAGAAACATCCAAAGAGAATATTCTCAAAAGGAACGATCAATTTCATCGACAAATTTCTAATATATCGCAAGAGAAAGGTGCGAAGGTCTAAATATTTTCAAACTAATGCGGGCCAGAATTCGAAAGAAGAAAGTCGAAATTTTTCTATCGACGACCTTGAAACGGCAACCACCTGAAAAACAAAATATGTGCCAAGATTCTGTATTCGCCAACGTAAAGAAAAGTAATAACAACTCGATGATGAATCATCTCATCGAGGGCTTTATTTTCTTCATCTTTGTGTCTTCGTGTCTTCGATCTCCAAGCACCATCGGCTACGGACGCGCTATGGGAGGGAGCAGGCCGACGAAGCAGACTATTTCGGCTCTACCAGCTGTCAGTGATTCAACGTAGCCAGAAATAATACGGGAGAGCGCGTGTCAGCGTACTCTGCGGGAGCAAATTATTTCTGGTTAGACATTAGTACGCATTCGAGGAATCTCTCTTTGCCTATCTCGAGGAGGTCCTTAGATGACGATATTATGATTCGTATTTTCGAGAACCTCTTAACGAGCAAATAAGAGAAATCAATTCAATCTAAAGCGTATATTACTTCTTTAATATTATAAATCGACAAATTCGTTATAAACATAATTCGATAATTCGAATAAAAGATGATTATTAAAACGAATTAATAAAATAAAATAGAAAAATACGATGATATTATAAAACAGAAAGTTTTAAGTGGGTGTTGAGACAAGGATAACAGGGTCAGGGGCAACGACGCACTGCTAGACGTTGACTGCTGACTTTATTTTTATTTTTATACATGACCACTCCAATCGTAAATGATTCATCCAATAAATATCATGTGTCACACGGTAGAATATAGTAGATCACTGCCCCCGTTCACGCAATTCGCGAAACAAGACGCGTTAGAGGCGCTTCATCGTTTAATCGCTTTAACGACAATATATCAAACGATGTTTTTTGAAAGAAAAATAAAAGAAGTATGAAATGATCAGCACTGACCACGTATATTATAATTTTTTGAATAACCAAACGATTCGTCAACTTTCTGTTAACAAACAAAACAATCAGAGAAATTGCGATCACTTTTATATATTATTCCGTAGCACCACGTTGTATAAGAGCACAAAATTCGTCTCAAAATCGATGCACTATCTTCGCAACGGTTTCTCACAAAACAAGAACAGACGTGTCCAGTTCAATTAAGGCCGTACTTCGATCAAACCGAGTACGAAAAAAAAAAAAAGAAAAAAAAGAAATAAATGACGTGCGGTTTGATCGAAGACGGCCGAAGCTGTCAAAACTGTCACAATTGTTTTTCATTCACACTTAAACACAATGCACTCGTTGATATTATTAACGAAGCACAATTTTAAATATACACACACAGAGAACACCTTAAAAAAAGATCAAAAAGAAATTTAAAAGAGTGTATAAAGCGAGCGTAAAAAGAATAAGCATTAAAAATCGTTATTCTTTTTCTTCTTATCCTTGCGAGTGTTCTTACGCTTCTTCATCTTCGCCTTCCAGTAGATGACTATTAAGGGTAGCCTAATGTTGGAGGCAGAGGTGTGCGTAAGACGTCATCGTACGTCGGATCTCCCCACTACTATTTCTCAGATTTGTCCAACCTTCGGATCTTGCAAACATCGCTTATGCATCATGACTACCTCCCACCACTTTCACTTCTGTCACTTTTATTTCTTTGTTGTAGCCGAAGAAACATAATCTATTCGTTCCTTATTTTCCCTACTCCTATTCGTTCTTACCTTCGCTTTAAAACGCTGCATCATCTTACTTTATCGTTTTCACCTTTGTGAATCAATGGTGTGCGATACTTGTTTGAAGTATTTTAATTAAAATCTGGTGGTCGAAGGTCGACATTTTGGCGATTTGCCTTGATCTCTCTTTCTTTCTTTCTCTCTCTCTCTCTCTCTCTCTCTCTCTCTCTCTCTCTTTCTCTCTCTCTTTCTTGCGTACTTAATTTGGCTCAATACCTTGCTCCTGGTGTCCAAAATTACAATGCATGACTTTTCGAACGTATTCGTTCTTTTATCTGCGTGTTAATTTGAGAACACATAAAGTTACAAAATATTATACTGCACAGGAATGATTTCATCGTTAGCCAAAATTTTTCATTTATATTCCGTTTTTATATGCTTTGTGTTGTTAAATAAAACTTCGACGCATAATATAAAAAATATTATTATTTAAAGCTATGATTAGCATTGCAAATTTTTTGTTGAAAATGCATCAGTGTGCTAAGAGTGTTGAATCTTCAATCGTTTACTCGAAATACAATCATGAATTGACTCTGACCTTTCAGAACGGAAAGGGACTTATTACGAGGTCCCTGCCGAATCGGGCCCAGGTTTAAAAGCTGGGGAGAAAATTTTTGATGGTCTAGAAAAAGGGAAGGATGTAATATTGAAACCATTGCTTCTGGATGAAGAGGGTTTACCTCTTCAACCCGGAGATGAATCATTACCTTGGCGAAGAGGTCGAGTAAGTCACCGACCTCGACCTACGAATGTTACTCCCTGGAGGAGGGAAAAACCAAAATCGAGGGATGTATCATTGGACAAATTGGAATCGGTTGAGAGTAAAAAGAAACCTTGGACGGAAGAACAAATCGTCTTGAAAAAGACCCCTCAAACAACGCGTGACATTCCGAAAGAAAAATTGGAACAAGTTGAACTCAAGCCTACGAAGATTGATAAAATAGAGATAAGACGACCTAGTCAGGAAACGATAACATTGAAACCAGTAACCAAAGATGTAACGTTAATTAGGAAAGAGATCTCTGAGACTTCATATGTCGATGAAGTTTCAAAAGATGTGTACGTTGAGGAAGAAGATGCTAAACGTTTAAAACTATCACGCAGGGTGGATGAATCGATTCTCAGGAAAGATGAAGAAAAACCTAAGCCATGGACCGAAGAAAAAATTACTCTTAAGAAAAGCGAACCTGTTAAAAAGCCAGTTTCGAAGGAAACGATTGAAATCGAATTAAAGCCAGCTAAAACGGAAAAGACAGTTATGAAGAAAGATGATAAAGTCGAATACGTAGAACAAGAAGACACCACACTTTTAGATGTATCTAAGTTATCCGAAGAGAAGAGAATTACAAAAGAAAAAATTGTTGCTGAAAAAGTAGAACAACCTAAACCTTGGACGGAAGAAAAAGTCACTTTAAAGAAAGCTAAGGTCGAAAGAAAAGCATTAATCAAAGAAACACCAGAAACTGTTGAACTTAAACCGACTAAACCTGTTAAAACGGAAGTGCAGAAATCAATTCTCGAAGAAGTTGATCTCAAGGCAGTCACTAAAACGACTACGGAAATAACTAAGGAAGACATTCGAAAGGATGAATATCGCGATGAAGAGAGTATCAAATTACTTCGCCTATCTACTGACGTAAAAGAAACAAAAAAAATAGATAAGGAAGAAGTTGAAGCTAAACCTTGGACCGAAGAAAAAATCACGTTGAAGAAAGCAAGACCAGATAAAAAAGACATTCCTAAAGAGGAAGTCGAAAAGGTCGATTTGAAGTCTCCGAAAAAGGAAACGATTGATATCAAGAAACCAAGCATAAAAGATAAAACAATCGAAAAGAAATTAATACCAAAAGAAACTGGTCCATATACCGAGGAAGAGGATACAACAAGATTGACTGTCACTTCTGATACGAAAACAAGTGTCCAAACTGAATCTAAAATTAAAAAGACAGATAAAATACCTCAGGTAGCCGAAACGAAGCCTTGGACGGAAGAAAGGGTAACATTAAAGAAGACAAAGGTAGACAAAAAGGAAGTAATAAAAGAAACCCTCGAAGAAGTTCCATTAAAATCAATAAAGCCAGAAAAGAAGGAAACGACAAAGAAAATCACGAAAACGATAGAGGACAAAACTACAGAATATGTCGAAGAGCAGGAAGACAGCAAATTTTTAAATATTCAAAAAGATATTACGGTAGAACAACAAAAAACTGAAAAAGCTGTACCGTGGTCAAGGGGTATTAAAAAATCAAAAGAAAAGATGCCATTCGAGGAAAAAGAAGATATAACTACTCTTCAAATTGACAGAGACATAGAAAGTATAAAGAAGGAAGTTAAGGAAGAAACACCAGTACCATGGATAAGAGGAAAGAAACCATTAGACAAAGCACCTTACGTTGAAGAAGAAGATCATACTAAAATAACAACTGATAAGATAGAAGAGACTGAACAAGTCACTCAAAAAGAGACAGCTGTTCCATGGATTCGAGGTAAAAAGCCAAAGAAGGAAGATGTACCTAAAGAGCAGGAAAGTCCTAGCGAGGAAATATCTCAAGTTCCTTGGCTCCGTGATAAAAAATTGAGTCGTACAATTACAAAGAAAAAAGAAGGAGAGGAAGAAAAAGTACAGGAGGAAGTAATATTGAAACCTGTTATACGACAAAAGCCAGAAGAAAAAGAAGAAGAAAAGAAACAGCCACAAAAGAAAACAGAAATTACCATGCCAATTAGACCACAGGAAACTCTCGAGGAAGCACCTCTGGAATCTTCTAGTGCGCCTTGGCGTCGTACAGTAAAAACAAAACCTTCTGTACCGGAATTACCGGAAATTGAACAGATTCCTTCAAAAGTAGAAGAAACGAAACAAATAATTAGAAAAGACGAACAGGTAATCGAAGACTTTAGAACGTTAAGTTTAAAACCTACTAGACGTAGTAGCCGACCACTTGAACAAGAGGAAATGGAGAAACCAACGCTTAAGCCCGTCGCTCCAATTCCGCAAGAACAATTGAAACCAGAAAGATCGGAACAGCTTGTAAATGGAGAAAAGATCGAAGAAAAGACCGAGCTTCCTTGGAGGCGTGGAAGAAAACTTTCGACAAAACTAATACCAGACAGTAAACCTGAAATTGAAATTCCAGTAGAACACATTCCTAAAGAGCAAGACAAAGAAACATTAAAAACTGAAACGAGGAAGCAAATTGAAGAAATTCCAGATCAGACAAAGATTACGTTGGTCACGAAACGAAAAATTCCAGAAGAGGTGAAACCAGAGGAAGTGACATTGAAACCTGTTAAACGAATTCCCAAAGAAGAAGAAACAAAAGAAGAGATAACTTTAAAACCTATAGACAGGAAAAAACCAGAAGTGGAGGCTCCAGAAGAAGTTAAACTTAAACCTGTGAGAAAAGAAAAGGTCCCAGAAGAGGTGAAACCAGAGGAAGTTAAACTGAAACCGGTCAGAAAAGAAAAGATCCCAGAAGAGGTGAAACCAGAGGAAGTGACATTGAAACCTGTTAAACGAATTCCTAAAGAGGAAGAAACAAAAGAAGAGATAACTTTAAAACCTATAGACAGGAAAAAACCAGAAGTAGAGGCTCCACAAGAAGTTAAACTTAAACCTGTGAGGAAAGAAAAGGTCCCAGAGGAGATTAAACCAGAGGAAGTTAAACTGAAACCGGTCAGAAAAGAAAAGATCCCAGAAGAGGTGAAACCAGAGGAAGTGACATTGAAACCTGTTAAACGAATTCCCAAAGAGGAAGAAACAAAAGAGGAAATAACTTTAAAACCTATAGACAGGAAAAAACCAGAAGTAGAGGCTCCAGAAGAAGTTAAACTTAAACCTGTGAGGAAAGAAAAAGTTCCAGAGGAGATTAAACCAGAGGAAGTTATACTGAAACCGGTCAGAAAAGAAAAGGTCCCAGAAGAGGTGAAACCAGAGGAAGTGACATTGAAACCTGTTAAACGAATTCCCAAAGAGGAAGAAACAAAAGAAGAGATAACCTTAAAACCTATAGACAGGAAAAAACCAGAAGTAGAGGCTCCAGAAGAAGTTAAACTTAAACCTGTGAGGAAAGAAAAGGTTCCAGAGGAGATTAAACCAGAGGAAGTTAAACTGAAACCGGTCAGGAAAGAAAAGATCCCAGAAGAGGTGAAACCAGAGGAAGTGACATTGAAACCTGTTAAACGAATTCCCAAAGAGGAAGAAACAAAAGAAGAGATAACTTTAAAACCTATAGACAGGAAAAAACCAGAAGTAGAGGCTCCACAAGAAGTTAAACTTAAACCTGTGAGGAAAGAAAAGGTCCCAGAGGAGATTAAACCAGAGGAAGTTAAACTGAAACCGGTCAGGAAAGAAAAGATCCCAGAAGAGGTGAAACCAGAGGAAGTGACATTGAAACCTGTTAAACGAATTCCCAAAGAGGAAGAAACAAAAGAGGAAATAACTTTAAAACCTATAGACAGGAAAAAACCAGAAGTAGAGGCTCCAGAAGAAGTTAAACTTAAACCTGTGAGGAAAGAAAAAGTTCCAGAGGAGATTAAACCAGAGGAAGTTAAACTGAAACCGGTCAGGAAAGAAAAGATCCCAGAAGAGGTGAAACCAGAGGAAGTGACATTGAAACCTGTTAAACGAATTCCCAAAGAGGAAGAAACAAAAGAAGAGATAACTTTAAAACCTATAGATAGGAAAAAACCAGAAGTAGAGGCTCCAGAAGAAGTTAAACTTAAACCTGTGAGGAAAGAAAAGGTTCCAGAGGAGATTAAACCAGAGGAAGTTAAACTGAAACCGGTCAGAAAAGAAAAGGTCCCAGAAGAGGTGAAACCAGAGGAAGTGACATTGAAACCTGTTAAACGAATTCCCAAAGAGGAAGAAACAAAAGAGGAAATAATTTTAAAACCTATAGACAGGAAAAAACCAGAAGTAGAGGTTCCAGAAGAAGTTAAACTTAAACCTGTGAGGAAAGAAAAGGTTCCAGAGGAGATTAAACCAGAGGAAGTTATACTGAAACCGGTCAGAAAAGAAAAGGTCCCAGAAGAGGTGAAACCAGAGGAAGTGACATTGAAACCTGTTAAACGAATTCCCAAAGAGGAAGAAACAAAAGAAGAGATAACCTTAAAACCTATAGACAGGAAAAAACCAGAAGTAGAGGCTCCAGAAGAAATTAAACTTAAACCTGTGAGGAAAGAAAAGGTTCCAGAGGAGATTAAACCAGAGGAAGTTAAACTGAAACCGGTCAGAAAAGAAAAGATCCCAGAAGAGGTGAAACCAGAGGAAGTGACATTGAAACCTGTTAAACGAATTCCCAAAGAGGAAGAAACAAAAGAGGAAATAACTCTGAAGCCTATAGACAGGAAAAAACCAGAAGTAGAGGCTCCAGAAGAAGTTAAACTGAAACCGGTCAGAAAAGAAAAGATCCCAGAAGAGGTGAAACCAGAGGAAGTGACATTGAAACCTGTTAAACGAATTCCCAAAGAAGAAGAAACAAAAGAAGAGATAACTTTAAAACCTATAGACAGGAAAAAACCAGAAGTGGAGGCTCCAGAAGAAGTTAAACTTAAACCTGTGAGAAAAGAAAAGGTCCCAGAAGAGGTGAAACCAGAGGAAGTTAAACTGAAACCTGTGAGAAAGGAAAAGATCCCAGAAGAGGTGAAACCAGAGGAAGTGACATTGAAACCTGTTAAACGAATTCCTAAAGAGGAAGAAACAAAAGAGGAAATAACTCTGAAGCCTATAGACAGGAAAAAACCAGAAGAAAAAGCACCAGAGGAAGTTAAACTGAAACCTGTGAGAAAGGAAAAGATCCCAGAAGAGGTGAAACCAGAGGAAGTGACATTGAAACCTGTTAAACGAATTCCCAAAGAGGAAGAAACAAAAGAAGAGATAACTTTAAAACCTATAGACAGGAAAAAACCAGAAGTAGAGGCTCCAGAAGAAGTTAAACTTAAACCTGTGAGGAAAGAAAAGGTTCCAGAGGAGATTAAACCAGAGGAAGTTAAACTGAAACCGGTCAGGAAAGAAAAGATCCCAGAAGAGGTGAAACCAGAGGAAGTGACATTGAAACCTGTTAAACGAATTCCCAAAGAGGAAGAAACAAAAGAAGAGATAACCTTAAAACCTATAGACAGGAAAAAACCAGAAGTAGAGGCTCCAGAAGAAGTTAAACTTAAACCTGTGAGGAAAGAAAAGGTCCCAGAGGAGATTAAACCAGAGGAAGTTAAATTGAAACCGGTCAGAAAAGAAAAAGTTCCAGAGGAGGTTAAACCAGAGGAAGTTAAATTAAAACCTGTTAAAAGAATTCCTAAAGATGAAGAAACGAAAGAAGAGATAACATTGAAGCCTATAGAGAAGAAGGAAGCTAAAGTAGAAGTACCAGAAGAGGTAAAGTTGAAACCTCTCATAAAAGAAAAGAAACCCGAAGAAGCCAAACCTGACGAGATTATTCCTGTCGCTGTTGTTGAAAAACCTGATGAAGAGAAACCAGATGAAATTAGTATTTTACCCTGGCGACGGACTCGTAAAGCGAAGAAAGTGGTTGATTTTAAAGAAGAGGTTACTGTAGTACCAATTGACCAAGAACAGATGATAACAGAAATACACGAAGAAAAAGGAATATCTGAATTGAAAGAAGCAACTGTAATTGAAGAAAGAGAAGTTATAATGCCTAAACCACTTCCTGAAAAGGTTACGGAAGTATCAGAAGAAAAGAAAATAGAAGTTACTGAGAAAAAGGTAATGCCATGGCGAAAAGCTAGGAAACCTGAGAAGAAAACCGAAGAGATTCTACAGGTCGAACAAATACACGAGGAGAAAAAGGAAGATGTAGAGGTTGTTGAAAAGACTGAAATTTCCTGGAGAAAAATAAAACGGAAACCAGAGGAAACAAAAAAAGATGAGAAATCGTTGGATATTATTGAAAAGGTCATCGAAAGTGTAGAAGATGTAACGAAGAAATTGAAACCTGAAGAACAAAAACCAATTATGAAAGCCGTAGAAAGAGAAGATGTGGTAGAGGAAGTAACTGTTGAGACAATAAAGATGAAACCAGAAAAGAAAGAGAAATCTAAAACAGAACCAATAAAATTAGAAATAGCTCCTGAGAAACCCGAAGAAACGGAAGAAATTAGCACCGATTTGGTATTGAAGAAGCCCAAGAAGAAAGATAAACCTAAAGAAGATATTACTCCTGTAATTGTCGAAGAGAAGCAAGTAATTGCAGAAGACATTGTTACTTCTGTTCAAGATTTCCAAATAACTCGTAAAGAAAAGATAATCAAAACCGATAAGAAGCCGGAAGAAATTGTCCAAGATGATTACAAAGTTGAAAAAGTAATTCAGGAACGTGTCACAGAAGAAACTAAGCGAAGACGTAGACAACATACACAAGTCGATATACCGATTATAGATAAAGATAAAACAATTGCGCCAAGGTTCATCCAGAAGCTACAACCAATTATTGCGGAACTTGAACAACCCGCTAAATTTACGTGCACCGTCGTCGGTAATCCAGTTCCCGAAATTTCTTGGTATAGAAATGAGCAAGAACTTCATGCAAGCGAAAAATATATTATGACGATATTTGAAACAACAGCTACTTTGGAAATTACCAAGGTGAAAGAAGAAGATGCAGGAATGTATTCTTGCAGAGCATCGAATCCGGCAGGAGTTGCAACGTCTACAGTGAATCTCGTCATCTTTGGTAGTAATATTATCGAAGATGGTGTGATTTGTGTATTTTTTTGCTCGCTTCAAATACCTGCGTTAATATTTTTTAAAGTTTTTTAATATTAACACTTCCACTCGCTAATATTGGAATAGGTTTACATAATTTTTGTTCTTTTTTTGTTTTTATAAAAATAAACTGTTTTCTCCTTATGTATTTATATTTTTACATATATTTTTAAAACAAAACTTTTATATTTACAAATAATATATTCTCATTTTTCTAATAATCCTGATCTATGAAATTAGATGTAAAAAATATAAAATACCTGCATGTTATAAGTTTTTTATTAAACGAATTTTATCGTGTTTCCTATGCATGCTAATATTATAACACGATTATTAATTTCCTAAAAAATATTTTTAATAGAAAAAGAAGAGGAAGGTGTTGCTCCTCACTTCTCTACTCCAATCAAGCCACTTATGGTCGAAGAACATAAACCAGCAACGCTCGAATGCGTTGTTACTGGTACACCAGTCCCCGAAGTAAAATGGTATAGTGGTGATAAGGAAATTATACCAAAAAAAGGAACGGAAATAACGTTCAATCCGGAAACAGGAGAAGCTAAATTAACTATCCTTGAACCTACGCCACAAGATGAAATAACTTATCGCGTACGTGCCGTAAACAAATTCGGTCGGGCAGAATGCAGAGCCAATTTGGTTATAAGCAATATCGTTAAAATTTCCAAACCAGAGGTAATGCAAGCTCCTACAATAATAAAGCCTTTGCCAGCATTGGTGGCAGAACGGGGTAAACCTCTAAAGTTAACGGCTGACTTCGAAAGCAAGCCGAAACCAGATGTAAAATGGTATCGCAACGGAATCGAAATTACACCTAGCGAAAACCGTGTGATAAAGATTTATGAAAATAGTGCAGAACTGTTGATACCTTCACCCGTTAAAACAGACGGCGGAAAATATGAGATAAGGGTACAAAATCCTGCTGGAGAAGCTCGAAGTTCCGGTTCGGTTACCGTAAAAGAACGCGAAGATAAATTAGACGAGGTGAAAGCTCCACGATTTATTGAACCTATACAACCGCAAATAGTCACAGAAGGGGAAGTTGTAATCATGGAAGCACGAGTAGATTCTTATCCAACAGCCTCCTTTCAGTGGTTCTACGAAAGTCGTCCCCTCGAAGTAATTAAATCAAATTTCTTTTTAAATGACATTAATAAAAATAATAAAACGCTAAATGGTATAATGTTTAATTTGTTTCGTTTAACAGTCTACGGCACAGATGAGAATAGTTACGAAAGAAAATAGATCGGTATTACTGGTGAAAGAGATCAAACCAGAATTCGCAGGTACGTACACCTGTCGTGCTGAGAACGTAGGTGGATCAGTTACTTGTACGGCTACCGTTAATCTTCTCGACACAACGTGGGAGGAAGCTACTGAATTAATATCACCAACATTCGTGAAAAGATTATCACCTGTTAGAGTGATGGATGGTGAGAGCGTAAATCTAACGTGTGTCGTAGAAGGTAAACCAACGCCAAAAGTCGAATGGTATCACGATGACAAACTGATCAAAGAAGGCAAAGAAATAACTATTTTGCAAGACACCGAAGGTGTATGTAGTCTTGCAATTACGGAGGTATTTCCCGAGGATGCAGGTCAATATACGTGTCGTGCTGTAAATCCTATTGGTGAGGCTGTCTGTACATCGTCGCTTGTCGTCGAAGGTTAATTAATTTTTAATTATTTCATCGATCGATCATTAAAAATCAGGTCTCGAAATTAAAATTTATTTAATATATCTACAGCATATGAGTACGTACCAGATTCAGAGATTGCATCGTCGATCGTTGCAACGTCTCTTACCACAGGACAAAGTGGTTCGGAAGAAGACCTATTATCGCCAAAGGTAGTAATAATAATGATAATAATGATAATAAAAAAGAAAAAAGAAATATATATATATATATATATATATATATATTAATGTATAAAAATTGTTTTCAGGAGACGCCTCTCTTCGATACTGATACAGAGGAGTCTGCTCCAGAAATAATAAAGAAACTTCCTCAGTTAATTCCTACCAAAGATGGAGAATTAACCAGGTAATGAAGATAAACGAAAAAAGAAAAAATGAAAAAACGATGAAAACAACTCTGATTTGACTCATTCGCTTTTTCGTAGACTGGAAGTAAAGGTCAAAGGGAAGCCGAAGCCAGAAGGAAAGTGGTACAAGCAAGGAGTGGAAATCGTATCGTCTCAAGAATTTCAAATTGAAGATTTTGAAGATGGAACTTCGGTACTAACAATCGCAGAAACTTATCCAGATGACACCGGTGAAATTGTATTTGAAGCGCATAATCCTCTTGGAGTATCTACCACAATGACGTATTTGTCCGTAGAAGGTAATTATTGTAGTCGAATCAAAGAGATCATTAACCTTTTGAAAGATTTTTCAAAATTTGCTAATTTATATCCTAGTTCTTTTCAGCTCTGCGCTTGAGGTGGAATATTTATCGACTTTTAATTATCCTAAAAATCCTATCTGAATCATCACAATAATTCGATCACACTGAACACTATTCACATCCTCTATGCACATTATTTTGATATTTCATTCTTAGATAAATTCATACAAACTATCAAGCCCTTTGAGTCCCAAAAAAGGTTTTTAAGCAAGGGTCGTTAATTATTTATTTATTTATTTATTTATTGTAGAATATTTTGCTCTATAACGAATTAATGCATAGCCATAATGCGTGTGTTCCTGCTTAAAATATTAGATTAAATAATTTTCAATCGGCATTGCTTTAAATATCTGGGACTGAAAGGGACCAATGCGATTACATTTGATATAATTATATATTCATTGTTAGGTATCCTCGGGACAAAAGAATATAGGAAACCAGAATGGGTGACCCAAATGGAGGAGATGCAAGAAGCTCTTAAAGGTAAGAATCGAGAAAAAATGCATCAACTGGACATGTCTAATTGCATGCTGAGTGAAGCCGAGTATAGTTTCTCGATCGATAGCCTGAACGATCATAGTACGAAAAACACAAATCTTGGAGAAAAAGATAACTCAATGAGGATTAATAAAAGTACCGTGATGAAAAGCGTCAATAATCATAAAAACACGATTGAAATTTCGAAGAAATTTTACTTTTCCAACAAATATACGGAATCCATTGAAATTGAAAGCATTGATCTAGATAACACCTATTTGGAAAGTTCTGAATGTTCTATGAATGTAAAAACTGTCCCACGGAATAATAAGGAAGAATGGAAAAGAAAGTTATCAAAAACTGATACAGAAATTTCTGGGTTCAGCGATGAATCCGAAACTCAAGTTAAAAACTTCAAATCTGATACTAAACATGATAGAAAAGAAACGAGTAATGTATCCAAGTCATTTAACGCAACGACAAAAGAAGGAAAGAAAGGAAAATCTAATTCGTTAAAAATTTCGACGAAAGTTGAACACGATAGTTTAGAAAAAATATCAAGTAAAGTTTGTAATCCACAAAGATCTAAAGTTAACGTAACCAAAAGCGATATTCCTGAAAAATTAAAAGATTCACCAGATAGATCCACCACAAAGACTCATGATTTATCCGATATAAACATAAAAACGCGAGTATTATCACCATTGAGAGGCAAACATTCCAGCATTATAGATTCATCGAGTAGGTGCGATAAAGAGGTTAACAAGCAAAGATCGAACAGAGTTACGTCCAAGTCACACTCTTCATCGCCGACTAGATTATCTTTGTCACCTAAACAAATGTATAATGAGAAATCGTTTACCACTATTACACAAGTAATAAAACAACATAGCGATAAAACAAAAAGAAGCGAAATTCACGTCGATGAAATTGTCATGGATAAAAATCTTAACGAAACAAAGGATATGAAAAGAGGTAAACTAAAAATCACATTAGATTTCGATGAATTTCCTCCGACGAAATCAGAAAGAAAAATTCAAGGTCAACTCGGTTTAAACTCCGAGCGTACGTTTTTAAACGTACCAGAAGCAACGTTTTATTTATCGCCCATCGAAGAAAACAGCGAAGCATCGTCGACTAGCGGTCAAAGTAAATCAGATGCTCGATTTTTCAAAACTGGTATACAAGAATCAAGTACGAGGAAGGAAATAACAGACAACGATGTGAAGTACGAACATTCAAGAAAATACCATACTTATCCGAAATCTAGAATACCAGTACCAAGATGGTCCAAAGAACGTCATTTTGGAAATTTGACTATGGATTCAAGAATGTATCCTTTAGAACCCAGAGAAATTGAATTAGAAGCATTTCAGCAATTACATACCGCGGATAGTCAAGAGGAATTACAAGAATTTTTGCTTCTCGAAAGTCAATGCAGTGGAAATCTTGGTTTAGCCAGTAACGTCTCCACATCCGAAGTATCATACGAACATCATAGTGAGGATGAAAGAGGGACAATGTCAGGTATATTCTTCTCATCACTAACACAAAGAAATATTAATTTCTATCTAATTACTTTTTGCACGATTTTTTGTGTGTACGTTTGTGTTTTTCATCTAATCAGATTACTGACATTGGGATCATGCCAATCACGCGATCATCACAATTACAATCAGGTAAAGAATGAACGTTGATTAACATTCGATATGATCTTGGATATTTGCATATAAATTACATACTTTTATTACAGCCACGCAATCCATACCACGATTTATTCAAGAAATAACAGACGCTTATGTAAATGAAGGAGAAAAGGTCGTGTTCGAATGCATATATTCCGGTAATCCTGTTCCAGGTAATAACTTTATAATCAACAAATAATTCTAACGAAATAATTTTAACGAAAAATTCTTATGTTTTTTTTTTTAACAATACGAATTATTTTGATACGCAGACGTTGTTTGGTACAAAAATGATAAATTGATAATGAATACGGATAATATCAAAATCCGTATCCTCGACAATGAGAAGAAAACTTCGCTTAATATTTTGAAAGCTACTCGAGAAGACGAAGCTGTTTATGTTTGTAAAGCTACAAGTGAGATTGGTTTGACGATAACAAAGGCCAAATTACGCGTAACTGGTAAGATTCGTTGATCGATAAAAGTCCAAAAAATCTATAATAAGAATAACCGTGGAAAATTAACAACGAGTTATGTACAGGCACTGAAACCGTCTGGAAGCCGATGTCTGAGGATGAAGCTGAAGAGGTGGTAGAGGTTAAACAGAAGAAAGAAGTACACAAAAAGAAGAAACCGGAATTGAAGAAGGCAAAAGAACTGAAAGAAAAAATCAAGACAGAGCGTGTAAAAGTCGATAAGAAAGAGATCGTTAAAGAGGAGCCGATAAGCAAAGAACAGCCTGAAGATAAGTAAGTATAGTGTTCAAATAAAAAAAAAAAAAAAAAAAAAAAAAAAAAAAAGGAAAAATTGTCTGAAACCATTGAACCCTTGATTTCATTCACTTCTTCGTGTTGTTATTCCTTTAGAAAAATTGCCGATATCGAAGAAACCCAAATACTCGAAAGTGCAACGACCTTTGAAGAGAAGACAAAAGAGGTAAGAAAAATACATCGTTAAAAGAGAACTCGTTAGAGATAAGAGGAATTCATTAAACGTGAAATATTATTTTCGCTCTTGTAGGTTTCTCGGGCTAAGAAGATCGTTCCTATTCAGGAACCCGTGATAACCGAAGCTACGCCTTCGTTGAAGAAGATCGATGACCGAAAATCACGAGAAATGGTATCGACTAAAGAAAAAGCAAAGCCGGTAATCGAGGAACGTGAGAGTATGGTAGTCGTTTCGGAAATAAGACCAGAAGACGTTGCAACTGATTTCAAAGTAGAGAAAACGGTCGATCGTGCGAGCGAGGTAACATCAGAGGCATTGGAGACATTTTCTGTATCGGAAGTTCGTACGGAAACGAAGCAAAAGAAAGCGAAGAAGGTGATCGGTCATGGACAAGTTGAGGTAACGCTGGTGAAAACCGAAGAGATCGTCGAAGAGAAGCCAAAGAAAAAGAAGAAAGGTGAACAAAAGACAAGAATTCGCGAAGAGATAACTGTAGAAGAGATACTTGAAAAAGAAAGAGAGCACATCGCGCGAGAAGTCGAGGAAATCCTTGAGGTGCTTCAGGCTAAGGAATTTGGACCCGGTGAAAGTCCTTTACGCGAATTGGCTACCATCGGTTATCTTGTACGGCAGGGTGTTTCGGTTACGGAAATAAATGAGAGTCTCTACACAACCGACAAGTTTCCAGCCTTGAGAACACCGGACGCTCAAAATGCTTTAGTCCAATTAGTTGAACGCGAAGGTCATGGGCCTCTTATCAGTCAAGTATTAACCGAGGAAACAACTACCGACGAGAGCATCGTAGCCGCAACTATTGGCTTCAGGGCTTTTATGAGAATGATCGAATTACAACATGCCACGGTGGAAGAGGTCATTACGCACTTTGTACCCGAAGACTTCCGTCCACGTGCTTGGGAGGTCACAGAAGTGGCTGAGGTACGGCTTAGAAAGCCAGGATGATCTCCCTCTTTTTCTTTCTTTTTTTCTTTTATTTTTTTTTTTTTCTTTTTTTTTTTTTTTTCTTTTAACGTCCCTATTCTAACATTTAGATCCTTTTTTCGATCATTATAATGAAATGCCTTCAGGTTGAAACCGAGCAACGCGTTATGGAAAGAATCGATGCCGTCCATAAAACAGAAGTCCATATCATGGGTAAGTCGAGATTGCGTGGTGTGTGACATTTTTAACAAATAATTCAAAATTATACCGAACTGTAAATGGCTGTCAACAATTTGATTTTTCCAATTTATTTGAGTGGTGGCTTAGCATAAGCGTTTATTATTTATGAATTCCGTTCGATTATTATTATAATAATAAGCCAGAGCTGGGTGTATTAAATTAAATTAAGCATTAACAATTTTGATATTATAGAGTGATGCTTCCTAACGTGAAAAGAAATATTTGATATTGTTGTTGGTTTTTTTTTTTTTTTAATACATTGTACAATATTTATCATCGTTGAATAAATATTATTTTTCATATATGTGCCATAACTTGCCTGCATTTCATTTGTTTGTTCTTTTTCTCTTCCCAAAATGCAACAGCAACGACGAACATTTTTGATTACAGAAAGAAGAGACGAGAGGAAAGCCATTCACGTGCAGGATATTCAAGAAATTAAAGGTTTGATAGAACGAGTTACGATGCATGGGTTAATTAAATAATATCTACATTTGATGAACGAATAGATAAATTATTCATTAGTTACGCCGTCATTTCTCATTTTTTTGTGTAATTGATATCACGTCTATTATTACGAATTAATCGATAAACAATTATAATTAATAAAGTTTGGACGATGGTATTAATTTCGCTATCGATATATCATATTTTATCCATCGTATCTCTTTAGAAAAAGAAAGAGGAAGAGAAAAGAGAAAAGATGGATTTATTTTTTATGAAATAAAAATAGTAACATTCATGAATCATTTATTATTAACCAGTTAAACAGAAAACTGCAATCATTCTACGATACGCTTTCTACGTTTGATCTTTTTATTCTTTCAGATGCATGAAGCTTTACTTGATCGAATCAAAATAGCAGTGCAATTGATTTCTGCTTAAGCCGCTATGCTTTCCACGCGCAGTAACTTCCCATATCCACATTTTAATTATCTCCCAAAACTATAACCCCAATCAAGCCTCGAGTATTGCAGCTTTAAAATCAGAGCTTCGCCATGCTGAGACATAAATCGATGTAAGTAGTAAATGCAATTGTCAATAATTATCATTGCTTTCTAGTGATCTTTTTCATGAACTTCTTTAATCCTAAAATTAACTTGCAACGTAACATAATATTTTATTACACGCAACTGTTCTTATAAAAAAGAAAAATATCATTCCGAAGTGAGATAATTACTCCGAAAACATTACTTATTAAGTTATATATTCACAGCATTTGGTGTGTTTTTTTCTATGATAGTATTGATTAAATCAAATAAATAATTAGCGAGCGTTAATAGCAAGGGTAATTTGCAAATAACTGTGTAATATATAACATTGATATTATTCCGTTGGTGTCTATGTTGGTTTGACTTCTTTAAGAACTTTCATCTTTTCTTTCTACACAATCTTCTATTTCTACACTTACACTACATGTTTCTCAAGCAACGCATGACACATGCCTGACAATGAATGACACAGCACAATATTCCAAAAATGTCGTAATATTACTAAAAACCAAACTCAGAAATTCCATTAAATTCGAATAAATCATCACAATATCGTTAAACACATAAAGACATATTTCGAAACAAAAAATACGACATCGTTGGAAGACGATTAAACAGCATAAAACACGAATTACACGTTTTTGTTCGTTTTTACTGTTCGTTGGTTTTTTTTTTAGCTCGTGTAGGTTGTATCCCGTTTCGTTGAAGCACGATCTTGTATGAAAAAGATTTATTTTACATGAACCATGTCCACGATACACTACTCTTTGCAAACACATCAATTTATATTATTTATACTTATAGATAAAGACTAGTAATCTTTCCGAGGAAGCACAAGCATGACTCATGTAAAATGGATCGAAAGAGTTTTTAGCATAACTATCTGATTCGTCGCATGAAATCTGCAAGAGTGTATATATAGGTAAAAGTAGGCGGAAGGAAGGAGTTACTAAAGCTAGTAAAAAAGATGAAAAAAAAAAAAAAAAAAAAAAAAAAAAAATAGCAGAACTAGCGGTAACACTTGCAACACATCGCGTCTTACACAAAAAATCTCACATACTTTCCGCAGAATACGAGGACACACGGCAGGCACACACAACACTACGCAAGCGAAAAGATAGAAAACCGAAGGATCGCATTGAAGATAAACCGCAGGATAGGGATGAGGGGGTTCAGGTATTAGAAATCGAGGAAATCCAAGAGATTGAAAAGGAGAAGAAGAAAGAGGACATAGAAGAAGAAATTATTGTCATTGAAAGGGATTCAAAGGGCAGACTGATTCCAAAAGAAGAAATAGATATTGTGAAAAAAGTGAAAGAGAAAAAAGAGGAAGAGAAAAAAGAGATAGAAGAAGTAGTGATAGAGGAAGAAATAATTCGCAAGCGTAAACAATTAAAAGCAAAGAGACCGGCTATCGGTGAGGACGAAATTCAATTGGAAGAAGTAGAAGAATTCGAAATAAAACGTGATAAATCTATGCCTTCTGTCGTATTAAACGTACCTGGTCAACTTCACGAAGTAATTCCTTTCAATCGTACCGTTGAACAGGCTCCTGGTAAACCCAAAGTCGAGAAAGCTCAATTAGCTGTAGATACGGTTAGTGCGCTAACAGAACATCTCCAACCTGTACAAGAAAAAGAAATTGATAGCGTTGATGTGAGAAAACCAGTTGGACAAAAAGCGTCAGTTTCAGTTTCAACCGTGGAACCTTACTCTATCACGGAAACTAATATTCAGGCTACGGCTAGCGAATTTTTAGATACGTTTAAACCAAATACTTATGCGGCTACTCCAGGCGTTACGCCATCCGAAAGTTTAGTAGTAAGTGAAATATTAACTAACGATGCCGATTTGTCGGATCTTACGTTGAGTAAACCAGAAGTTTCGAGAAGAGCCGATACTAGTTTGACGTTACAAGAAGCTACGACGATTTCTGAAACAATGGTTAGTCAGAACGAAGTACCTACGGAAGATTTTGTTTCGCCACTCGCGGTGAAAGCCGAGGATAATTTCTTGCCTCAAGTAGGACTTTCCGTCTACGAGGTTCAAGAAGGTTTGGTAGAAGACAAACTCGAACCTATTAAAACTGTTCCTACGAAACCTAGGGTGAACGTTACCGCTACCGAACCATTGATCATAGAGGAAGTATGTGCCGAAGATAAACCTGGAAAATATTATCCAGAATTAATAGTACCAACAGAAGTCGCAATACAATCGGTCATTGCACAGAAGCAAAGAGTTACAGAAGAATTACATGCTCCTGAAAAGGAGGGCGAGTATGTGCCAGGTAAATTGCCACCTAGTCAAAAAGCTCAGATCGGTATTTCTTATGACAATGAGACCGCTATCGTTCAACAAAATCTAATCCAGGAAAGCGAGGGTATTTTTGTTCCCGATCGTAAAGCAGACACTTTCGAAGCAACGGATAAAATCACTTTGTTGGAAGGAGTCACAGTATCTACCGTTGATACACAACAGAGAGAAACAGATCTAAAAGTAGAAGAAAGTAAAACTGTAAAAGCGGATCTGAGCGTTATCGAAATTACTTCAGCTACGACAGTCGAAACAATTACTTCGGAAAAGGAACAAGATTATCAGCCAGATGAGAAGCCAGCTACTAAGCTTGCTGAAACATCAATCTCTACATTAGAAATAGGTTCTGTCACAAGCACGATGGTTCAAGAATCAGAGGGACCATACACTAGCGATCACAAACCAACAGCATTTTTAGCAGAAACTTCAGTTAGACCGGAAGAATATCTACAGGTATCTCAAGTTCAAACAGCCGATTATCCATCAGATTTTAAAGATGAGTTAAAATACGTATCGGAAAGTGGCAGCGTATCTGTCGAGTTAACAGAAGCTAAAATGATACACGAGACTCTTACGCACGATAAGGAATCAAAGTTGGAAGAAGTTGTAAAACCTGAAGAGCGTACAATTTCAACCTCGTACGACGCAATACGGGGCGTAGAAGTGTTCCAAACCACTTCGATAGAAAAGGAAGCTGAATTAAAGATATTCGAATTACCAGAGTCTCATCATGGTAAAACCGTGCCAACTCATCCAGTCATGTCTCTACAAATCGAGGAAACTCATCCTGAAGATAACGTAGGTGAAGTTATCAAAGAAGTTCCATCGTCAGCAGTGGCTGCAATTGGCGCGGTAAGCTTGCAAGAAACAATAGTAAAAGAAACAGTCCCGGCTGAAGGATTAGCTCCTGTAAAAGAAGACAAAGTTGTTGATATGAAAAAGGCTGAAGTAGCAATCGATGAAATAGAAAGCGTTCATACCACCATGGTCATAACTAGTGAAAAAGAAGCCGAATACACTACAGTATCTAATGTCAAAGGAGCATTTGCTACGACAGATTTTATAACACATAATGCCCCTATATCAGAGGAAGTAAGAACTGAATCTCCTACAAATGAATTTGTTCCACACGAGAGACCCGCTTCGAGAACAGCCGAGGAATCTCGAATTCCTCTGGAAAGTATTTACGTAGCGATACAAGAAACTGCGGAGAAAGAGGATATTTATAATGTCGATGTAAAACCAGAACAGAAAATTGCAAATGTAGATTACACCGAAGCGAAAAGCGGATTAAGCATTCTTGAAATCGTTACGCACGATAAAGAGATGGCATATGCTCCTATGGAAAGGCCCAAAGATTATACCGTTCAAACATCCATAACAGGTCATACCATAGCATCACAGTCAGAAACTTTAATACAACAATCTACTGGTTCTATAATTGACGAGATACCGAAAACGGGAAAAGCAATTCAACAACAGGAGGCTTTAGAAGAACTGATTGTAACAGAAACCAACGTAGCAGAAACAGGGAAACCAAGAGAAATGGACGTACGTCCTATCGAACAAAGCGCAGATGTAGAATTTTGTACAAGGCCGGATACGTTAATGGTTAGTGAAATTACGGCCATGTTAAATGAAGAAAAGTTATCGATCGAAGAAGTACCAAAAGAGCGTAAAGTATCTATGAACATTAGCGTTACTCACGAAGTAGCAGAAATGCAAGAAACTATTATCGCTAGTAACGTTAACATTTTAACGGAAGAAAAACCGAAAGAAGAAAGCGCAACTCAGCAACAAAGTGGTTTAAATATTGTAGAACAAACTGAAGTATCAGTGTCGGAAAAAGAATCACCATTACAAGTGGATCTGAAACCAGAAACGAAAAAAGTGGGAGTGACTTTCGAAGAAGGAGAGGGTCTTGAAATTGTCATGACACATCCTGAAGAAAAAGAAGGAGAATTTACTAAAGATTCTAAACCAAAAGGCGTGGAAGCAAACGTAGATATTATTACACAAATTGTGGCATCTAAATTCGAAATAATAAGCGATACTGATTTATCCCAATTACCAATTGAACCTGCAAAAACTGCACAATCACAAACAACCTTTTTACCGTTTGAAACTACCATTTCTGAACAAGTTGAAACCACAGAAAAAGAAGCTCCGCTGTCTGAAAGTCAACCATTCGATAGAAAAGCTAATCTGGAATTTATAATGGGCGAGAGTGTAATTGTTTCTTCGGTAATTCCTGGAGATAAGGAAAGCACTTTACCCAAAGAAGAAAAGCCAGAATCGAAATCTGTAATGTTCGATATACCCACACACATGGTAGCTGAAACAAGTGAAACAACCGCTACAGATAACATTGGTGATTTCAAAAGAGCAGAAATATTATCTGCTACAGCTACCACAGATCACGTTACTTTTCGTAGTTTAATCACGTCAGAAATATCAACCGGCGATTTAGAACAACCCCTTCCTACGTTCATCAAGCCAGAGGATAAAATGATTAATGTTACCTTTGACGAAGATTACGGCGTCACTATATTAGAAACTATAACATCTGATAAAGAAAAGGATTATATACCGGCAGCACCTATCGAAGGTGAGAAAGCAATAGCTGCTTTCGATGCTCATAAAGTGGCTCAACAGGAAGAAATTACACCAACCACTCATCCAGGAATTTTGGATATCTCAGCTCTTACTACTGCGGCCGCCAAAGAAGAACGTTTACCGTTTGAAAGTATTATTCAAACGGAAACAATTATCTCAGAGACCGAAAAAGAATTTCAAGAAAAGCCCATTATAGGTAATAAAGCAGAAGTGGGAATAAATGAATTAATTTCTGTAACAGAAAGTACAGAAATTGCGGCGCACAAAGAAGCTATTCTTGAAATTTCAGAGAAACCAGCCGAAAAGAAGGCTGAATTTCAAATAGTTGGTCATCCAATCGCCGAAAAAGAAGAAATTACTGTAGATCTTAGTGTGGGAAAAGTAGAAGATTCGAAAGTATTATCAGTTATTGCAACGCCTTCGAATATTCCTTTAGAAACAATAGTAACATCGGAGATACAAGCGACTGAATCTGAAGCACCATTCTCCCGGGATAAATTGCCTATGCAAGCGACAGCAGATTTAGCTCTAGTAGAGGAAAAAAGTATACAAATATCTACAGTTATTACCGAAGATAAAGAAAGTGAATACAAGCCAGGAGAAATTCCTGAAGTTAGAAAAGCAGGTAAATCTTACGTGGAGGGTCATACGGTAGCTGAAACGATGATGCAAATTTTGGACTATACCACGGCAGAATTAACTAAAGAAATATTATCTACATCAACGGTGAAATCGGAGCATATACCTTTGATACCGCTAATCGAATCACAACCAATTGTTCAAGAAAGTGAAGATCAATTCCTACCAATATTAATGCCAGAAAATAAAACTGCAAACATAGGTTTGGAATATGATAGAACAAGTGTCACGATATCTCAAATGACGACCGTTGAAAAAGAATCTATTTATGTACCCGAAGAACAACCATCGAAGCATTCAGCTCTTCCTGGAATAGATTCGATTCATGGAATCGCAGAAACAACTACGATAACTACTGAGGATTCCGTTGGTGAAGTCGATATAAAGAAACCAGACGCAAAAACTGCAGTCGCTACACAAGAAGTGCAGCAAAGTTTATTAATAACTCAGGATATCCCTCAAGATCAAGAAGCACCCTTCGAGGGAAAATTCAAACCAACACCTCACGAAATTCATATGTCTATAGAAGAAGGTAAACGTGTTACAACTGTCACGGAAGTCAATATATCGGACAAAGAAGATACTCTTACCACTTTTCAAGATAGAAGTCAAGAAGCCGTACCAGTTATTACTACAGGACACGAGGTTGCTGAAAAGACTGAAATTGTAACTGATTTGAGCACAGGTAAATTGGACATAGTTAAGCCGTCGTCGGCTACCGCTCAAATTGGACAAAAGCCTTACGAAACGATTCAATTGACCGAAGAGATTTTAGGTGAGAAAGAAATAGACACGGTAGAGAAAGTGCCATTAACATCGACTAAGGCACGCGTTGCTCTAGATGATAATAGATTTATAGCGATCACAGAAGCTACTATTACACAGGATGTGGAATCAGAACTTCTTCTAGAGAAGAAGCCTTCGGAGAAAACGGCAGTACCTACGTTAGATGCTAAAGAAGTTGCGGAACATCTTGAAGTCAATTTACGCGAAGGTCTTGGTACATTACCCGAAGCAATTAAACCAGCTATATCGGAAGCACATCCTACCCAATCTATTTTAGAATCTATAAATATTAACGAAACGATTCCCCAAGAACAAAGCGCTGTACTTTCGGATAAATTAGAATTTGATAAACGCAGCGCGGAAATTGGTTTCGTCGAAGAAAAAAGTATAATAATTGACACTGTGCTAACACAAGATAAGGAAGATATCATGACAATACCAGAATATACGCATAGTACTGCACAAATAAAATTAACGAAAATTGGAATGGATGTTGCTGAAACATCGGAATTGTTAATAGAACAAAGTACTGGTTCTGTAAAACCATTTGAGAAAACTGAAATGAAAGCCCACACAAAACAAGATGCATTAGAGCCACTAATCATTGAAGATATTCCTAGTGCGGAAAGTGAAGGTATCTTCGATAAATATCCTAAAACAATTTCTAGTATTGCCGATACCGTATTTGAAGAGGGCCACAGTATTTCGATTACCGAGGTTACTTCGGCTGAGCTAGAAACATCTTTAGAAACAAAAGAACTTGCTTCTTCGCAAACAGCTTCTTCCACAATCATTACAGAACATGGTACGATTGAAACAACGCTCGTAGAATCGCAAGTTAATATCCCTGAAAAAGACACTGATCGTGGTGTGACACCGCAAAAAGCAACAGCACATCGTGATACATTTGAAAGTATCATCGTAGAACAGAATTTGGTCGAAGAAAGTGAGAAAACTTTTGAGGGTATTTTTAAACCATCGATGCAAAAGGCAGACATTGATTTTCAACAGAACAAACCTTTGGAGATTTCTGAAATTATTACCGAAGATAAGGAAGATGTGTTCAATGTCATTCCTAAGCGACAAGAAGTGAAAGCTACAACTGAAATTGGACTGTTTGAGACGGTACAAAAATCTTTGATAGAGGGTATGCAAAGTGTAGAAGAGATTCCCAAAGAACAAACGATTTCCTCTCAAGCAACTTTATCACAAATTCCTATCGAGGCTGTTATTGAAACGGAAACAACATTAGGTGAACGAGAGGATACATTCGAAGGGAAAGATTTTAAACCGACTGAACAAAAAGGAAAACCTCATTTGGAAGGTTTAAGTACGGTTACAGTTACGGAAATTATTTCAAATGAGACCGAAGAGATCTTGCCTGTACCAACCGTTCCAAAAGAACAACAAGCACTCGCGAACTTGCTGAGTAAAGAGGCTATTGAAACCTTACAAGTTTTAACTGTAGGAAGTGCTGAAGACATAACAGAACATATTAAATTCGAAGAAAAACAAACAAAAGTAGAAGTTGAAGAATTGTCAAGCGTATCGGTTTCTGAGATAATCTTAAATGAAACGGAAGATGCATTATTACAGAAAGAAGTTCCAAAGGACCAAACGGCTCACTTAAATATTTCAGGTAGAGAAGCAGCCGAAACAACCGAAGTAATGATTAGCACCGAAACGCAAGATCTAAGTACACAAGTACCGAAAGAAGAAAAAGGTAAAGCGGGCTTGGAGGAATTAACGCCTTTAACTGTATCACAAATAGTTTTGAACGAAGCTGAAAAAACTTTGCCTACTGCAGAAATGCCATTGGAAAAAGTCGCTCAACCTAGTTTGCTTGGTAGAGATATCGCTCAAATTAGTCAAATATTTACTATGGCAAGCACCGAGGAATTAATATCATCCCAAGAGCCCGAAAAGCACAAAGGTAAACCAGGCTTAGAAGAGTTATCTTCATTAACAATATCCCAAATAATATCTCAGGAAATAGAAGAAACGATGCCTAGTCCAGAAGTTCCTACTGAGAGAGAGGCGCAAACAAATATCTTTGGCCGAGATGTAGCCCAAACGACGCAAGTGATGACTGTGTTCAGTGCAGAACAATTGGTTGAATCCAAAATACCCGATGAACAAAAAGGTAGTCCAAGTTTTGAAGAATTGTCACCTCTAACTATCTCGCAAATATTGTCTAACGAAATGGAAGACACATTGGCGGTAATAGAAAAGCCTGCGGAGAAAACAGCACAACCAAGTTTATTTGGCAGAGATGTAGCAGAGACAAGTCAGGTATTAACTATGACAAGTGCAGAAGAACTTTCTAAATTAATTAAACCGGAAGAACAAAAAGGGAAGCCTCAGTTAGAGGAATTGTCCTCTCTATTAGTTTCCCAAGTAGTTTCTCATGAAACGGAAGATGTCTTACCAAGTCCAGAAGTACCAAACAAATTTATGGCAACATCTTTACTCTCCGGCAGAGAAGTTGCCGAAACCAGTCAAGTTCTATCCGTGAGTAATGTCGAAGAAATGGGAAAACCTGAAATGCCAAAAGAGCAAAAAGGTAAACCTCATTTCGAAGAATTAACGTCAGTATCCGTGTGTCAAATAGTGTCAAATGAATCAGAGGAAACTTTAATAAGTCCAGAAAAACCTGATGAAAAGATAGCAAAAACGAAGTTACTTACTAGAGAAGTAGCCGAAAAAACTGAAATCTTGACGGTCTCCAATGTAGAAGAAATGCCGAAACTGGAGAAACCTGAAAGCCAGAGAAGAAAACCAGAAGTAGATGAATTAAGTTCGCTCGTAGTCTCTGAAGTTATTTTCAGTGAAGCAGAAAAAACTTTGCCAAGTCCAGATCTACCCACGGAACGTAAGGCATTTCCAAATATGTTAAGTATCGAGGCCGCAGAAATATCTGAAGTATTGACAGTAACAAATGTGGATCAATTGGAAAAGCCAAAACTACCAGAAGAACAAAAAGGTAAACCGCAATTAGAAGAATTAAGTTCACTATCAATTTCAGAAGTTGCAACCAGTGAAATAGAGAAAGGTCTTCCAACTCCAGAAGAACCAATGAAGCAAACTGCTCAACCTAGTTTATTTGGCATACAAGTTGCTCAAAAATCACAAGTCATAACATCATCAACGACAGAAAGTCTTGCTGAAAGTACTATACCGGAGGCTAAAACTATAATACCTGAACAGATACCTTATGAAAGTTTCGAAGAAATGCAAATGGTCCCACAGGAAAGTGAACGTAATCTTGTTATCGACAAAACGATATCACTGGCGACAGCTGAGGTTACATTCCGTACGTCCGAAAGTTTCGAAGTAACACAAATTATGACAACTGAAAAAGAAAGTAAACAAGAAGTTAAAGAAATGATAAAGGAAGTTAGTGCATTACCTGACGTTGTGAAAACAGAAGTTGCTCTAAAAACTGAAATTCATGTTGAAGATACAGCTTCGGAGTTTAAAATTACAAAGCCGGAAAGTAAAAAAGCACATGAGCTTGAAGAACCAAAGAAAAGTATCATTGTCACAGAATTGGAAAATGTTGGAGAATGTGAATCAGTCTTGCTTGAATCCGTAATGCCATTTACAAAGGTAGCAAATGTCTCAATTGAAGCTGATCATCTGAAAAATGTAATAGGTGAGTATTATCATAGTAAATCTATATGACAACTGCTGACCAATGGACGTGACAACATTCAGAAATGACCAATTGAAACGATATCTAACAAATGAATCGGAAAAAGATTTTTACCCTCAAACAATTTAGAATGTTAATAAATTACATTGATGAATAAAAAAAAAAACTATAACTGTGTAAAATTATAACATCAAATAAAAAATGAAAATAATGCGTAGGTATCTAAGTAGCAAGCAATCGTGATAAATAGGTAAGTAGAAAATAGATTTTACATAAAGTCAAATGGAGGTCAAGAAACGGGGTGAAAAATCACAAACAGATAATACATTCTGATAATCGGTCTGAAAACAAACACTATACAACACAAGTATACAAATGTACCACTAATCACAAATATATTTCATTACAAAAGTAACCGATATCATACTCCATTAAACCAGCTCATTTATATCTGTATACATTGTCTGTTCAACAATGTAATACAGATACACATATTACGTCATCAATAGATATTTATTTCCAATTAAATCATTATATATTATATTGGAGAATAATATTAAAATATAAAATACCTTTAAAATTAATCCAGTCAATACCCAGCAATGTGTCGATGGAGCATAGAAGTCAAACCAAATAAAGTAATCAACAAATTGTCAACTCACTACTACATTTTTATCATATCACACCTGTTCTGTATACATTTCAGAAACAACAGAAGCACCAGTGCAACATGACACCACAATCACATTACCACACAAAACAAAACACGATTTAACACAACAACCATCGTACGAATCTGATACTGAGGTGACAGAAGAATACACAACGAAATTTAGGCGTGGCAGCAAGGACGAAGATACTGCAGCTATTAAAACAAAGAAAACAATTATACGAAAGAAGAAACCTTTGGGAAAAGAAGAAGAAAATGTTGTCGTTATCGAAGAAGAATTGGACAACATTAAATCGACCTTACCACAGATACCGAAAAAACAATTTATGTCAATAGAAGAAATAACAGACATTGTAGATCAGGAAGAAATAGTACCAACAAAAATAGAGGAAATAGAGGAGATTCCACTTGAAGAAGATAAACAACCGGATAAACAAAGGAAAGTACCTAAAAGAAAAGAAAAGAAGGAACGTTTCGTAGAAGAAATAACGACAGAAGAGCTAATAGAAAAACCATTTAGGACAGCTACTGAAATAAAGCAAGAAGAAGAGACAATAAAAGAAACAATTCCAATCAAACCGAAAAAGAAAAGAGTTACTGAGACCATTGGAACTAAAGAAAGCGTACAAGTAACACAGGCAATAACAGTAGAACAAATAAAAGAAATCCCTGAAGAAATAATAGAAATTGTAGAGACTCCTACAACAAGAGTAATAACAAAGAAGATAACCAAAAAAGATCAACCAACAACTATAACAAAAGAAACCGTAGAGAAAACGAAAGAGGAGAAAAAGATTATGGAAGATCAAAAGATAATTGAAATAACTGAGACGCCATTGAAGAAGATAATCAAAAAGAAAAAGACAAGAATCACAGAAGCTGGTGTGCCTGAGGAAGTAGTAGAAGAGTTGATTATAGAAAAACCAAAGGAAGAACAGGCAAAACCACTTTTGGAAGAGTTAGAGGAAGCTAAAGAAGAAAAGCCAGAAGTAATCGAAGTGACAGAAACGCCAACAAAGAAAATAATAAAAAGGAAAAAGAAGCCAACAAAGAAAGGGGAGGCAACTGTAATAACAGAAGAGATTATAGAGAAAACTGGAGATGAAACAAAGATCATGGAGGAACAGCAGATCGTAGAAATTACTGAGACGCCATTGAAGAAGATAATCAAAAAGAAAAAGACAAAAATATCTAAAGCTGGTGTGCCTGAGGAAGTGATAGAAGAATTGGTCATAGAAAAACCTAAGGAAGAACAGGCAAAACCACTTTTGGAAGAGTTAGAGGAAGCTAAAGAAGAAAAGCCAGAAGTAATCGAAGTGACAGAAACGCCAACAAAGAAAATAATAAAAAGGAAAAAGAAGCCAACAAAGAAAGGGGAGGCAACTGTGATAACAGAAGAGATTATAGAGAAAACTGGAGATGAAACAAAGATCATGGAGGAACAGCAGATCGTAGAAATTACTGAGACGCCATTGAAGAAGATAATCAAAAAGAAAAAGACAAGAATCACAGAAGCTGGTGTGCCTGAGGAAGTGATAGAAGAACTGGTTATAGAAAAACCTAAGGAAGAACAGGCAAAACCACTTTTGGAAGAGTTAGAGGAAGCTAAAGAAGAAAAACCAGAAGTAATTGAAATAACAGAAACGCCAACAAAGAAAATAATAAAAAGGAAGAAGAAGCCAACAAAGAAAGGTGAAGCAACTGTGATAACAGAAGAGATTATAGAGAAAACTGGAGATGAAACAAAGATCATGGAGGAGCAGCAGATCGTAGAGATTACTGAGACGCCATTGAAGAAGATAATCAAAAAGAAAAAGACAAAAATATCTAAAGCTGGTGTGCCTGAGGAAGTGATAGAAGAATTGGTCATAGAAAAACCAAAAGAAGAACAGGCAAAACCACTTTTGGAAGAGTTAGAGGAAGCTAAAGAAGAAAAGCCAGAAGTAATCGAAGTGACAGAAACACCAACAAAGAAAATAATAAAAAGGAAGAAGAAGCCAACAAAGAAAGGGGAGGCAACTGTGATAACAGAAGAGATTATAGAGAAAACTGGAGATGAAACAAAGATCATGGAGGAACAGCAGATCGTAGAGATTACTGAGACGCCATTGAAGAAGATAATCAAAAAGAAAAAGACAAAAATATCTAAAGCTGGTGTGCCTGAGGAAGTGATAGAAGAATTGGTCATAGAAAAACCAAAAGAAGAACAGGCAAAACCACTTTTGGAAGAGTTAGAGGAAGCTAAAGAAGAAAAGCCAGAAGTAATCGAAGTGACAGAAACACCAACAAAGAAAATAATAAAAAGGAAGAAGAAGCCAACAAAGAAAGGGGAAGCGACTGTGATAACACAAGAGATTATAGAGAAAACTGGAGATGAAACTAAGATCATGGAAGAACAACAAATTGTGGAAATTACTGAGACTCCATTAAAGAAAGTAATCAAAAAGAAAAAGACAAGAATCACTGAAGCTGGTGTGCCTGAGGAAGTGATAGAAGAATTGGTCATAGAAAAACCTAAGGAAGAACAGGCAAAACCACTTTTGGAAGAGTTAGAGGAAGCGAAAGAAGAAAAGCCAGAAGTAATCGAAGTTACTGAAACCCCAACAAAGAAAATAATAAAAAGGAAGGAGAAGCCAACAAAGAAAGGGGAGGCAACTGTGATAACAGAAGAGATTATAGAGAAAACTGGAGATGAAACAAAGATCATGGAGGAACAACAAATTGTGGAAATTATTGAGACGCCATTGAAGAAGATAATCAAAAAGAAAAAGACAAAAATATCTAAAGCTGGTGTGCCTGAGGAAGTGATAGAAGAATTGGTCATAGAAAAACCAAAAGAAGAACAGGCAAAACCACTTTTGGAAGAGTTAGAGGAAGCTAAAGAAGAAAAGCCAGAAATAATCGAAGTGACTGAAACACCAACAAAGAAAATAATAAAAAGGAAGAAGAAGCCGACAAAGAAAGGGGAGGCAACTGTGATAACAGAAGAGATTATAGAAAAAACTGGAGATGAAACAAAGATCATGGAGGAACAGAAGATCGTAGAAATTACTGAGACGCCATTGAAGAAAGTAATCAAAAAGAAAAAGACAAAAGTATCTAAAGCTGGTGTGCCAGAGGAAATAGTGGAAGAGATAGTCATAGAGAAGCCAAAGGAAGAGCAGGCAAAACCGCTTTTGGAAGAGTTAGAGGAAGCTAAAGTAGAAAAGCCAGAAGTAATTGAAATAACAGAAACGCCAACAAAGAAAATAATAAAGAGGAAAAAGAAGCCAACAAGGAAAGGTGAACCAACTGTGATAACAGAAGAGATTATAGAGAAAACTGGAGATGAAACAAAGATTATGGAAGATCAAAAGATAATTGAAATAACTGAGACGCCATTGAAGAAAGTAATCAAAAAGAAAAAGACAAGAATTACGGAAGCTGGTGTGCCTGAGGAAGTGGTAGAAGAACTGGTCATAGAAAAACCAAAGGAAGAGCAGGCAAAACCGCTTTTGGAAGAGTTAGAGGAAGCTAAAGAAGAAAAGCCAGAAGTAATCGAAGTGACTGAAACACCAACAAAGAAAATAATAAAAAGGAAGAAGAAGCCAACAAAGAAAGGGGAAGCGACTGTGATAACACAAGAGATTATAGAGAAAACTGGAGATGAAACTAAGATCATGGAGGAGCAACAGATCGTAGAGATTACTGAGACGCCATTGAAGAAGATAATCAAAAAGAAAAAGAC